GGGTCCCGCCACGAATCACGCAACGGCTCGTCGCGATGCATGCCGACGACCGACGGCCAGACCTCGCCGAGCGCTCCATCTGGCATCTCGATCCAGAGTGTCTGGATATCAACCAGAGCATACAGTTGTGTCAACAGTACGGGCTCTACGATGCGCTCATCTATGTCTACACTCGCGCATTACGGGATTATGTGTCGCCGATCGTTGATCTTCTGGCGCTCGTGCGGAAGATCATGCAGTTTAGGAGGGAGATGTCGTCGAAGGTGCCCACGGAAGCCGAGGAACAGGCTATGGAACCCATCTTCGTCAATGCGTACAAGATCTTCCCGTACCTCTCAAACGTCCTTTGCGGCCTTTCCTATCCCAGTGAGGAGCCTCTCAGCACGGAAGAGGCGGATCAAGCGAAACACGACGTGTACAAGTTCTTGTTTCATGGTCGTTCGAGCGTGTGGCCTGAGGGTGATGGTGGGAAGCTGGTGCTCACGGCGGAAGACGAAGGAGGGATGGAACCGACGTATCCCTATACGCGCCTGCTGATGCGTTTTGACGCCGAAGCGTTCTTGCACGCGCTGGACCTCGCCTTCGAAGACGCCTATCTGAATGATGACGAGCAGCGCGGCCTATCTGTCTCACGTCTCGTACTCGTCAAGATCGTGCTCGAGATTCTCAGCGATCCCGACCCGTTCGCCCTCTCACCAGCAGATCGTACCTTCGCGCGCATCTTCGTGGCACGGAACGTACCGAAATACCCGCAATATATCACCATCCCGCCTAATACCCTCAACGCTCTGCTCGTCGGACTCGCTCAAGATCCGGATCCGGATACACGCGAGGATAGACAGCTCGCGGCGGAGTATCTGCTTAGCGCTTATACCCCGCATGATCGAACACAGCTGCTAGTGCTGTTTAAGCAGGCGTGCTTCTGGAGGATCTTGAGGAGTTGGCATAGGCAGGAACAGCAGTGGTCGCCGCTTCTGCTCGCATACTTGCACGACACCGAACTCCCGCCCGAAGAGATCTTCTCCAGTGCGGTGGAGATCTTGAAAGCTGCTGCGAAGGGCCATGGAGGAAGCGTGCCGGAGGATGTGCTCTCTACTGTCGCAGATAAGCTGCCGCAGTTCCTGGACACGAGTATCACGGAAACGGCCGCATTTGTCGACGCGCATGTACCGGATCTGCACCAGCGTGCGCTGGAGGCGCTTGGGTCAGACGACGCGCAACGCTTTGCATATCTCCGCCATCTACTCGCGCCTATATCCCAAGACGATGAGGACGCACCGCCGGCTCGCCCTCCGTCGGAGCACGTACCGCCGCCTATGCGCGAGTTGTTTGTGGATCTACAGTGTCGGCTGGAGCCTACGAACGTCATTCCGGTACTCAGGCATCTGCCACCAGAATACGTCGACCGTGAGGTCGTTGTGCGGACGTGCGAGAAACACGAAGTGTTCGATGCCGCTATGTGGGCTCTCAACCGCGCCGGCCAGCCCGCGGAAGCACTGGCAAGAGCCGACGTGTTCGACAAGAAGCTGGTTGCGCGCATCGGACAGGAGCTCGCGGCATCGACCAGCTCAGACGATCTTGAGACTGCCTTACAAGCCATGGAGGCCGTTGGCCGGATGGGCATCTCGATCTGCGTCGAGCACTCGGGTTCAAAGGGTGACGCGCCGGTCGAGGATATGTGGTTCCAGCTACTCAGGACGCGTATCGATACTGTACAGTCTGCCGCTGCGTGCTTGCCCGAGGACGCGCCGCCCGAATCTGTCGGCGCGCAAGCCGTCGCAGACCTGCGCGCGCTGGTGCAGGAGACCTTCGCTTCGCTCGTCAGCGCCAGCGCGGGCCGAGCCGTCTCGTTCCCCCGGTTATTCACCAGACTTGTGGATGCGACTGCTAGCTCAGCAAGAGGCACGCCATATACAGAGTTCCGTACTGTGCTCACAGGGATGCTCGACTCTTACCGCGCTGAAGGCGACATGCTCGGTATCGCGAAGCACCTCGTCGACCGCGACGTGTCAGAAACCGTCGCATTGCTACATCGCGAGCGCATCAAGGGATGGGCACCGTCACGGGGTGTATGTGCGAGGTGTAGGATGCCGGCTGGCAAGGGTCCCGAGAACGATGGGAAGATCGTGATCGTCAGGAGCGGAGGGATGTATCACAGGAAATGTATGCCCGCGGAATTGCTTTCGAAGAGCTGATGCTGAGACTTTTACACTACGCTACGATACAATCCGGAGCTTTGGGTACTCTGTGCGGCTCTTATATTTACTATGTATATATGTCGAGGGGACGGAAGCTTGATCAGCTCGATCACAACTTCTCAGAGCTGATCTGCGCCTGTGATGCTGAATAAGTCGCTTGCAAGGCGCTGCAGTGCGAGCGCAGATAGCTGCGTACGAGAAGATGGTCTTCGCGACTCGTTCAACGCCCTCCGGCTGAGAGGTGACTGTTGAACGTTAAGGCCTTATTTATGAGAACGTAAACTGGCATGCACGTGGGAAAAGTGGTTGGTGGATCACGCCGGCCGTCGGCCGTATCGCGGCGAACTTGCTCAGTTGCTTCAGGCTCTCATCTCAGTGGCTACGTACCACCCTGTCAGCCATCTTCCCATGGGGCATCCAATGACCTTACCCTGCTTGACCGCTGTGGAGATGCCGTATTGTCGGACTGTTCACTAGCCGAGACCCGAACATAAGATGGACGATGGTTCACTTGCATCGACGAAGATCCCGCGCGAGCTGTCGGCGTACTGCTCTACATCTGGATCCGAACAAGACTATATCGCAACAATCACGATCCTTTACTGTCAATCCTGGACCAAAAACGTGATAGTTGTCCGCAGCGTTGAGACTAGAGTTCATCGAAGAGCGCTGTTCGCGGCACTCATCCCTGTGCATCAGTCACGGCCACTCAATCAGGATGGCGAAGGCTCACGCGTCGAGGGTTTGGTGTCCGAGGATGCTGACCCTTTATATAAGCGTGTCTTTTTAGGGCATGGGTAGATCTTGACCGACCCTCTACATCATCCACGTTTCATGAATCCTCCGAGTCGCCAGGCATGCCAGACTGGAAGAGCCCTTCGGAGCTTACACGGGATTCTCGTGCGCTCTCTTCGTGTCTTTGGGGAACAGATTTGCTGACGTCTCGTATACAGTGCTCTTAGTCAAGCTTCTGCACGCATGTTTAGGCTGGGCGATGTCAGTGTTTCTTGTGGTAACATGTCATCACGACACTAAGAGTCGCCCGAGCAGATGGGAATACGTTTCCCATTTCCACTACGAATGGGACGTCTATAGGGGTAATAGGCGGTATCGATGGACAATATGGGTATGTGCTGCCTCTCATATCACTTGGCAGCCCCGCTCTCATGCCCGAACTCAGGTATACACCAGCTGCAGGTTGGCCATGCTCTCCACGTTCACGTTCCACGCGATCGCTATCAATGGCGGGACATGGCGCCATTGTACGGTACGCAGGTTACAGATACGCCTTAATGGCCAGTACTCAGGTTGATAGACTCTTCAAGACGCTTTTTATGGCTGGTATGGTACGTGAATGTCCGTATCGTTGAACAACTATTGTCCGATGACTTCATGACCGAAATAGGCATCGGCCTACGTAGCCATCAGTCTCGCGTCTCTCCTCATTGTTCTGCGCATGCAAGTTTGCTCTACGCTCTGCTTTACGCGCAGCACCAAGCGCTAACCTCTGCTTGGTTGGAAGCACTGCAGTTTGGGAGAAAAAACCCGTCGTGGTGACCGTTTCTTACATCGCTTGGTTGACGTGCCTAGCACTGAATGTGTATAGTATGTTATTCTCCTGACGTATACTAAATCACGTCTGATGACATTCAGATGTTACCACGGTTCGTTCTTCAGCACCCTCGCGTTTCATGGCCTATAGTGAACCCGGATGAAGCTTCGAGCCGCATATGATGGAAGCTCTCGCGGATGTCTACCTTACGACACCAAGAGCTTTGTATTTAACTCGATCGGTATACTGGCGTCGGACACCGTGCTACTGGTTCTGATGCTCGCTGGTATACTACGCGTGCGTCGCAACGCAGTCAAGAATGGCATATCTCGCGTTCTCTACCGTCAAGTACGTTTGTAAGGGTCGCTTTACTAGTCCTGTTGCTCACGGATGCACCAGGGGGTTGTTTGGCTAATTGTGGCCATACTTGTGGAGGTTCCTGCTGTGGTGGGTATCTCCATAGCTCGCGATAGTGGCTCGCCCATCAACTCACGAAGCACGTTTGCAGGCATTTGCGTTATTGGAACTGAACGGTGACCCGTCGTCGTGCATGATGAGCTACGATGGACACTAATCGTGTAGTATAGATCCGCTTACAGTCGTACGTACTGTCTATTGCGAGTATAGCACCCTGCTCATCGCGTGTCATCTAGATGTTTCAGCCTGTTGAATGTGAGCGAGACGCACATTGTACAGCCATATGCCGATGCTGATGGTATTCCATAGTGGTATCTCTGTGAGTGTCACTTCTATTCCGACTTGCTGGCTCGCATGTACGATTGATCACGTCAGGGTGATATGTGCGGGCCACATGTATCGCGGCTTGCTGGAGTACGTGTACAAGCCAGACACAAAGTGATCGTGATCTTCTGTCTGAACGTGGCAAAAGCTTGACTGACTGGATATAGCTTATCACTCGGAAACGGGAATTCAACACACCTCCTTGTTCGATCCGCAAATACCGCAATGTCGTCCAACCCGGTCTCAGGACCGGGGAGTTCAACACAATCTTCGGCTGGCCCGTGAGTAAGCAGATTCCTTGCAGTATTGACGTATATCGCATGTAAACATATAATAGCCCAGGCGGTGATGTAATGGGCACCAAAGGGTCAAATGCAGCACCGGGATACACCATGCAGGTGTTATGATTATACTAGCAGCATCGCGTGAGAAAACAATATGCGGATCAATCTCTTGCCGTCGCGGTCGGCCGCCGCGTCGTGCGTTGAATAAGCAGCTTGCTCCTACCCGTCATCTCGCAAGTAGATCGATGAAGACGCGAAAGAGGCGCCTCTCTTCGCGTCAACCATTCCAACATATTGCTTTAACTGTGGCTAGGAAAATGCTCTAACGTCGAACACTCAGAAGAGAGAGGTTCGAGCGCAGAAGAAGACCGTCGCTTCTATTGAGCCTGCATGAAGGAAGATGGCAAGAGCTTTTGCATGGTCCGGTACGTACTGACTCCCTAACAAGATGGTACCGTAACGACCACTCTATCCTGAGTGGACCCGGACCATGTCCATCGGATCGAAGGTGTCGCAGCATGCGAGAAGCCTTCGGCTCAACAAGAATCTTTGTTCGCGGTGGTTATGTCCGCGGCGTCGTAGCCACTCAATCAGGATGGCAGAGTTTAATTCATGGGAGTCGGGGTCCCTTTGAAACGTATTCACGTCCGATCCCGGCCTCGCATTCTCAAGTGTCGAGTATATATCGTAGAGGCCCGTCAAAAAGCCCTACTACCACCGGTGCTGTTCCTCTGCCGCTGACAACTATGCCGGACTGGAAAAGCCCTTCGGAGCTTACCCGGGACTCTCGTACGCGCGCTTTTCTATGAACCAAGAAGATACGCTGACCCCCGTCATATAGTATTCTTGGCTAAGCTTCTCCACGGGTGTTTTGGCTGGGCAATGTGAGCGACTTTCCCCGTAAGTAATGCTGCGCTATGAAGCCCTGAGAGGTATATGAGCAGCTGGGAGTATATTTCCCATCTTCGCTACGAGTGGGATGTCTATCGAGGCAAAACCCAGTACCGATGGACGATATGGGTGTGTGCCAGACTACCGCAATCACCTGCCTGCTAACGATCTCATCTAGGTATATACAAGCTGCAGGGTAGCCATGCTCAGCACTTTCGTATTCGATAGCATTGCCATCAATGGCGGAACACAGCGATACTGCACGGTGCGTCGATTCTTGATTGAGATGAGGCAATACCGCTCGCTAAGACATAGACAAACTTGCTCGCTCAGGCACTCTTCATGCTTGGCACGGCAAGCAACTTTTCCTCTGGACCCGATCTCGTCTTGATACCGTTCTAGGCTTCTGGCTATATGGCCATAAGCCTGGCCTCTCTTCTCATCGTGTTGCGTATGTGAGTTTGGATCACATCATCTATGGTTGTCAAGACTTGGGCGTTGATACTTGTGTCTTCCCAAAAGCACCGCTGTCTGGGGAAAGCGGACCACTGTTGTGATATGTTCCTACATTTTGTGGCTCTCGAGCTTGGCGCTGAATGTACACAGTACGTCACATCACCGAACCTTACTAGCCAGTCACCGACTGACAACATTAGATGTGGCCCTGGTCCGTCCTCATAGTCTTTTTATCTAATGGCTTGACGGTGAGCTGTAATACAGCTTCGAGCGTCATACAACACAGCCTCTCGGGCATGTCTACCATACCATACCGATACTTTCTTGCCCAACGCCATTGGTATCCTGGTGTCAGACACTATGCTACTCGCTCTGATGCTGGCTGGCATACTGCGTGTGCGGCGAGATGCGATGAAGCGTGGCATCTCTGACATCCTCTACCGGCAGGTGCGCGTTTTCCGATCATGAGTGATCGTGTCGTTGATGATTGTATCAGGCGATTGTATGGTTAATCGTAGCTATACTCGCGGAAGTACCTGTTGTCGTGGGTGTCATTTTGCAATGCTCAAGTATCGCTGACCCTGATTGAACTCGCCCACAGATCTTTGCAATCTTGGATCTGAATGGTGAGTAGCCACGCTACTCCCCTCTAAGCAGGTTCTGAGCTGCTGTCTAGACCCACTTATCGTCGTGCGTAACCGCTCCTCATGTCTGCCCTGGCTATCTCACACCGTGGCACTCAGATGTTTCAACCTATTGAATGTATGTACATCTCACACCCCTTACCTGCTGCAGGGTCTAATATCACTACCAGTGGTGTCCTTGTGAGTGTAACATCGAGTTCTCACGCGACGACAACAACGACGCCATCTTCCAGAGTAATATGCGCGGGACATATGTATAGGGCCTTACTGGACTATGTTTACGAGCCTAGCACTAGGTGCGATATGGGACCATTGTCATATGCGGTTCTTTTGACTGACTCCATGCCACAGCATTCCCTTGATAAAACTAGCCTCCACACAGCCTCATATCTAGTTCGCAGTCGTCATCCTGCCACCGATTCTACCCCAACGATCCTGGAATATGGACGCAACACGCAACCTTCACTCTCACTGAGCGGGTTCATTCCGATAGCGTGCGGCAGGAAGTTGGAACTGGCGCATGACGGCAATGGTCATGCGGCGGTGAGGAGACTAGCCTGATTACAGGTACTAGGTAGTATCAGGCGACTTGATAGGTTCGGAGGACCGTTTGTCTGGCATGGTTGAATATAAGACTAGCTTTGTTCTTCGGATGACAGTAAACTGCAATGGACCCATAGATGCTAAAAAGAGCCTTACTGATATGCGTTGGTGGAAGCGTGTGATTACATAATATCATGGACGTCATTTCCGTTGGCGAGTGAATCCCACGTCGCGACGTCTGAGCTTGTCGCCAACCCATCATGTACCGTCTTGGGACGGGATAACGAATCATCTTTGCTGCTCCACTCGACGCTGTGACCGTAGGCTAGTGATTCTCGGTCTAACGCTCGAGTACGCATGGCTGGAACTATCGTCTCGCGTTTGCGACGCGCACCTCTTCCTTCGACGTTACGCATCGTATGGGTACTAATTGTGCTGTGGCTGGAGCTCGGCACTTACTACTGGTCTACTATCGACTGTATATGGCCGGATGAGCCACTTTCTGGCACGGTACGTCCGTGCGCTTATGCTGCGAGGGCATACCTCTGATCTGTCCCCCGAACTGCGATGTTTTCCCACCTAGAATCCCGCACATGTGCTCTTGATAGCCGACCCACAAGTTCTTGACGAAAACTCGTACCCTGACAGAGGTCCTATCCTGATGGCTCTGTCTCAAGCCGTTGTCGACCTCCAGCTCCGTAAAGCATGGCGCACTGCGCTCGCCACACGCCCGGACGCAGTTGTATTTCTCGGAGATATGCTGGACAACGGAAGGGCAGAGCGCGGCGACACGGAGTGCGTGGCAATAACCGTATATTATGATTAATGGACTTAATGGCTCACTAGATATCGCAAATATGTGGACAAGTTCAATCGTATGTTCTCTGACACGCGTGGAAGGAAATTGCCTCGGTATTATATACCTGGCAACCACGATGTATGGTATGCTACAACCTCACTTCTGCAGATCGATCTCACCGATCAACTTCACTAGGTTGGGTGGTGACGACCCCCTCAGCCAGCTCGCGCGATCGCGCTACCAGACGTACTTTGGACCACTCAACTCACACGCGACGATAGGAGGACACGCCTTAGTGTTCATCGATGCGCCTCATCTTGTCGAAGACGACGCTACACAGCGTCGCGCGGGTGTCGACATCGAGACCTCGCGCTGGCTACCAGAAACCCTGAAGGAGTTGCAGACCACCATTCGACTCGGTTCGCGCACTGAAGACCAGCCGCCACGCGTCGTGCTATTTTCTCACATTCCGCTCTGGAGAGATATGAATGTCGACTGTGGACCCAATAGAGAACGGGGCACTCTGAGAGAAGGGCGCGGCTTCGGATACGAGAATACACTCAGCCCGGCCATCAGTCGGAATTTACTGGATGGGTTCCAGCCGGTAGTCATCTTCAGGTACGGTGTACACCGTCGACGATTGTGCCTGCATCTCACTTCATGTACAGTGGCGACGATCATGACTACTGTGAGATCACACATTCCATGCCAACCGCAGAAGGCTCGTCTTCAACTCCCAGATCTGTGACGGAGATATCTGTCAAGTCTCTTAGCATGGCTATGGGCATCCAACAGCCAGGCTTCTCCCTTCTTTCCCTTTCCTCTGGTGGCGCAGCGCACAGGATGTGCCTCTTGCCCAACCAGTTAGGCTTGTATTTGCGAGGATACCTACCTGCGTTCTTACTCACTGTATGCCTGCTATTGGTACATGCTGCCAGGAGAGGAAGCCCAGGAAGATACGGATCTCCGAAGACCTACGCGATGGCCGGTCTTCCATACAGCCGGAGTGAGTCTGGACTTGACTACGACCGTAGAGGCTCCGGCTCTATAGGAAGCGGGTTGACCCCTCAGTGGGCTAGGAGAAGGATACAGGTTCTAGAGCGGTCAGTCTTAGGACGTTTCGTGGTGGACCTGAGTACTGTAGCTTGGCTACCGCTCATTTTATTTGTAGTATTGATCGTCGTGATCTCCTGGTAGCATGTATTCTCCATGATAGACATCAATGCAGCTTGTATGTTAGGGTGCGTTCGGCAAAAACGAAGGCCTTCAAAATCTATGACTTTCGGCCTGACTAAGCCTCGTGATTGGCCAGAAAGCTCTCGAAGGACTTCAGATTTCGTCAGACTTGCCTTGTAAGGGCAAAATATCACGGTTTTCGTCACAGTTCATTCTTGCCGAACGCACCCTTATGGCCGTGATTTAGTCCGAACGGGCCGGATGTTGCCGTGTGTTCCGTTAACGCGTCCGCGCACCGCGCGCAGCTAAATTGAATAGAACCACCATCTGGAGTTCTTTGACATCGTTCTGTGCATCCGTTCTAACAGGCTCTAATAGGCTACGTGCCCCCAATGATGGCCCTTGACAGTGGCAGGACCCGAGCGATAGCGCGTGCTGTCTCAGAACGTCCGTAATGCCCGGAATTCCCATCGAAGAGGAGGCGAAAGGCTCCCTCCAGTTTCCCCTGTACTGGAATCTGAACACGTTACCACCATCATCTTGACACCCGCCCATCCATCTCCCATGAATACGCCAACCCAGTATGTCAACATCGTCTACTTCAATGAAGATAGCTCGAAGCTGGACAACTATGAGAGGTTCCGCACCCGTTACGTGCGGACCTGGTACGCCGCCTTGCGCCGTTCTCTGACAGTATATTCAATCTGACGCCCATCCTACAGGGGGCATCTATTGAACGAGCATGGACTGTACTGGGGTCGGGAAGTCGGGAAGCACGAGCGGTTATGGTCCATAGCTTGTAAGCGCCCTATCGTGCCGTGGATTCAACATGCGCGTGATCGACTAACCACTCCCTACAGTTTTAAAAGACGAGCATAGTCAGGACGACCTGCAGAGAAGTCCGGAGTACCAATCATGGCTAACCGATACCAACACCGCGATGCCAGTCAAACTTTTGAACGTCCCAGTACGAGGCTCGAGGCCGATGCATGAAGTGCTAGAAGCCGGCGTGGTGATTCTGGGATACTACAAGCTGGCCGCTCATCGAAACGCCGATCGGTTTGAAGAGCTAGCGCAACGCTTCTTGACCGAAATAGACATGCCGGGCTTCCATGGAGGGGCGTACATCTCACCTACCGGCCTCGGAGGAGACGCCATTACGTTCGGTGCTTGGGATAGTATTCAGGTGTGCTTGCCTTGTTCCGCAAATGTCCGGCTGTTCACCAACTCCATCCAGGCGTGTACGCAATTGGGAACCGATGGACGACACACCGAGCTGCTGTCACAAATGAACGAGGCATTCGACGCCACAGCCCGCACCTTCATCACATTTGTGAAGTTCCAGAAGCACGTAATAGCATGAGCAGGGGTCTGGCCCCATAAAGGTGTGTATACGAACTCTGTATGATCATCGGGCGATTCGCTTTGCGTCACTATCCCTTGTATATGCGTACCCCACGTGCGACTCTCTATGTATCAGGCGATGCACCTCCCTTTCGCAGTTGTGAGCTACTGTGCGCTCCGCACATTATGCGGCTGAGAGACTGGTGACCAGATAGGCATGGCTTGCGACGTCATCCTTCCGCCTCGTTGCCGAACGTCAGCGCCCAGGTATAAAGAAGCTGTCAGGTTCTTTGCTCTGTTCTCCAACACAACGCCCCGTATCAATCTGCTTGCTCGTCTTCAACATTTGATCTGTCAACTATGTGCCGGTGGTTTGCTTATGTCGGCCAGTAAGGGAATGACATACGGTCAGTCGCTGACATTACTGAGCATCTGTTCACTTCAGTGAGGAGTGTCTTCTCGAGGATGTGCTTATCGAGCCCAAACATGCTATAACGTTCGTATCCGAAGTTCGATATGCGCTCACGAGACTGATTCGACGCCGCGCTGACAGGAAACAGTGCGTGCCTCTTTTAGGCGCTTCGTTCTTGCCCTGATTCTCACACACTCGCTCAGAGTCCTTGACCACTACCTTCCGGGTTATGACCGCCACGCTTCACTTATGAAGAACGCACACTCATGCCTACACAGGTCTCATCCACCACGAGCCCGGCGAAACGCAGAGCCAGGAGCAAGCCGAAGAAGCTGAGCTCAAAATGCGTCTGTATATTCGCTGGCTGTCTTAGCCTGCACTGACACTGATGTAGGAAACATCATGTACAACATCGATGGCTTCGGCGTTGCTTGGTACAGCGACACACGCTCCCAATTTGAGATTGGCGTCGAGGGCCCCCGTGCGGCAATGTACAAGACCGTTGCTCCGATGTAAGCATCTGGCACTGTCGACTTGTGAGGCAGTCTCTTACAACCTCAATAAGTGTGACCGACACAACCTTCAACTTCATCTGCCAGAACACGGCCAGCAAATGCATTCTCGCTCATGTTCGCGCCGCGTCTGCGCCTCCCATCGTGGAGACGAACAACCACCCGTTCATCTTCGGACGACACTCGTTCATGCACAATGGAAGCGTCACATTTTTTCCCCAGATCGTCAGTATTAGCCCTTCTCTGTTTCCCATCGCCGCAACTGACTTGGGCTATGTAGCGTCACGGCCTTCTACAGCGGATGAAGCCTGAAATCGTCTCTCAGTTACAGGGAAACACTGACTCCGAGCACATCGCCGGTCTTTACATCTCTTACTTAGGCGATACGAACGTTGCGCACACTATCGACGAAATGCGGAAGGCTCTCCTCGCTGCCATCAAGACCGTGCTTGAGGTCCAGCAAACGGTCTTAACATCCGAACAGTTGAAGGACAACGGCGGCGCGAGCTCCTTAAACCTTTGCACTTGTGCGTCGCCCTGATTTTGCGCTGCAATTGATGGCTTCTAACCTCACCCATTGACTAGCGGACGGTCAAAAGATGCTCGCGATTCGTTTCAGGAACCATCCTACCCAGCAGCCACCTTCACTGTACACATCGACCACTGCGGGCATTGCGCTCAACCGCAAGTATCCCGGCTCAAGTACCGATACGGACAAGGACGTCAAACCCGATGACCGTTCCGCTCAGACCCATGGGAAGCATGTCATTGTCGCGTCCGAGCCCACGAGTGAGTCCAGTGACAATCTCCCCGGCCGTAATATGAATGCCGATCTTGCTCGCACCTCAGCCTACCAGCAGTCTGCGTGGACGCTTATGAAGAAGAATGAGCTACTCATGGTGGATGAGAACATCAATGTGAAAACAGAGATCGTCAATACCTCCGTGTGAAGCACGTGAATATATAGTAGGCCTATGTTACAGGGAATACCACTTGCAGAACTACCGATGCGGCTCTTTATAAAAGCCATATGCCCTTCGCAAGCGATTAGCCACGAGCTCGTACGCCTGCCACTTCAGCGCGGCGGGATGTGACCCTTCTGTGCACATGTGATCCCAATCGTGTCCTTGCCCCTCCGCTTCCCAGTGCACAACATCTCTTGCCGCACCTGTGAGCTTCACCGCTAGTACAGTGGCCTCGCGCGCGAGCGAGTCCTTGGAGCATGTAATGATGGTCGTGGGAGGGAAGTTCTCCGGCGGCGCTTCGAGTGGTGAGATGCCTGGATCCGAACGCGTTGCTTGCCCAATCTTCGGTGCTTTCTTCGACTTTGCGGGGTCATGCACGATAGACTTCGGTAGGTAGCACGCATACAAGAAACGCCGGAACCATGGGGGCATCGTTCCTCCTGCGGCACCCTCATCGGGCTTTAGCTGTGGCTTGAGATGTGCAGGCTCGGCGAGATTCGTGCTGAAGAACAACATTGATATGCAGCATGATCACGAAAAGATGTTGACTCACGAGGGATAGAACGATATGACGGCGCATACAGAGGGTTCACCTTCCAAACGCGGTCGAGCTGCCTCGACGAGCGCTAAGCAACCTCCGGAAGAGAACCCTCCAATGCTGATCCTATCTTTATCCCAACCAAAGACGTCCGCATGCCCGCGCACGGCGGCGACCGCATCCCTTACATCGCTGGGTCCAGTCGGCCACGGGTGCTCTGGTGCCTTCCGGTGGTCGATGTCTACAACGACACAGGGGACGCTGTCCGCGAGCCACGCGCAGAACGCCGCGTCTTGGCCGAAGGACTTGATGCAGAACCCGGACCCGTGTACGTTGACATGAATGGGTAAGCGTGCGGACTTGCTACTCTTCTGGGGACTGTGGCCCGCGGGAAGGTAGATGTTCATGCGTAGGGGCTTTCGGCGTTTACCAGTTGTAGGGGTGTATGTGAGGGATATTGACGGCTCTGGTGGCGGGGCGGAGCTAGGTGGGCCGATAACCTTGAGTATCAGAGGAACGAGCAACCTGACGCTGGACATGCCAGCCCTTTTCAGTGGATAGTAGTAATCGGGCGACATGGCGTGTCAGTTAGCATAGACAGGGTATTGCGAGCTTGCTGCATATATGCCGTTGGCCGACTTGGCCAGAAGGCGGCTCGACATCGTGTCCGGTTCGAGCCCCTAATCGGAGTGATGTCACCAGACGCGCGCGGTCTCCGATGCGGTTGACTCAACTTGACTGTGAGGCACGTACCTTAGCAGTTGAGACTCAGTCTGACTTGGCGAAAGACAGTCCCGCTACACGTTCGAGAGCATCGCCGCGACTTCGCCGCCCGGTAGGCGTTCGAAGTTTTGGACCGTACGAGGCCAAGGATCTTGAACCTGGAAAGGGTGGCTTGGTTATCCGCACAGTAACGATGCTCCGGTGCGTACCCCGCTACTCCGCGGGTATCCGTTGGATGTTCGCCTGAACCGACGCACGGTGTGACTGCTGTTCGGTAGCCCCTCATTGAATGCTCGCCGCCTACGCGACCAGTCCAAGACTCACGTACGGTGTACCCACATAAAGTGGGCAACTCCTCACTCGTCGCCGGGCATGATTCGCGTACACTGGCAGCACCTTCGTACTCTCGCTGCCCTTACAGAGCATGTTCGGAATCACTCAGCGTGTCGCTCGCGCAGCCTGGTTGGTGGTCATCATGCTGTCGTCCGTGGTCTGCTTCACCTTCGCCCTCGTCATGCGTCGTTTCTTTGGGCGACCAACCGATGTAGTCACACTCACGATCGTCCCGGGAGTATGCTTCATTGCATCCAGTGTGGCGTGAGTCGGTCCCATGTGAGCCTCAGAATACGGCTGATTCGCGAATAGACTGTGCGCGAACTACTTGTTTAGAAGTAGTGCGGTGAGATGCGTCGCGATGGAACTCTTATGGGCCGGATCAATGTCCCCGATAGCTTTGAGTACGTCCTGGACAACTCGTTCCTTTGAAGCGACTTAGCATTGATCGTCCAGTTATGGGACTCTACACGTACGCGTTCGCACCGGCGTCCGAATATCCGGATAAGGTATGGCCAATCTACGCCGCCCGCATCCTTGCTTGGGAACTGGCTATAACTGGTATGTCTCCCGCTGCAATCAAAGCACGATGGAATGCTGACATGGCATCAGTTACCCTCTACCTCATCGGGACGCTATCGCTAGCGCTCCTCACATCATGGCTCATTGACAAGGACGTCTGGCTACGACCGATCGCGGGTAGCCCCTCGCCCTTCCCGCTCGCACTCATGTGGCACGTCCTACGACACCGCGAGCCCACAAGCGAGGATGAGAAAGAGAAGCGGATGTGTCCACCTGGATGCGCGTGCGCGCGGAAGCTGGAAAGCGCAGACGACTCCAACTCGGACTTTGTGCACATCAGATCCGGAGAACACCACAATCCCAGAGAGGCCATCACTCAGGCTGACGAGAGGGTGCCGGGGATACGCGTGCCTAACGTTGTAGAGCGAAGTTCTTTTATTGCTATAGGGCTCTCGGGGTACGAGGCCGATGCGTACACGGACGTGTGATGCGGGTTGACATGGGTGGTCCGCGGTTGGGCCGCGCTATGAATATCAAGGGACTCCAGTTGGATATCTGACACAGTCGTGCGAGATACTCCAGACCCTCACGGAAGCGCTCAACAGATCGTGCCTTGTTGATTGTCAGAAACAAATCAAAGAATGGAGCAAGTCGCGACTTGGGAAGCTCAGGCTCAGGGATTTTTGAAATGCGTTTATTTGGTTTGCATGCAGTACCACGTTCTCCTCCAGCCTTCTCACCCTCCAACTCTACACAAGCACGGCGCATGTATCTTGACATGCGGCAACGGTGCGCGGGAGCGCTGTTCCGGGCATGGACTGGACGTCACCGAGGCGTTAGCGCGCGCTCGGACAAGCTCGGCTCGCAAGACTGCGTACCGAATAAGAAACAATGGCCGTCTCTACAACTCCGCTCCAGCCCACAAACATGAGATGTTTAGTGATGGCCGTGTGCGGCAGCCTCCCCCGCGGCCTTGACCTTCTTCGACTGGGAGAAGACGAGGTTGTCTGCGAGGACGTAGGTGGTGAAGGCGACGACGGCGATGCCGAAGCCTGGGAAGAGGTTTGCGAACATCTGTCGCTTTGAGAACACGGGGTTGCGGCGCCAGGCGTTGCGCTTCGCCCAGGGATCGCTGTAGAGTTGTGGCCCGTTAGACATGGTGGTTGTTGGCGTACGGGGAACGAATGAGTCGCGTGGCGGCCCGGGGATGGCAGCGGTTCCCAGGGTGGGGGCTACAAAAGGCCGTCAAACGACAAGTCGCCGCGCCCTTCGTGCTCCAAACGCTTCTCGCGACTAAGGCGATTTTCCCGCCCTCCCTGCGCTGTCTACGCCGTCCCTCCCGCCCCCGTCGCCTCCCATGGCCGCCGACCGCGACAGTAGCATGTCTGAGGACGATGTTCCCCTTGCTTCTCAGACTTCCACCACCGCTAATGGCACAAACGGCACAAACGGCTCTGGCAGCCACGTCGCTAAGAACGGCAACGGCCGAGCCCGTGACGACTCCCCCATGGACGAAGACGATGAAGATGGCATGCCCCTTGTATGTAGTCTTTCACTCTACTCTACACGAATATCCTACAGGTTTCTTACGCCACTTCTATTTCTCTATTCGACTTAGTCGCAGACGGTGAACGGGAACGGAAACAATAACGTGACCTCCGCCGCCTCCGCGCCGAACCGCAAGCGCAAGGCCACCACCTCTCCTCCCTCCTCAGACGAAGAGGATGATGTTCCGCTCGCATCTTCGCAGCCGACTGCGCATCGCTCGGCAGCCGTGCCCATGCCAGGCGCCGCGGCCGCCACGACGGTCTCACGCGACTCGTTGCCGCCACTCAACGGCAAGGGCAAGCTCAAGCCGGCCAAATGGGACAACGACGACGAAGTGGAGGATCTGAGTGACAGTAGCGAGGACGACGTGCCACTTGCCGCTTCGAGCGTCCCTCCCACGCCTGCCAAGCCGCGCACGAATGGCAAGGCCAAAGCCGTCAAGGAGGAGGAGGACAGTGATCCCGAGTCGGCGGCTAACAAGGCCAAGGCGGCGAAAGCTAAGCCTGCACGCGCGGTGAAGCGGCGCAAGACGACGATCAAGGAGGAGAGCGATGAGGACGATGACGTGCCGCTACAACAGGAAACTCCGAAGAAGCCGGCTGCGAAGCGGGGTGCGAAACGCGTCAAGAAGGAGGAGGATGATTCGGGTGCAGAAGATGTTAAGCCGAAGAAGCGTGCGAGGGTGAAGAAAGAGGAGAAGGAGACTAAGGAGGAGAAAGCTAAGGCCAAGGCCAAAGCGAAGAAGGAGAAGGAAGAGAAGGAAGAGGAGGAGATCCATCGCTGGTGGGAGGCGAACGGTGGCATTCAGGGCGATGACGAGCAGAAGTGGACAACGCTCGAACATTCAGGTGTAATGTTCGCTCCGCCGTATGAGCCGTTGCCAAAGGACGTCAAGATGAAATACAACGGTAATGGCTTCTTCTTGATCGTACATTCGGCAGACGTCTCATACATGTACAGGCAAACCCGTCTCTTTACCGCCCGCCGCTGAAGAGGTCGCTGGCTTCTACGGCGCCATGATTGAGACCGACCACGCCAAGGACGCCACTTTCAACCAGAACTTCTTCGCTGACTTCCTCAAGGTCCTCAAGAAGAATCCACCTGTAAGGTTATTCATCCGCCGCTCGTGATACGCATCCCTAGTTCATCACCCATAGACCGACGGTACCAAGATCACGGACTTCGATAAATGCGACTTCCGGCCGATGCTTGAATACTTCGAGGCCGAGAAGGCTAAGAAGAAAGCAATGACTTCAGCCGAGAAGAAAGAGGCTAAGGCGCAGAAGGAGGCGGCGGAACTCAAATACACGACTTGTCTACTCGACGGGCGCAAGGAGAAGGTCGGCAACTTCCGCATTGAGCCTCCAGGTCTATTCCGCGGTCGTGGCGAGCATCCGAAGAAGGGCGCGCTCAAGGTAAGGACACATCCCCATTCGGCAAAGCCTCCCTTTGACGTTGATCTTCTATTGTAGCTCCGTGTACGTCCGGAGGATGTCACGATCAATATCGGCAAGGAGGCCCCCATACCGAAGCCTAACGTCGGTGGTAACTGGAAGGAGGTCATCCACGACAATACCGTTACTTGGCTCGCGACATGGGTTGAGAATGTCAATGGCAACCACAAATATGTCTTCCTCGCGCCTGGTAGTTCGCTCAAGGGTCAAAGCGATATGAACAAGTTCGAGAAGGCGCGTGAGCTCAAGGTATATACTTGTCACTACTCCGTGTATCTTTCCGCTGACATGTTTGGATAGACACACATCGACCGCATCCGCGCCGACTACACCGCTGAGCTCACGGACAAGCAGATGGCGACTCGTATGCGCGCAACGGCAATGTACTTTATCGACGTTCTCGCGCTTCGTGCGGGTAACGAGAAGGGCGAGGACGAGGCAGATACCGTCGGTTGTTGTTCGTTGCGCTGCGAGCACGTCACGCTCGACCCTGGTCCGCCGCAACAGCTTGTGTTCGACTTCTTGGGTAAAGACTCCATTCGGTACTACAACAAGGTCGAGGTCAACGAGACGGTATTCAAGAATATCAGGATCTTCAAGAAGAACAAGGAGGATAGCGATGACCTATTCGACCGCCTATCTGTGCGTTCTCTCTCACGCGTTCAATTGATGGTCTCGCTGACGCGCGCACACAGCCTGGTCTCTTGAACAAGCACTTGCAAAGCTACATGAAGGGCTTGAGCGCGAAGGTTTTCCGTACATACAACGCATCAATCACGTTCCAGCGTCAGCTCGACCAGGGCACACCGGAGAAGGGCACGCTACAGGAGAAGCTCAACCACTACAACCACGCCAACCGTATGGTCGCCATTTTGTGCAACCATCAACGTGCTGCGCCCAAGACGCACGAGCAGTCGATGGGCAAGATGAAGGACAGGGTAAGCATCCGCTGTGCGCTTTCCGCCGCAATGTAGCAATGCTGATGGTATCCGTAGTTGCGTGGCATGAAGTATGAGCGCATGAAGCTCCGACATGCGCTGTTTGGTCTTGACGCCAAGTACAAGAAGAAGAAAGCTTACTCTGCTGACGAGTCTGACTTCGAAGACGAAGACGTAGGCGAGGTCGAGGAGATGCTCAAAGCGAAAGAGCTTGAGCGCGTGCAGAAGAAGTTCGCCAAGGAGAACGAGAAGCTCGCGGCGGACGGCGAGCCTGAGCAGACGGCTGACGTGCTGAAGGAGCGCGAGAAGGCTGTGCATGACGAGTACAAGCGGTTGGCGAAAGAGAGGGGCACGGGCAAGGCGACGTTGAAGAGGGAGAAGGCGCCGGAGAAGATCGAAGAGGCGATCGCGAAGTTGGACGATAGGATCAAAACGTTCAAGCTGCAGATGGAGGATCGCGAGGCGGGTAAGGAGGTCGCGCTCGGGACGAGTAAGATCAACTACCTCGACCCTCGGTGAGTCTGGCTCGGTGAAAGGTTTCGTGCGCATCACTGACTTGCCGTACAGGATCACCGCCGCTTGGTGCAAGAAACACGATGTACCGATAGAGAAGCTTTTCTCCAAGACGCTACTCACCAAGTGTATGTTCGGTTATTTACTTGAATTTACTCTTGTACTGAGTATATTCCAGTCCCCTGGGCATTGGAGGTCGACGACGAGTGGAAGTTCTGAGTATATTTCTTCCTGGATGGACATCTCACAACACAGGCTTCCGTACATACACTGCATCACCCGCATACATATTCCCCTCTGTTATACATCATCCGTCCTGTCTGTATCAGTAGCACCAATATATATTGCATACATTCTTCCCCGGGCCGCCTCACGTTCTGTCAACGTGCACCCACTGGCGTCTGCTTCCGTGCCACGTACGGAACTGCGCGTGGGATGCCGAAGACAGCTGTTATTGAGTGCGGTACGCGCTCGGTGACGCGCGTTGACCACTCCGTGCTCTGCACACCCATTATCCCTCCACCATGAGCCGGTTCGCATCGCGCACGGCGTTTGATTTGCTGGCCGTCGACGACGGCAACGACGGCCAGTCGTCCGAAGAGGAGCTCGCGCCCGAGCCCGAAACCGCGCCTTCCGCCCCGTACGTCTCGTGGCTCCACAAATTCACCATGTCTACAACACCTCGCTTAACGAAATATATTTCTCTACATCAGTGCCGAAACTGTGAAGCCGACCAAGACTGCGCAGCGTAAAGCTGCCAGAGCCGCCCGTCTGGCCAAAAAACTCGAGCGCGCAAATTCTGGGTCGAGCGCGGCGCCCAGCGCGAGCGCGTCGCCGCTGCCGCCAGCTCCTATCGAACTCCCCTCTGTTCCCGAGCCTCCACTTGTACCGGCCGCGAAAGAGGCAATTCCTGCTGCGCTAGATGTCACTCCAGCTACCGTTCCATACACTAATGGACACGCCACGACCGAGCCGGAGGTCGAAACGCCGGCACCAGAGTCGCCAGCTGAGCCTGAGCCTGAGCCGATCGTCGAGGCCCCTGCACCTCCCGCGCGCCCTGCGCCTGCTGCTGAGAAGCCGACAGAGGGTCAGGCGGCCGTGCCTGTCGAGATGGCGCCTAAACCGAAACCTGCGCCTCCTGCCCCAGCTTCTGCGGCTGCAGAGGCGGAAAAGAAAAGGAAGATCGGGAGCATCGTCACCAGGACTGTCTGGACATTCATCATGATCGGCGGCTTCATCGGTACGCCATATTTCGCTTCTTGACAGGACGGAATAGAAGCTGAGTCTGGCTTGGGTTGCAGGATGTCTCCTTATGGGCCACGCATACATGATCATTCTGGTCATGCTTTGCCAGACGCTCGTGTACCGTGAAGTTACGAGGCTGTTCATGCTGACCGACATCCAAGCAAAGGCGACGGATGAGACAAGGGAACGCGATGTATGGAGCAAGACACTTTCGTGGTACTTCTTCGCGGTCGCGAACTACTTCCTTTACGGCGAGAGCATCATCTACTACTTCAAGGTATGTCCATATTGTCAGACATGATACGTTATGCTGATGTGTCCGCATAGCACGTCGTATTCGCGGATGCGAACCTCCTGCCGTTCGCGACAAATCATCGCATCGTCAGCTTTTCGCTATACACGATCGGCTTCATGGGCTTCGTCATGTCCCTCCAAAAGGGCTACCTCCAACAACAATTCGGCCTGTTCTGCTGGGTGCACATGTCGCTTCTCCTGGTCGTCGTGTCCTCGCACTTCATCATGAACAACATCCTCGAAGGCCTTATTTGGTTCTGGGTCCCGGCCTCACTCGTCATCTGCAACGACATCTTCGCCTACATCTGGGGTATGAGCATCGGGCGCACACCACTCATCAGTCTCAGCCCGAAGAAGACTGTCGAGGGCTTCGTTGGTGCTTTCATCAGCACTGTGCTGTTCTCCATCGGCTGGGGGATGTACTTCGCACGGTTCGACTATATGATCTGCCCTGTGCACGATCTCGGCGTTAACGCCTGGTCCGGCATGACCTGCGAACCCAATCCCGCCTTCGTGTGGCGCGAGCAGGCTATCATCCCACCGGTCGCCGCGTTCTTGAATACCTTAGTACGTGCGCTCATCCAGCCGGCGATGTGACATGAACTAACATCTCCTCATAGCTGCCTGGCACTTGGAATACGATCGCGTACACGCCCTTCCAGATCCACCTTGTCGTCTTTGCTTGCTTCGCCTCGCTCGTAGCTCCCTTCGGCGGCTTCTTCGCATCGGGCTTCAAACGCGCATTCAACATCAAAGACTTCGGGCACTCGATCCCGGGACATGGTGGTATGACCGACCGCATGGATTGCCAGTACGTTCTCCCTCAGCGTTGCTTGTATGATCGAACACGATGTTGACTGCGCGCCATAGGTTCTTGATGGGCGTGTTCACCTACGTGTACTACACGTCGCTGATCCGCACACATCACGTCTCTGTCGGCTCCGTCCTGCAGACGATTGTGTCGGGGCTTACGTTCGACGAGCAGCTCGAGCTCATGCGCGATCTCAAGCATTATCTCGAGCAGCAGGGCGTCCGCGTCAAGTTGTAGCTGGAGGATGTGGTGGTTTGACACGAGTTCGAGTGTGCTGCCTGTTGTCCCCTACCTTACTTACATGTACAACCCTGAGCGGACGGAGGACTGTTTGTGACTCCCCGCTTGCTATGATACTGAGGATGCATCCTTGTATGCGCGCTTGATAACAATCCCTATTGCCACTAGGCCCTACGCCCGCTTTACGTTTGATCATCTCTCAACCGTCTGAATTGACGCAAGATGTCGGCTTTGAATTTCTACAGAGTACCGCCTATCCCGATGAGCTGGGTGAATCCAGACATTCAGGTAGTATCTTTTGTTATTCCGAAAAAGATATTCCATGGCGGCGGATATTTTCCCACGCGATTCGCACGCGATTCTTGATGCTGTTTGCATCGTAGCTCGCTCGCTCGCTAATACTGGCTATGACCGCGGAGTCAGACTGTTCATATAAACGCACAAACACTGAAAGAAATATACCGTGTGAAAGTCGAAGAACGCAGCGGACAGCCAAACTGCCTGCGATCTCGGCCGTTGCGCCTCGCATTTTTATACTATCCCTAGAGGCAACAACTATGAACATTAGCTGTGACCATAGGTAAAAAGAGAGTCGTGATAAACATGCGCCGGCCGGGAGTCGAACCCGGAGCTAGGTCGTGTGGAGGGGTTTCGACTCCCGGCCGATGCACCGACAGCACTCCCACCCTCGGCGAGCTTGCGAGCCAGGGTGGGGGGTGCTGTCGGGGCATCGTGCCGGGAGATCGAAACCACTCCACTGGGCGAGCATAAGCGAGCTGGTCAGTCAACAGCCAGCCCGCCAAAGGCGGGCGGCAGGTATGGTCTTCCCTGTCGATCTCAGAAGCAATAATAATACATGAACACTGCCTGTATGTATTGCGCCGGCCGGGAATCGAACCCGGCGCTAGGCCAAACTCCTATGGGAAGACCCAATGTTACCACTACACCACCGGCGCTTGGGTAACTATTGCTTATAAGCGCTTACAATATTTTGGAACAAAAGCACACGTCAAATCCGGACCCAGAGTCCGGACCCGGGTGATCTCCTCTGAGGTTGAGCACATGTATCGGTTGGATCGAAGGGCACAGTATCCGCTATGTGAGACTGCACCAAATCCTGTACAGTTCAAATGGGGCTGCACAGCAACCATGGCATGACTCACGAATGTCACAAAAGAAGGAAAGGCTCATGGCTCGACTCAGGGCGTGCAACAGCAACAGCAACCTTCGCGTACGATAGCGCGTACAGAAGTGCTTTACAGGGCGTATATACGTGCATTTGACATACATCGGCCAGTCCTTATCATTGTACGTCACAACCATCCCATGATGATGATTTATTTAGCTACGGTAGGCTCCGTTGATTCGGACATACTCCTGTAGACGGTCGATGAATCATCCGCACACTGTATCAATGAGATGCACGCACATAACTGTAGTCGCATGTCCAGAACTTAGCGTTCTCGCTGCCTGCACTGAGTCCAATCTTGATCTCGAATTCGTCCTCACTCAAGATCTCCTTCGCGCGGGCCTCGTCGAAGTCTACCGGTTCCCCATTTGTTGATACCGGCATAGGTGCCGATCCATTCGCTGGCACGAAGGTGATGGACACGCGCGCGGGATCAAGCTTTTTGCTGAGAGGGATGGCACCGACGGCAGCCAGTACACGACCCCAGTTGGCATCTTCGCTGTAAAGCGCAGTTTTAACGAGTGGACTCCGGGCTACGCTTGATGCAACCGCTTGCGCGTCGGCGTACGTCGCGCCACCCTCGACGGAAAGCGTGATGAACTTGGTTGCACCTTCGCCATCCCGCGCAATGAGCTGTGCGAGCTCCTGCATCACGCCGGTGAGCGCAGCGCTGAACACCCCGAATGGTGCACCACTTTCAGGCGTGATCTCAGGCATGTCATCAGGTGCGGCAGCTCCGTTTGCGAAGACCGCGACGGTGTCGTTCGTACTCATGTCTCCGTCGACGGAGATGCAGTGAAATGAACGATCACTCGCGCGTGCAAGGGCCGCTTGCAAACCTGCGGGCGAAACGGGGGCGTCGGTCGCAAGCATGCACAGTAGCGTGGCGTGTGGCGGCCCCGAGGAAACAAGTTTGGGGCTGATCATGCCAGCGCCTTTGGAGATGCCCGCCAGACGGAAGGTGTGCCCGTCTACATTGAACGTTGTAGCACGTATTTTGGGAAAGGTGTCCGTCGTCATGAATGCGCGTGCAAGAGCGTGCCAGTGTTCGGGGCTGCTTCCGGCCGTTGATGGCGATGCGCTGATACCAGCAAGGATGCTGGAAATCGGCAGCTTCTTGCCAATCACGCCCGTAGACATGACCAGTGCTTCTGATTTGGGTGCTGGGGAGGGGAGTAGTTTATGCGCCGCGTTGGACATCGCCCATGCATCCTTCATTCCTTGAGCACCCGTTGCAGCGTTCGCGTTGCCCGCGTTCATCACCAGAGCGCGCGCTCGGCCAGCAGTATGCCCCAACACTTCATCGCTGACCAGAACGGGCGCAGCACGGAATGTGTTCGCAGTGAAAACGGCCGCTGCACTTGTTGGTCGTGTAGACGTGCTGAGCAGCACACCAACATCGAGTTCGCCAGCTTGTTTCTTGACTCCTCCATGGGTCGCTGAGACCGTGTAGCCCTGTGGGAGCAAATATGCCGGGATCGGTTTATGGAAGTGCGTCTTGGAAGATGCTACCGCTGCCGTGAACGTCGACGTAGTGGTGGAGGCAAGGCGTCTGAGGGTTCGACTGGCCATGATGGAGAGATGCAAGGGAGTATGCAAGCTATATCACAGCCTGTGACGAGTCAGTGAAGACTACTGAGTCCTGCAACAGCTTGCAGCGCAGAAGGACGGTGGTTGGCAGAAGAAACCGACTCCAGGGGTTGGAGAGCACTCAATATCCAGGATCACTGCATGACTCGATTTTTGCCCCTTGACATTCGTCAACAGTCATGCGAAGTGCGCGCCGAGTCTGCAGTCCTTGAAACTCGTCGATACATTGGCACATACGAGGGAATGGGGTTCGAGGCCCCAGCCCGTCACATCGAGGCTTGAAGCAAACCATGGAATCGCGCAAGCGCCCGTCGAGGTGTCATCAACACGCGCATCAATTGCTCGAGCCACACACTTGACCATGACCCTCATCTTGACCATCTTTCTCCTGGTGTTCGTGAACGAACTCATAACCTGGATAGGCAAATCTGTCTTGCAACAGCTTGTGTGTGCTATGCTGTCTAAATCTGAACGTACGGGAAGTGACACGAAGCTCAGGCATGGGCTGTATACGAGCGCGTGTTTTACTCAGGCTCGGCTGCTCGGCAACGCGCTCTGAAAACAGAGATACTTGCGAGGAAGAAAGAGCTACAACAGACGAGTGCACAAGACCAATTCGCTAAATGGGCGAAACTGCGCCGAAGCGTCGATAAGGGTTTGGCAGATCTCGAGAAGCTCAGTGCGTGCGTAGGCTATACTACTCTGGATTCATCGCTAATATTTGCACAGACAGCGAGACTAGCGGAGCAAAGTCCTCGTTCAACATGAAGTTCAACTCGGCTTTGTGGATCCTTACGACTGGCGCGCAATTCGCTCTGGGTTGGTGGTACCGCAGCTCTGCGGTGTTCTTCCTCCCGCCAACGTGGTTAGGCCCGCTGACGTGGTGGCTGTCGTTTCCTTTCGCACCGTCAGGTGTGATGTGTTGCTATAGCCCACGGTGGACAAGGCTAATTAATCGTGCAAATGCAGGGTCGGTGAGCTGTGGCGTATGGCAGATGGCTTGTCGTCGTGTTCTCAAGGTCGGCGAACGTGTTGTAAGAGATCTCATGGGTGCGCGCTTTCATTGTTCTTGCGTTACACGCGTGCTGAGGCAATTACGCTCAGGAACAGATGGAACTCTGCCCTCGGCGGATCCGAAGGCAGAAGCCTCAGGCTCAGAGCCTGTCGCGGAAAAGAAGACACAATAAATGTACTTCTTGACTTGTGTATTGTATACGTACGAACCTGGTTTAAAACGATGCGTTCATCCTGCCAACGGTAACCGCTGCGTGCTTGGACGATATGAAGCAACGGATGTTGTATAAACTCCCTGCATCTCTAGATATGACATTCACCTACGAAATATGGAACGCGGAACGCCGAGCGGGGTTGCCGATAGACATCCCGGCCCGTGCTTTGGCGATTCAGAGTGTAATCGCTTTATATATCATGAGGCGTATCGGACTATTACAGAAGCCCTGCCGCGTAGCCTATGTAGAAACCCGCATCCGTCTTGATAGCAGGGTGTCACCAAATACACAGGGACCTATGACCATATATGACCAAAGATAAGATAAGATTAACTTCCTGGCCGCTTGATCGACGTCGCACGGTCCCGACCAAAACCTTCCGCCGACGGCCACGACGGCCGGACGGTGCCCCGCTTCCATGTCTGCTTCAGGTATCGGCATGCGCCCCATCTCTCAGGCGACTGGCCGGTATCTGCGTCTACAAATCCGATGGCGCTTCTCCTCTAAAGCCGCATAAAGTCGAATACATTCGGCAGCGCGAATCACATGAATGCATAGTAGTCGCAGTTGAAAGTCGCTCGACCTAAGACGTGCGGAGGAAGATGATGAACGGAGCGGCGCGGCCGCGGCGGGTGTACGTGCGCGGATGACCATCGGCATCCCGACGAGCGTTCCGAAGCAAACGAAGGGCCTGCGGTTGACCACGGCTGGCCCGAAGACGGCTAGCTCGTCGTTGCGAACGACGACCGCGGCCCCGAGCATAGTGGCACCGTGTTCACTGGCACGACCGACACTGGCTACATGTGATTGAGTTGGTCCCGCTCGCATGACGTCTCCTATCCTTCCCCCCACACTTGAACCGCCTTGGCGGGAATCCGGGATGCGGGGAGCCGCCACTGAGTGGCGCGCAACTACATAAACCGGGAGCGCAAGATTCCGGATAACTTCACTTTCCACCTCTACCGCTTCGCTACTATGGTTCAGGGCGTTCAGATTAACACTTCCACCTCCAAGCAGGCGCAGGACCAGATCCTCACAGAGGAGGCGCTCACCTTCCTCGGCGCCCTTCACCGCACATTCGACAAGACCCGCAAAGCTCTTCTTGTCAACCGTATCGCCGTCCAGCAACGTCTGGACTCCGGGCTACCTCTCGAGTTCCCGCCCGAGACTGCCAACATCCGCGCCGAGCCCGCATGGCATTGCGCACCACCCGCACCTGGTCTTGAGGACCGCCGCGTTGAGATCACAGGCCCAACAGACAGGAAAATGGTGGTCAATGCGCTCAACAGCGGCGCAAAGACGTTCATGGCTGACTTTGAGGGTGCGTGTGGCGCCTTCTTGGTCACTGCGCGCCTGAGCTGATAGGGGTTTCAGATGCCACTTCACCGACGTTCAAGGCTTTGATCGAAGGTCAAGTCAACCTCCACGACGCTATCCGTCGCCAGATCGACTTTGAGGCTGGAGGAAAGTCCTACAAGCTGTCCGAGAACCCTGCTGTGCTCATCGTCCGGTACGTCCTTGTTCACTCGGTGAATGACGACTAGCTGATCCCTGAGCAGACCTCGTGGATGGCATCTTGAGGAGCCCCGCCTTACTGTCGACAATGAGCCCATGTCCGGCTCGCTCTTTGACTTCGGTCTCTACTTCTTCCACAATGCTAAGGAGCTCGTCAAGCGCGGCTCGGGCCCGTACTTCTACCTTCCCAAGATGGAGCACTACAAGGAGGCGCGCCTCTGGAACGACGTCTTCAACTTCTCGCAGTCTTACATCGGCTTGCCGCACGGCACAATCCGTGGAACTGTGCTCATTGAGACGCTCCCCGCTGCCTTCCAGATGGAGGAGATCCTCTTCGAGCTTCGCACCCACTCATCCGGCCTCAACTGCGGTCGGTGGGACTACATTTTCAGCTTCATCAAGCGCCGCCGCGCCGACAGGAGCGCTGTTTTGCCCGACCGCAAGGATGTTACGATGACGTCTCACTTCATGGACTCGTATGTTCGCCTGTTGATCCAGACTTGCCACAGGTGCGTTGCTACAGTTCTTCTATTCTATCCTCTTTACTTACATCATGTGAAGGCGAAAGGTGGCGGCCATGGGCGGCATGTCAGCGCAGATTCCCATCAAGGGCGACGACAAGGCCAACGCAGAGGCCATGGACAAGGTTCGCGCCGACAAGCTCCGCGAGGTTACCTACGGTCACGACGGCACCTGGATCGCACATCCACTTATCAACAAGATCGCACGCCAAGTGTTTGACGACAACATGCTCGGGCCTAACCAGTACCACCAGCTTCGCGAGGATTGGCGCGTCCAGGCAGCGGACCTACTCAACACCGACGTATCAGGACGCGTGACGACCGCCGGTGTACGCTCCAATGCCGCCACGGTCCTCGCATACGCAGGAGCATGGATCGGCGGCAACGGCTGCATCCCGCTCAACTGGCTTATGGAGGACGCAGCGACGGCGGAGATCTCGCGCGTCCAGCTCTGGCAATGGGTACACTACGCCGTACGCACGGAAGACGGCGAGCCCGTGACCGCCGAGGGCGTCGACAGACTCCTCGACGAGGTCGTACCAGAAGTGCGCAAGGCTGTGCCCGCGATGAAGGATGAGCATCTCGCCATCGTCAAGGACTACGTTAAAGCGCAGATCCGCCAGACCTGGCCAAGTGAGTTCTTGACGAGCGATCTCATGCCGTATCTCGCACAGGCCGATGGCGTCCCTACGAAGTGGCACAAAGCGTCTCTTTGAGCTGGACTGATATCACATTTGCCTCACTGTCGTGTTCTCGCATTGTATGATTAGACACATTCGCATCATGTACGTTATTGGCAGCTTTGGAATACAGAAGGTTCGCATGATTAATCACATCAATGTCCTTGTACAGAGAGAATGCGCGCGAACGTCTACCACTTCGGCTGCGCAATCGCCGACTCGGGCCACAGCTTACATCGTATGTCGCGGGTAGCTCGTTCACTTTGTCACCTCCCGCCTCCTGTCTATAGGAGTGAGGTGAGTTTGCGTACGATGAGACGCCCAGACCCTCGGTGGTTCGGACTGAACAATCACAGCTCAACCCCTTTACCCCCTCTTCAAATGTATACTAAAGACTCAAGGCGACGTTAACCGGACTGGTCCACCTTACGACGCGCACAGAATTGCGAGTACCTTCGCCAGCATACCCTTCCCTAATCGGGATGGCCGCAAACCCTCTCCCTCACCCCATGCTCGCACTGGGCATGGCGGCCTCTATCGTCACCCGAACACGGACCCTGGTGCCCGGTGCGAGCACCCGCTCTGATACGCTCAGGGCGGGCGGGCACGAGATCCAGCTCAGCCACGAACTCGGCCATGGCGCATACGGCGTCGTGCACCACGGCAAATCGCGGGGTGGCACAAATTACGCCGTGAAGCACGCCCGGACCAAGACGGCCAAGACGGCGCAGCACGAAGCCGCCATGCTCGACAGGGTGTCCGGGCACAAGCACGTCGTTCCGTACATGGGCATGGCGCAGGCGCGCTCCAAATGCTATGTCCTCACCGGACTCTGCGAGGGTGGAAGCCTTCAGCAACACATCGAGGCAGGCGACTTTCACCTCCGAAACGCGGAGGTCCGGCGTGTCTTCCTTCAACTCATATCAGCCGTCAAGCACTGCCACCAACGCGGTGTCGCTCACCGTGATCTCAAACCGGACAACATCCTTGCCCTGGACTCGCGCGCGGAGACGTACTGCCTTGCGGACTTCGGCATTGCGTCGGATCGAAGGCAATATCCGGTCGAGTTGACCGGCACCTTCGCATACATGGCACCTGGTATGTCCTACTACCCTGAATGAGCGTCTTGTTCACTGATCGAATCACAGAGTGCCTGGGAAGCGAGTACTGGAAGAACACATACGATACCCACTCTGCAGATGTCTGGTCACTGGGCATCATACTGGTCAAGATGATCACCGGCCGCGTACCGTGGAAGGTCGCGGTGGGCACTCGCCGCAATGGCGACGACCTCTACCGCGAATACTTGCGCGATCGTTTCTTCATTGGCGACTATCTAGAGCTCGCCGAGGAGTTCTTGCCGCTGCTCCACCGTATCCTCGAACCAAGTCCAGCAAAGCGCATCTCAATCGACGATCTTGAAAAGGAGTTCAGGGCGTGCAAGAGGTTCTCATGGTCCATGGAGGAGATACAGCAGTCCATGGAGAGCTTCACAAGCAAGGCTATGGAGAAGGACGGGGATGTAGAGGTGGGGATCGTCGAGGAGCTTCTGAAGGCAGAGGCAGAGGCGAAGCGGCGGGCGGCAACAGAGAAGGTGCTGGTCGAGTTGTGGCGCAAGCTCAAACTCAAGTTGAGATGATACTTACTTCTGGACTATCTGATTACGGGCGGACTGGGTCTCCATATCTTTATTTGTCAGTCTACGCTGGACTATGACTCCAAACCTAAAACTGTACATTATGCGAGTTGAACCTCGTACAACCAATCAAGACATATTTGAGAATGAGCCCGTCCCTTCCGCTTCCGGGCGATGTACGTTTTCCGCTTGCGTTCACAGGTGAAGCGTTGATTTGCAGGTCTCGCGCATCAGCACGGAGTAAGGGCAGACCTTGTTGTACAGGGTCAGGGAAGATCATCAATAACCAGTAGTGGTTGTTCGCACCTCATGAGCCTTCTCAACCAGGCTCTTGTCCTCGACTCCCGTAACCTTGATATCGGCTTCAAGGCCAAAGCCCTCGGCGTCTGCGCGCTTGCCGAGTGCTACTGTGACATGGATCTTCGCGTTCTTCACGGCGTCTTTCTTGCCCTGTTGGCCAGCAACGAGGTTGAGGGCACCCGAGAAGCAAGCTGTACAGGTATGGATTCAGCAGTTGTACGAGAACGTCGCTTATGAGACATACCGGCGTAGCCCATGGCGAAGAGCTGTTCAGGGTTGTGTGCGTCCTCCGCGCCTCCGAGGGACTTGGGTGTGCTCATCTTCAGAGTCAGGCTTTTCGACTGAGGGCTGGTAACTGTGCCGTTGCGGCCGGCAGAGTCCGCAATGCCCTCGACCTCGTAAAGGCGCTCCTTGAGCGTCACGAGGGACCGACGCGAGGCCGGAGTTGCACGAAGTGCCGCGCGAGCAACAGACGTTCTGAGAAGGGCAGACATGATCGTTCGAGACAGTGTTGTCGGTGGGTCGGCCGCTCTCGAGAGGTCGGCTTATGTACACCCTCCTTCGCAATTCCGCGCACACGCGGTGACCCTCCTCGCAGCCATTCGCCGTTGACCATGTTCATGATGACGTAGACGACAAGGTTATCGTTACCCGCTTAATTAGCCCTGGCGCTCTCCAGGCAGACGAGCTCCTGCTGTATCACGCGTACTGTGATTCGGAATATACATTGTGAGAACAGGATGGATGCGTGAAGCAAGCTCTGAATCAACGTTCAATTGCGCGCTCGCCGTCATCCGCACGAGCGCCGACGCTGGCAACCTGCGACTTGTTCCCGACTTCCATGTCGTTGCCTCACTATGTGTACATTCATGCCTCTGGTAGCTCCGCAGTGCATTCGATCTCGACCACCGCGCCCGGAAGAGGAAGCTGCGACACCCCGACACACGTCCGCGCAGGCATCTTGCCCTCTTCGAAGTACTGTCGTTGGTGTTAAGCTGGGAATACCCACGGCAAGACCGCGGACTTCGGATAGCCTACCTCCTTGTACACTTCGTTCATGGGACGGAAGTCGCGAGTGACATCGGTCAGATATATGTTGGCCTTGACGATATGCTTCATTTCGCAGCCGGCCGAAGCCAGGACCTTCTTCATGTTCTCGAGTGCTGCACGCTGGATCGCGCATCATTCACCGATTACACGTTGATTCCACGGTTGCTCTCACAGTCTGCGGTTGCACCCCTCCTTCAATGACCTTGAAGTCGTTATCGCAGCCGATGTTTCCGCTGACGAATACGAAGCCTTTCGAGATCGTCGCCTGGCCTATACGTCTACAATCAGCCTCGGGCTTGAGAGACACGATGCCGCCAGCATACTGAATACAGGCATTGCCCGGATGGCATTGGGCGCATGGACTATCCGCATGGCTGGTACGACTTTTGGAGACAATGATGAGTGTCGGCGGTAACTGAGTCATTGATGATAACGCTCGAGATAGGTATCCACTTAGGGATCGTGATCCTCTTCCCGGACTGTCGGCCGACCACCATACGGAAAAGAAGTCCCCTTCCTTCGTGAATTCGGGATAAGAACAGAAGCCGACGGTAAAGGAGCAAAGTGAGTACTATTTGACCAAGTAGAGGATATGATGATATGCTAATGGTAGGTAATACAGTTTCGGGTAATCCCAGGAGTGTCCAGGTGATGAAGCTACAAATACACTTTGGTTTGTCGTGACGGGTCGGAGCGTTTCGTGCAAGGGTATATGGATATGATGGTACAAGGAGAGAATGGCTTAGGCCTTCAAGATACGGACGGCGCCGCTGCGAACGAGTCGCGAGTAAGGGCATCGCTGAGATGAAGGTCAGAACTTCTTCACTCAATCGTCAAGCGGACGTCTCTCACCTCATGAGCAGCGGCGATGAGAGCGTCATCGTCGCAGCCCTCGATAGCAATGACAACTTCGACGTCGAAGCCGCCACGATTAGGACCAGCATGGCCGAGCAGAACGTCGGCGCGCGTCTTCGTGTTGCGCGCGATGTCGAGTTTGCCTTGGTAAGAGGCGATTTGCTGGATGGCGTTCGAGAAGCAGGCCGCGTAGGCCATAGCGAAGAGCTGCTCGGGGTCCTGGCCCTTGACTGTACCGCCCATGGAGGGAGGCGGGGCCATCTTGAGCTCGAACGGCTCCTTCTCCAGCGTGCCCACGGTGCCAAAGCGCCCACCGGAATCGGCAATGGCACGAGCGGTGTACTGCGCACATACCGTCAGCAAGAAACGTATGGGAGCGAGAATAGGAACACACCACTCGATTCGTGATCTTGGGATCCAGAGCGCGAGGCGCGCGCAGAGGAGAATTACGAACACGACTGGGCTTGACGTTCGGGATGGCGGTGGAGGCGCGAGAGACGGTGCGGGAGACAGCAGACATGATTATAAGCGCGAATAGAAGAGAGTAGAGTGAGTTAACGAGTTGGGCGAGTAATACGAGATACGAGGAACAGTTGCGTCGGGCGTGGGTTGAGTTGGTTGTTCGATGATGGGGGAAAAACTTGGCCGTTGGACGGGCGCTATTTATCCCCGGCGGGGTGCAGTGAGCATGTCTGTATTCGTATGGGGTGACATAGCCAACTGCGCGAGCTTGTTTGCGAGCAACGCGGTGCCGCCGGTGTGGGTGATATCATCGCATAGAGCATCATGCGCCATACGCCGTTGCCGCCGGCAGAATTTAGCTCGCTCCCGAGCTCGGCCTGGGGTGGACGCGGGGCGCTACACCGCCCGGGTGGCGAACAGTGATCTGAATGGTACCCCGCCATACTCGGTTTGATGTTTAGTTGTTTCAGTCCCATTTGTGGCCCCCGCGTAGTCCCAGGACCCAGAACCATGAATGCACCATCGTGGTATTCGACATGGTTTTCATGCGGGGATCTGTGCGGCCAGGTATCTGTGCAAAGTCGAGCTACAGCCATTTCCTGGGTCTGGGCGGTGGGTCGGAGTATGTCAATATACGCTTTCGGCGTTCGCAATTCTACCGAGCGACCAAGCCAAGGGAACATCTGACAGGCTGAGAGGACTGGCGGCAACGGTAACAATGTCGCTAGCTCCTCGGATAGTTCCGGCCCCATGAACCTCCACGCCGCCCTGGTTGCGCGGGCGAGGTTCGCTCGCAGTACGGTCAGTCCCCTCCGTCCTCATTCGCGGCCATGACGACTCGTTTCAGTCTACTATATGCGAGCCACACCAGCATGCTTCCTATATGACAGGCACAGGGAAACATATCGCATTTGCAGAAGGTCAGCGTGTAAGGATCATGCACCGGAGGCAGCTTCGTCCGTGAAGCTTGCATGGACAAGCTCATCGAGGGCCTTGAAGCTGGCCGAAGCCTTCACGTCTACCCCAAGCTTCTCCGCGTCCTTCCCAAACGCTTCGACGTCCAATATCATCTGAGCGCGGATACGCTGCTCGTCACGGTTCTCGTCCTCGCGACTAGGACCTCCACCGCCAAAGAGCGCAAACATCGGTTTCTTGCCCTTCTTGAGGCGGCGCAGAGCATCCTCGTTCTTTTTGAGGGCTGCGAGATGGGAAATGAACCTGGAGCTTGCGTCAGCACCGGTCTATCATGAATGGTGTCGTGAAAAGACGCACCTCTGAACGACGTTTTCGAAGACCTCTTCCGCGTAAGGCCTCAGTGAGCTCTCCTTGAGAGCGGCCCCTGGCCCCTCCGCCGTCTCGATACCGAAGAACAACCTGACCGGTCGAAGAAGAGCGTCGACAAAGTAGCTAGGTGTCGCAGGTATCTTCTTGCTCGACATCCCGCGCAACTGTGCGGGTATGGTCCGCACTGGCGCGAGTGCATCGCACGCGCGTCTACTGAGGATAGCCACGATCTGAGCCGACATGATCGGTTGTAGGTCCGTCAGAGTGGATAACGTAGCCCTCAAAGCATCTGTTCAACAATGCACGAATATGAGTATCACTACGTATTAGTCATGAGATGCACAGACGACTGACCCTCAGCAGCCAGTGGAGCCTCGTCTTCCTCAGGTTCGGGCAACATGATACAGATGGCATCCCGCCAGAACTGCCACGTGCGCTCGTCCAGCGCTTTGATGTCCACCATGGCGAGCGCCATCTGTCGCAGGTTCGCGTCTTCCGCGGCGGTCTCCACTGCTGACACTTCGGTGTTTTGACTGGGCGTTCCCGGTCGCGGCGAGTTCGGACCACCGGACTACGAGCAGGGTAAGCAAGTGGAGTGTGCGGGTCACTCTTGTGGGCTCACCTTCTCTTCGAGAGCTGAACGTAAAGGTTTGGACGTGGTATCAAGGGCGGATACGTTGCGCTCGAGCCATGTCCGGTATCGACTCAGTGCTTGCAAGGTCAACTTCCAGAAGCGATGAGCAAGCTGAGGCATGAAGATCTCCCCGCTCCAACATGATTCGACTGCCGTCCAGAGAGCGGCTGCTTGTCTTGACGCGAACGCACTGTCTGTGAGCTGGGTTAATGATCATATACGACAGTCGCAAACTCGTATACATGCCCTTGTCAGGATTCGGCTCCAGCTTGATTGCTGTCAATGTTTCCTCTAGAGGGGCAACGATCTCCTTCCAACGCAGCTGAAAGTACACAGGCAACTGCCACCTTCGTTCAACAGCCGTGTAGACCGGATGCTTGACCATAGCATCTACGGCGGTCGCAGAAGGCGCCATGTACTGCAATGCTCGAATAAACGCTTGTGTCGTCTCGTGGTGCTAGCGAATAGTCAGTGCCGCGTCAGTGAGGTAGAGGCGTTGGGCGAACCTTGCGGAATTCACTCGGTTTGCCCGCGGCAAATACAACACTGCCTAAGTCATCTAGGATCGCCCTCCCAACCTCAGTCCAGATTACATTCGCCATGATGTTGAACGTGGGCTGATCGACAGTCGAGCCGGCCGGCGCTTTGGTCGTGGACTTCGCGTGTACCTTCTCGGCAATATCCATGACTTGCTTGAGATCGCGCTCGACGAACTTGAGGATGCTGTTGTACAAGCCCGCCAAAGGATTGTCGTAATCATCGAGAAGGTTCGCAGATGTCGAAGGTAAGTCGAAGAAGCCGCCTTTGGAGGCAAAGGCGGTGAAGGGTGTATAGGGTGTGCGAGGAGGTAGGCCAGCCGTTAGTGGAGGTTTGCTGCGAACCGCGAAGGGGGTCGTTGGAAGAAGCGGGGAGTGAGGCGCGTTCAATGCACCGGGGAAGATGGTCTGTGCGATTCTCGTATGCCACAGAGTTACATCTCGTAGAAACCGTGCGCACATACCTTCTTGACAAACTCCCGCACAACGTCACGCCGTAATACATCCTCCGCGTCTCTCCACAGGCCCATAATGTCGTACGTTCGTAGGCATTCCGTAACGTCGATCATGAGCTTGGATCGGTCGCCCTTATTCGCGTCGGTCAAAGAAGATAGTGTCTGTGCGAAAAGGTGGTCGAGATCCGAGGAAAGCGTGGACTGTATTCGGTTGATACGCTATTATACAGCTGTCAGCTGCAGCTCGGGATCTACTTCAATGGCACGCATACCCACTGAATGTCGTCTATGAATGCAGACTGCCCATCGGTCTGTGCCTTCGCTACATGGTATAGTAGTTGGGTATACTCGGCTGCAACGCGTGCCAGGTGTTTCGCTCGGCTTCCGCGCGATCTGCGAGGATGACGCTCAATCTCACTGGCTCTATACATAGTCAGAGCGTAGAACGTACCTATCCTCTGGAGCATCCTCTTCGTTACTGAGGGATTTTGAGAGCGGCATGGTCTTCTGAGGGGGCGAGGTAGGAGAGTCGGTTGATGCAATGAGCAGTAAGGATTCAAGCCGGGTGACTGACTCGCTGATCTTCAACAGTAGATGTAGGTATGCCTAGCTGGCTATTAGCCTGGAGAACAGTCCTGAACGTGGCTCGTGGACTTACCTTCTCTTCTCGTAGGGATACGCGTTGTTTGAGCCTGCTCTCAATGTTGTCCTGAACCAGCTCAAGTTCGTTTTTGGATTCCTAAGACCTCATTCAGATATCATTCGCCTTGTTCTAAAGATACGCCACGCACCGTGATCTCCTCCTTGAGGTCTCCCAGTGGTGACTTGAGATGCTCCAGCCGCGCACCCTCCCCTCGCAAATCCGTACTCAAGCTGATGAAGGCCTCATAGTCGTCGTTGATGAGCTTGACGAGCTCCTCCTTCAAAGTAGCAAGGTAATCTCGCAACTCCGAGCGCAGGTCCGGCAGCGAAGTGTGCGTCCGCGAGAGCAGGAACTCCTCAACATTGAAGGTCTCCGCAGTGAAGTAGGGATTATTGTGTGACAGCGGCGCGTAGAGTGGGAGATCATGTGAGGCCTCGTCGAGAGAGAATGATTGGCTGTGATTCGGGGAAAGCTGCTCGCGCTCGGCAAGTTCTTGGGCCAGTCGCTCAAGTTCAAAGGGGTCACGCGAGACGCTCCCTTGCGGAGAAATCACAGACATAGTCGAGGGGAAGGGTATTATGGTATGTGGTCCACGTTCGTAGTAGTGGACATCTACGCGAGATGGAGGTATAAGGTAAGGCGTAGTTCCCGACTCTCGCGGTCCGCGTCAGGGCCGCGCATTCCAATAACCCACGTGTCTCGCGTTGAAAGGTAGTATATACTAATAACGGCGTTTGCCGTAGGTAGCTAGACGGGATGATGACTTGGTATCAACTCTGCCCCCGTAACAGAAGACACTCCACTTCTAACAGACATGCACTAAGTTTATTGGGAGATATAGACTAGCTGCCGGTAGCTCATGTCTAGACTTATCCTGAGCTGTGGCGCCGACATCCTTACTGGTACGTAGTACTTCCGGAAGGACGACTTTTGCGCATTGCGGGTGGGCATTGGTACAAAACAAATACAGAAGAAAGTAACAAGAGCACAGATTGAGACGGGCTTTTCACCGGCGAATGCCTCTCGGAGCGGGCATACCACGTCCACGACGAGCTATAGACCAACATCAGTTCTGATAAGATACTGTAGATGAGTATATACATACCGTTGGCTATAACGCGAGGGGGAGGGAGAGGAACAAGCGTCAGTTAGAATATAAGTGGGGAAGGGACAGTACGCACCCCGCATGATCGTCGCACGACCACGAGCCGTACCGATACCCCTTCCACGCATAGCATTGGGTCCTACACGCTTGAACCTATATCCCAATCTCAGCATCATCCCAACAAAAACGACCATGATAATAACCCACATGGGTGCATTCTGCAACATATCCGGGACGATGAAGAAGCGGACCATGCTCCCGCGAATGTACACCTGGTCAAGCTGAGACACGCGTCCATCGCGACCAGTGACAGTAATGTCTTTTAACGAGATGTTGAGGTTGTCCTCAGCTATGATAATCAACCGTATATTAGCCCGTCAATATCCAAACGCGCATCGCGCAGCACCACGCACCCTCTGCCAATTTCCCGCGGTAGAGCTGCCCTGTCTTGAGCTCGACGGTGATGATGTGTCCGAGGGACTCGTGTAAGAGCTTGACGGGGATACCGAGGCCGCTGCTCATGATGGTGATTCGGTGCGGGTGGTGGTCGATGGACGCGTGCAAGCAGCCGCGAGGCGCGTCGGTTTGCGCGCTTGAGCGTGGGATATACCGCACGCGATTGGGAGCGCGCTTGTTCTTATTAAATTGATACAGATACTGCGGGGCCATGTCTCGAGCTGAAAACAGCGGGTAAAGGTACGATATAAGATTGTCCGAGTCCAGAGAAATAACGAGTGGCAAGGGTATGCGTATCCCTGGACAACAGGGTAATTCCAGGACGATATGAAGAGAGGGATGCTAGGAGAAGGAAATATGGTGAACATATGGACATGACATGGGTCGTAAGGACATGAGTATGCGAAGATGTTGTGAGAGATTCCAGAAAAATGAGATGATATGGATTGCAAACCAAGAAATCAGGGAGACATGTTGTGATGGTGCGGATGAAGTTGTGTTTACTTAGTCTTGCCATGCTCAAGCTCCGAGAGGAACGCAAGCCAGCCCTTCTTGTGAATAACGCCCTCATCTGCTAAATCGTTAGCTCACTATCATAACAGAGGCGGCTATGAAGACTGACAGTATCCGTCGGCGTTAACGACGACAACGTAGCGCGCGCCGAGCTTGACAAACATCTGCTGCACGAGCTCAAGTGGCGAGTTGATCATAACAGTGAGCGGAGCCTGATCCATGTACACGCCGAACTCGAAGATATCCTCCTCGACATAGGAAGACTCCATCATGCTCGCAAGACTAGTCGTGCTCCGATTGCCGAACGTATGATGGACCACGTTGCCGCTGAAGGTGACTTCCTGGTCTGCGTCCTCAGCAGCGACGCTGAGAGCGTGCTCGAGCTCGTTCGCGCCGATGTAACCCACCAGACGGGAGCCGCTTCCGTCGCGCCGCACGACAGGGAAGCCAACGTCCGAGTCGCCCATGTTGACGAGATCCAATAGCTGATCACGAAGAGTGCGTACGGTGTTCTTGCGGTCGACACGGATGATGTCTACGTCCTTGTCGGTGGCATCGCGAACCTCCTTGTTACCCCAGATGTACTGGTGCTTGGCCTCAAGATAGGGAAGCTGAGAGAGCCTAAGATGTCGGTCAGTCATAAATCGATAGGGTAGCGATATCGGGGACGTACTCGATAGCAAGATCATAGATGCCCTTCGGTTCAATGGCATCCGCCACCGTCTTGGCGACCAGCACGGACAGCATGACGGGCACGGCGTACGTGAGGGTATCCGTGAGCTCGAACATGATGACTGCCAAACTGACCGTCGTCCGCGTAACGCCAGAGAGTGCAGCAGCGGCGCCGACCATGGCGTACAAGCCAGGGATGACGCAGTTGAGATCACCACTGCATGAGCGGAAGAGGGGCGCCTGCGGGTTCTGGAATTGCGCCCACTGGACGAGGATGCCGAGGATACGCCCGACGCAAGCGCCGACGCCGAGGGTGGGGATGAAGATACCGGCGGGGAGACGGATGCCGAACGTCACAATCGTCAGAGCGGCCTTGACAAGTAGGGCGGTGCCAATGGCGCGGATGACAGGCCACGCCTGCGTCGGCGGATCGAGCACGCAGAGGCCGGAGAGCGTTGTTGTACCCTCGCCGAGACGGCACTCTGAGAACAGTTTCGCGACAAGTTCGGTTCCACCCATACGCGTGTAAGGGTTCAAGAAGCACAACACCGTCGTTACAAGGGTGACCTAATCGATGCTCCGGTGAGCCACTGCTAGGCGTCAATCAACTGGGGATGCCGACTTACCAGTAGGACCTCGATGACGGGGTGCGTCCTCAGCCACGTCTTGCCGCGTATCTCTCGCGACCATAGGTAATTGAGCTTGGAGAAGTACGCGCCGTATACGCCACCAAAGACGCCGAGGAGCACGAAAGGTACGAGCTCATACGCATGCCAATCCTGGTGAATCGAAGCGCGCTCGTGCAGGGTCGATGCGATGTTGACGGAAAACGCGTTGCGGATTGGGTAAAGTGGGACACAGAAGGTCAGGGTCGCTCGCGTGGGAGGCTGGCGTAGTGGCGCACCTTGTCATACGTTACTTGGAATAGAACTAGCTTTCCAGTTCCGAATGGGTCGAGGAACCGTAGGGTGATTGCAGCGATCATTGCACAGAAGAAGCTGATCATTGACAGGTGGGTTTCGTTCATGTTCATGCAGCAAGTTGTTCATTGTTCGTAGGGTAGATGGTGATGGAAGAAAAGCGGTCGTAATGTGAACACCGTTGTACCAAAAAGGTAAGTATGAGTGTGCGTACCTTCGCCACATCACCTAGACAGAAGCTCAGTTCTGATTTCTAGAGATGCAGGTACGAGATCTGCTTACCTTAGGAGGGAAGAAGTATGAGACCTCCTCCAAACTGAATAAGACACCGCCAATCGGAGCGCCGAACGCAACTGCCACACCGGCTGCACTTGCTGCGCTCAAGACTTCGCGACGCTTGCCCTCGTTGTTCTCATACTTAGTCGAGAAACGACAGACGATATTTCCAATACAGCTGGCAATGTGTACAAACGGTCCTTCCTTTCCCAGCGACAGACCTGAGCCGACCGAGAGCGCGAGACCGACGCTCTTTGTGAACAACGTGCGCATGCCGAGATAACCGTGAATGACGAAACCTAGGACTTATGAGATTACACAAAACGAGGTAAACTGATCGGCGTACCAGATAAGATCGTCTTGATCTCCGGGATACCACTACCAGCGGCATAGTACATGACCTTGCGCTTGACCGGCGGCTCGGGTGCAGAGGGCGAGCCCTTATCTTCATCGTCTGCGAAAGAATCGCCTAATACACCGGAGTCTTTGCGCGTCACAAATAGAGTAGACGCCGTCAACCTGATGGTGAGCCATGCTGAGATACCCGCGAGGAGAAGCTGCGATATAGTGAGTGTCTGTTGAGCAAAAGAAGATGAGAGAGCGTACAGCGAAGACAGCATATGCAGCGTATTGTGTCCAGACTTCTGCGAACTCGGACGCGTGATGCTTGGTCAGCACTTCGCCCCATTCGCGCCAAGCTGGGCAAGCTTCCTCTTCTTGAAACGCGAGACCCGCCAGCAGGTTTGTGGAGTGAAGGCGCAAAACGTCATCCGCCCGGGGGCAGCACCAGCGCTTGGCGTGATACCAATGAGTGCTGCAGTAGCCCTCCTTGATGTCGAAGAGCCACTGTTCCGAGCGTACGATGAGGAATGCAAACACGGCCGTCAGGAAGCCAACAATTGTGACGATGAACCAGCCCATGAAACGATCGAGTAGATTCCTGATCCGTCCCCGCACAGACTTGCGCCGCCGCAGTCGATACAGCCGATCCGCATCCTTGATGTTGTCGTGAAGCCAGTCGATAGACGAGAAGGACGAGTACCAAACACGGATACCGTTCGTCCTCGTGTCTGCTACTGGGTTTTCATCACCGCCCAGGTTGGCAGATATGTACGGCGCGTCATACGCCGATATGGGCCGTTGTGTGGTCTTGAACAACAGATTGGACGCAGTTCGCTCGAATGAAGGGGAGATCGGCCCGTGATAGCCCGAGACTGGTGGGGTGATGCTCTTGCCGGGCAGCTGAAGCCTAGGAAGCCCAGGTAGATTATGCCGGGTGAGGAACGATTGCTTGGTCGCAGAAGTGGGCAATGACATCGCCGATCCATAGTGGCCGGTTGAATGATGTGAGGGCAGCCCCGGCCGGATGAGAGGGCTCGCCTCCGACAGGACCTCTGTATGTTCCTCATCCTCTTGCGGGGGTTGAAAGGTGTCTTGCCGTATGGAAGTGTGTGAACCGATGTGCATCAATCTCTTCCTTCTCCAGGTCGTGTCCGACGGTCCGCTAAGCAGACCGGAAGGTGTGGCTGGTGGTTGAGTGCCAGGCATGGCTGGAGGAGCAGAACCGAGGGGGCCAAAGGAAGTCAGCAGGCGCGGTGGCCGCTCTTGTTGGGAGAATGAGAGTCTCGGATACGAGCGCGGGTGTTGTGAAGGCGGAGAGGAAGGTGAGCTTGACAAGATGATGGGCACGGGCCCGGGGCGCGTCGCGTGCAGCCCATTCCGGGGATGTTCGGCGCGGCTGCCGGAGTCGCCGGAAGTCCTCCAACTTGCCTCTGACATCGACCACAAGGACCAGAGTCGTTCAGAGTCCCTCAGAGGCGCGCAGAGGGCATTCACACTCCATTACACTTGACTTGTTGTTTTTGAACTCACCGACCGTGGCTTCTTTCCGACCCTGAGTTCAACCCTGGCGCTGCTGATCAGCATGCAGCACCGCGCCTTCTCGAGACTCCCACCAGCGTTACTAGGATCGACGTTCATTATTCTCCGCCGGCGATGAGTGAAGTAATATCAGCCGTCTTATGACTCGCCGAATGAACAATGCTTTGTTTTGGTCATATCTTACACGGGTTTCATCTCGGTTGGGCTTCGCAGCAGTCCCTTCTGCCAGGTCCTTATCCGCCTGCAACATTGACGACGATCTCCTTTTGGATGGCTCATGACGTCGAATCTGGATCTGCGAGTGTAGAAACCGCCTAGGGCCTCTTGATTTCCCTCGTTGGGCGATGAGATCCGGGATGATTCCGGGTGTCAACGAATGTATATACGATAGCTCTTTGAGGCTCACTTGTGCAGGGGCGAAGTCATGACCATTGTACATATCATCACATTACGCCAAGATAAACTACTCAGTTGATACGAATACGCAAATTGGTCAAACAGCAATTGGTTTCCATGTTTATATGAGTGAATAGTATTTCAAGCTTGAAAGCACAGCGACGGCATAAGTCAACCGCGACGCGACGCTTACACATTCGACAGCATGCGCATAGAGATAGAAGCATGCATATCCAGACATTGTCGCCTGTGATGCACAATTTTTCTGACGGCCTTCGACCACTGCATCTTGGACAGGAATTAGCCGAGCCATATTATAGCCGACGCGGTCAAGCGGGTCACACCACCGCGTCCGGCGCGTCGCGCAGGCGCGTGCGTCTCTTGCTCTCGAACCACGATCTCGTGCATCCACGATGGATTTCCCAGATAATTTGGTCCTCTCGACTCTTGTAGAGGATGCAGGTCTTGATGGTCTGAGACATGAGAAGCTACCTCCCATCAATCTTCAATTCTTCGTCCCGCGACTGTCCGAGAAACCACAGGATCCCATTGTAGACACCCTCAAGCACATTCAGATTGTGCCGTTTCCGTCTCTGAATTCCCCAGATAACTTTCCAACCGGACTTCCTCTTCCTGTGCTTGACCTCCCTTCCTCTCCTGTGACGGACACTCCGACCAACTTCTGGAAGCGCGCACTGGAGCATCGCCCGGAACAGCTGGTAATTACCGGACTTCACTCAACATGATCCTGTGTCACTGACAGAAGCGTAGTCTCATATCAAATCATGGGATGCTCTACACCCCTCGTTTGATAAACGGTCTTCCTCTTCACCCTTCCTCTCGGAACAAACAGCATCAGTATTCGCGTCAGCGCGCAGAGTGTGAACAGCATTGCCAAAGTCTCCATTGAACTCACTGACAACGGTCTAGCATGAATCCGCAAGTAATTGATCCTGACGCGTGTATCGCTTCTACGAACGAGATCGAGCTCCTCCAAGCCTTGCGAGGTCTGGTCATCGGCAATTCCTCTCGCCTCTTTCAGTGGGATGCAGACCAGGAGATCTTCAATCTCGGAGGCTTCTCTGCCGAACGCGATGCTAGGTTGGTTGTAGATGGTTGGGATGCAACATTATCTGCTAGGTATGACGTGCACTACAGGCCGAGTCTCAATGCTGAACGTGCCACAGCTACCTCAAGCGCTTCATCAACATCGGATGCGCTCTACGACGTTTGGACGTGTTCATCGACTCTCTTCGCGAAAGGTAATAGGCCAGTCGGATAGTATGACTGCCGGTCTGATGCATCGTCAGCTCGAGCAAAGATGGTCCAACTATTCACAGTTTCAGTCATGCACTTTTGCTTGTTGTGGACATCTACCGCGAGAAGCTGGCGGCAACTCAATACGAGACGCTATGGGACACCATGTCGTCGCGTCTATGGGCAGAACTTGAGGATACAGAAGATGTTCTACTGGCTTTGATTGCATTGTGCGGACGCGTACGTCAATATCATCTGAGTCTGCCGAAAGGTCACTGGACTGAAACGCACGTAGCCATTAGATCGACTGGGTAGTGAATACCACGAGTTCTCTAGCAGAGCCACCACACTGCTCTCGACCATATACGATCATCTGCAGGAGAGACGCCTCCATCATTCCCCGCGAGTGGTTGTCGCCGTCTTGAGTTACATCCTCACAAGTACTTCGACCGAGTACTTCGCGATATTAGGGGATTCTGTCAGCTACAAGCGCGATGAACGCGAGCCACGTCCCATGGGCTTCGAGGATGCAGATGGAGAACCCGACTTCATAGAAGACTTTGAAGACAGCGACAAGGAACTCGCGGCGCACGATAATGAAGACGCGGTATTCCCCACTTTCTTCCCTTCGGGCACCATCGAAACCATCACACGCGCTCGTGTATCCTTGCAGCTTCTGCGAACGGCCGAGCCCGACCATCCATTGCTGCATGCCGCTCATGGTCAGAGATCGGTGCAGTGGGTTTGGACGGTCGATGAGGTTCAAGAACTAGCGGATGATCGACTACAGACACCCAATACCATGCCTCAGAGCTTGGACTTTGCTGAAGACACTGTAGACCAGCGCTCCAGATCTGAAACAACGCTGCGTGAACTTGACCCAGTGGCCCTTGTCCTCGAACAATTTCGAGTATTCGATCGTGATCCCGGGAACACGACATCGGACGTTCACGAACCTCACATCGTCGCGCAGAAGTTCATAGACACTTTCCCCGATAATCTCCCGCCACTCACACCAACGCTCACACACCTATTCGATCTCGTCATATCGCCACTACTCGAGCACTGCAGCTTCATCTCTTCTGCTCTCCTCAAAGTCACACTGTCGCCTTTGCGTGCTCTCCATCTACCCACCCATCTGCGACTCGTCCGCGACTACCTCTTGCTCACCTCGCCCACCTTCAAGCGCCGACTCGGCCATGCGTTGTTATCAGACTCTGATAACTGGGAGTTTGAGACCAGCTCCTCACTCGCATTAGCGAAGCGCGCTTCAGGCAGGTCTACTCCTGTAGCCGTTTCTGGGGATACGTGGGCCGTCGGACTTGGGTTTGGTCTTGTCGAGCGCACATCATGGCCTCCCGGTGGTAGTGATCTGAGCTACTACCTCCGCACCGTCATAGTGGACTCTCTGGACATACCGGACACGCTCAGCCACTCTACACTCAACACTGAGCATCAAGCGCGTGCACGCATGCTCACAGAAGCGGAGTTCAGGCTTGGTTTCTCGATCCGCGACCTACCAACTGGTCCTGGTAGAGATCGATGGTTGGACCCATGCTGTCAGTCATTCCCGCCTTGCCCTTGAGAGTTAGCTCTGACATGATCCTGCAGCTATCGAGTACGTGAAGTTTTGTAATTCAGAACCGGTGCTGATTCCCGTACAGGGCGTTGGACTTTCTCCTGATGACCTACAAGGCACCAGCGCCGCTGGATGTGGTCATCACCGACAATGCGCTCTCCAAGTGTCAGCGAATCTTCACGTTTGCTATGCGCCTGCTCAGAGGTTTGTGCCTGTTCTTGATGCTGAGGGGCTTGCTGACATTTTTACAGTACAACATGCCTGCAACGCTCTGCATCGTATGACGAGGGACTATCGGTCACCCCTTTTCGAGACGCATGGCGTCGTCAATCGGCAACTGCTACACTTCCGCTTCATGGCTCACAACTTCGTCGAGACGCTCGTCTCGTATATCTTTGACGTCGCCATCCGAGGCAACTACGATGGGTTCCTCGACCGGCTTGAGACCCCCTCGATTCCGTTCTCGGACATCTCGGCCGTAGCCGAAGAGTACTCTGGGATGCTTGACAATGTCCTGAGCGCATGTCTGCTTCGATCGAGTCAACGCATGGTCTCGGACCTTCTGCGCGGGTTACTCGAGCTTGTCCTCGACTTCTGCACACTTTGCGGAGAAATGCGTCGTGGGAACTTGGAGGAGTATAAAGCGGTGCCGATCTTTGAAGAGGTGTTTGCGAGGTATCGTAGGAGGATGTCATCGCTCGTAAGGAGGCTCATCGCCGCATGTATTACGTGTAAAGCTAACACGGCGCTTGATGCAGGTAAATGCCCTCAAGACCATCGTAGAGAAGCAGTCTTCGTCGTCGTATCTTCCTGCGGATTACGCGCATCTTGCTCTAGGTGCGGATGAGCGATTCGCTGCTGGAGCAACTGGAAACCTATACCAGCTGCTCATGAGGCTTGACGTCAATGACTGGATCAGTAGTCACGCTGATTCGCCTTGATCATTGGTAATCATGGAAGCAGGATTCGAACGCGCCCAGTCAGACCCATTGTACATTACCTGTATCCTGTCGGAAGACCGATTTGACTGCAGACTATGCTTTCAATCGCGAAGTAGATGGCATTAGCAAAGGAATGTAGCAGTATGAGAGAGTGGGGATGTGAACGATCGACATGAAGGAAGGAAAGTTAGCTATCAAAGAGCCACGGCGCATGATGCATGATGGACCAATGGGCTCAGTAGATCTCGCCGGTAGAAACCACTTCGCCGTCTTTGACAGACAGCGTGGCACTCTTGCCCAATGCTTGTCCGCTCGCGTCCTTGGCTACAGCTGCGACAACAGTGACGTTGGCAGACACGATGCTTAGGCTGGTTTCAAAGTCTGCACGATCGACCGCCTTGATGAGCTTGTTGTCGTCGCCAATGACATCCCAGGAGCGAACGGCGGTTTTGCCGTTCCACGAGAAGTACACCGTACCGTTCTGCAAAGCGATGGAAGGTGGCACGGTTGGGTTACCCACCCATCCTCCGGCGGGTACCTTGAATGACCGATAGCTCGCCACAGGACCATTTGAGAGACTGCCGTCGCCTAGAGAAAGCGAGAAGGTGACGTCGCCCTCGGAGTTATGCTCTGTAACCCATGGGTTGGAGCCCCACCCAACAACACCCGAGCCGTCAGCAAAACGCTTCTCAAACGTAAGTATAGCTGCCTTGTGGACAAGAGTGGCGGTAGACATGCCTGGGAAGAGCCTTGACTGGTAGTATAGTTCTTGAAAGGCGCCGAGAAGTATGTTGCGAGGGCAGTGGTCGTCCAGGCAGAGGTATCGTACGAGATGTACAAACTGTGTGCGTCTGACGCCGTGGTCAGATTGAAATCGGTAGCGGTGTCGTCGCTTTTTCAGGAAAATCAGCGAAAGATCCGCGAAGCGTCTGATCATTGGCTTACAACAGAGAGATGTGGTTGTTATCTTCGGGATCAAAGCGCGCGTGATGTTGCCAGCTGAACCTGCGAAGCAGCGTCGTCAATCAGGGCCGTATACACTGACTAGCAGGACGACTTACTCAGCCCCGTCACCGATGGTGAAGTTGCTGTGCTTACCACCCATCCTCCAGGCTATGGATCCATTGCTGTTGATCTTGAAGAGAGTCGATAGATGCCTTGAGAAGCATGATCAGAAGATGAATGTAGGACACGCTCGAAGCAACTGACCGGACAGATATCAAGTAGCTTCCGTCTGCTCCTTTATCTATGGAGTTCATGTGATATGCGTCCCAGAGATCTGCTGAGACGCCCTGCCCAGCGATTGCATACGAGTCAAACGGCGACACATGGTCAAACATACTCCAGTTGAAGAGTACAGCGCCAGTAGCGATCTCGATTTCTTGAACCCATACATCGATCAGTGTACCATCCTTAGGGCCACCGACAGATGTCAGGTCGAACGGCGAGATATTGTTGTAGACAGTGATCATCGCGCTCGTATTTGTATCCTTGGGGAAGTTGCACTGGAGAAGGCTTAGATACGAAGAGTGCATGTCAAAGGTATTGGACTCACTTCATGTAAATCCGCCCCTTGACCTCCGACAGAGTTTATCTCCGCAATGTTGCTGTAAGTCTCATCCAGAACGAAGCACTTCATCTATGGTTAGATTCCATATCTGATAACACTCGGAAAAAGCGCACCGTGCCAGCGCCATGCCCATCGACTGCACTACCGAACCAGAAGGTCAAGACGGGCTTCCCGGCGTACTCTTGAAGTTGAAGATCGGCCGTGCCGTTCAGAGGTCCACCGATCCACACGAGTGAGCCGTTGCGGTCGTAGATCATCGAGCCAGGAGTCGGCGAGTCTTGGCCGACGGGCGTGGTGAGATACAGCCCGTCGTCGCCATCGTACCCGCCAATCTCAACCGTCCCAAGAAGACCGTGAAGGTTTGGTTCTGAGACGTACTGCCACATACAGGGTATTAGTTCCCGTATACGCTGTGAACCGAGACGTACTACGATGGTACTTACATTTGTAACGAAGGATGACTCCTGAGCGGCAACGGCGATCGCGAGAGTCAGAGTACTGACGAGTAGAGAAACCATAATCAGAGCGCTTGGAATATAGGGTTTCAGACGCCTGTCTTTATACGACTGCAGGAGTGATGTGTTTCACCGAACTACCCCAAGCGTCATCTACTCATTCAACTTCACCAGGTTTGGCTTGCAGTCACAGTTCACAAATAGACGAGCCGCGGGTATCGGATGCCGCGGGCCTTGATCGTCGAAGTCTATATCCTCGCATACCCACAGTGAGAACGAACGTTCATTTACGGGCGTCGCGTATGTAGTCATGGAGAGTAGGCGCCGAGGTGATTTGGCGCCTGAATGAAATCGAAGGCGCGCTGCGACTCTGGGCCCACGGTAGTAGTTGCACAGCGTTTCTCCCCGCCTCAAGGACAAGTGTACCATGAGCCAAAGGGATGAAGCAGTTGCACAACAATCGATATGGACATGAAGGGAGGACGCAGAGTCTGTCCACATCAATGCGCTCTCTCGGCCGAGACGGCGGCCAAAGCCGGCCGCGCGGTCACATGAGTTTGATGAACATTGATGAAATAGAGTTTACGGGCACATACATCAGCAGACAGTGCTAAGTACATGATCACAATGAGAAGATTAGCCCCTCCGTTGCAACAGTCTTGTTCGCGATGTAGAGCGTCGCACTACGTCCAAGCTCTACCCCGGCCTTATCTTTCGCAAGAACGACAACCTTCTGACTAGATATCCCATCCAAGCTGACGTTGGTCTCAAAGCCAGCGCGGTCAACCGCGAAAAGCAATTCATCATCATCGCCGCGTACATCCCACGAGCGAACAGCAGTCTTCCCGTTCCACGAGAAGTATGCCGTGTCGTCGCGAAGCACGAGCTTCGGCGGCGTCGTGGGATTGCCGGCCCAGCCAATCGCGGGTACTTTGTATGCGCGGTAGTTCTCCACAGGTCCGTTGGATGTGTTGACTCCCAGCGTCAGCAAAAAGGTAACGGTGCCGTCGGATGCGTGTTCCGTGATCCAAGGGTTAGACCCCCAACCAATTACTGCCGTACCGTCGGCGAAGCGCTGCGTAGCAATGGTTATATTTGATGACGAAGGCACGACTACGTATAACGCTCAACTGACCTGCATCGACCCTTCGCGGGCGCTGTAGTTTTGATATGGTGAAGAGTCAAACCTCTGAATGAGGGTTGTCGTCCAGGCTGCCGTGTTATACGAGAAGTAGAGTCCTCGTGCGTTGTCGCCCGCCGTAAAGTTGAACTCCGACGCGGCGTCGTTGCTACAAGCCGTGGCGCAGTTAGCCTTGGATCGCAAATAGATCGACATAGCCTTACAAGAGAGAGATGCGTGAGTTGTCATCCGGATCGAAGCTGGCGTGGTGCTGAAACCGGAAGCTGCGCAGTTGATCTGCTCAGCGCCACGAGGGAAGACACAGGAGATGGGGCTTACTCGGCACCTTCACCCGACGTGAAGTTACTTCCCTTCCCGCCCATTTTCCAAATGACCGACCCATCATCCTTGTTCACCTTCACGAGGGTGTTCAGATGTCTGACCGATAAAAGGTAGTTGCCGTCCGAATCCTTGTCAATCGAGTTCAGGTGATACGCGTCCCAATCTTCCAGAACGGTCAGCCCATAATGATTCTGACTGAGACGAGAGCGAACAGACGAGCTTCGTCAACAAGCTCTCCAGGAAGCGCATAAGACTCGTAGGGCGAGATGTGGTCATACAAACTCCAGTTGAATAAGAGAGCGCCGGTGGACACGTCCACTTCTTGAACCCAACAATCGATGAGCGTGCCGTCCGCAGCTCCACCCACAGATGTCAGATCAAACGTAACGTTGTTGTACACCGTAAGCATAGCAGTCTTGTTCGAGGCTTTGTCCATGTGACACTACCACCTTATCAGGCTACAGTATAGTTAGGATGGTACCGAGAGTGCTTACTTCATGCAGATCAGCGCCTGTAGAGCCAACGGATGTGATATTCGCGATGACATTATACGTATCGTCAAGGAACCAGCACTATATGTCGCAAGTCAAAGGCTGCTTCGTTCATCCGCATACGAACGCCTTACTGTTCCTACACCATGCGAATCGACGACCTGCCCACTGAACACAGTCAGCACAGGCTGTCCATCGAGCTCCTGGAACTGCAGATCTAGAACGGCGCTCGAATTGAAGTTGGCAGTATTCGCGCCGATCCACACGAGTGAGCCGTTGCGATCGTAGATCACAGGGCCAGGCTTTGTTACGTCGGCGCCAACGGGCGTGGCGAGGTATAATCCGTCATCCCCATCATACGCCCCGATCTCGACATTTGCCGGGAGACCGTACAGATCGGGTTCAGAGACGAACCATCTCGAGTAGTACGTGAGTCCCAGCGCACATGCAGCGACAAATGCTACGTACCGCGAGGGACTTGGACTGTCCAGCCACATGGGCCGCCAGAACCAAAGTGAGAAGCGCAGGAGCGAGCATGTAGAACGTCGCAACGAATGGTGTGAGTGCATCTATGGCCACTATATATGCAGCGATGTACGACACAGTAACTGCGGTCCTTAGACCGAAGGACTAGGGTACACTGCGCTACGAGATGTCCAGCTTCTTTCCGCCGCGACGTGTAGCACTCGGGCATGTTTATAATGATCACGGAGAGATTGTAGAGACCCTTACCGCAGAGCTGCGATGTAATCTGCGGTCTGTATGTGACACGGGACACTTTATCTTCATCCACCTCGCTCTTCTGGCCAGGGAAGTCACGGCTCTCTCGAAAGAGTGAGTATAAGAGAATCCTACGTGAGCAATGCAGAACAGTTTCATTTTACGGCCCCAGTCCACCTTCATTCGCCGCCCATCTCGTGATGGGCCTGGGTTCAAGGTGATGATGAACTCTTACTCAGCGCTCCCGAGGCTTGTTCTTCCGAGACTGCGTACAGCCGTGCCTGACACCTGAGCGCGAGAAAGATATAGTTTGTGCGCAGTACACATCAAGGGAAGAAGGCAACAAGTATCAAGTCATCAACAATGGTCAGGCGCCCCAGTCCTCGAGTCCCTCCACACCGAACCACGTCGGCAGACTCTCCCAGGCCATCTCACGCGCGTTGTGTACTTCTTCCTCGAGTGCTTCGGCACACGGAACGCAGAGCATGACCAGTGCGGGGCCCACATCCTCCTCGGGCAACTGCAGGGTCAGAACGCTGCCCATGATCGTGAGCGGGTCCGCCGGGCCGCTGAAAAAACGAACGACCTCCTGCGCCATGCGCTCAAAGACAGCCGTACACCGTCGCATTGAAGGACAGTTGTGTGCAGCAAGACGTCCTTCGAGAACCTGCACCACGAAGGTTGAGAGAAATCGTGATGCCAACTCACGTCCCGTGAAAAGCGAGACGAGGTCGCTCTGTGCGAGCCGATCGGAATGGTATCCGGCCGCGGAGAGGGAGGGTGGCTGACGAGAGAGGTCGTAGAACGCGGCGGGTAGTAGACGAGTGGCGCCGGCCTGGCGTGCGAGATTGATTACAGCTCTAGAATCGATATGAGGGTGAGTTTGAATCCATTGCAAACACGAAGGAGCGGCGCACATAGGGTGTGGGAAAGAATTGTCCCGAACACAATCAGATCCGCCGCATGCCGATGTCCTCCGATCCCAAAGGGCCAGCGAACTTGGCCAAGCTTCGTGCAGGACATCGAGTGCTTCCTTCTTGAGGCGCGGGATCTCATACTTCTGCGATAGACGTAGAAGGACGAAGCTGACATGGAATACGTCGGCACCTTCTAAAACGGAAGACCTGGAGCTTCTGTGAGTACGTGTTGAGGGATCGTGGTGTAGAATCAGTGCACGTACGTGCCGTCGTATATAGTATGTAACAGCAAAGAGACGTCGTCCGCATGTTCGTCGAGTTCCAAAATTGGGTGACCGTCAAGCAATCGACTTGCGGACACGCTGCCGACGAGCTTGGCGAGGAAAGCGGACTGGCGACTCAAAACCCCGCGATGAACTAGAAAGTATGAAGAGCCGGCCAGCAGCGCAATGTTTCCATCTTCAAAGGACATGCTTGGGCGAGAGGCCATTGGCATGTCGGGACATTCAGTAGCATCCGTAGGGCGAACGATCGAAAGCCAAGGATCAGGAAGGGCTGGACGGGCGCTAGACGCGTTAGAAGATAGCTCCAAGCTAGGAGAGTCCATAGCCATAGGTGAGCTTGTAGACATGGGCGACCCGGTCGGAGGAGGGGACATCGTAACGGTGTGTAGACAACCCTACAACACGTTCAAACGTTGGAGCACGCATGTTCACATTTCGAGCTGTCGGATGGCCCGATCCATTGCATTCAGAAGTGCAGGAAGGCATGGATGCGTCATGGTCTCAGATCATATACGAGAAAATGCATAGCGAAGTTCGATTGCACTCCGCGGTAGATAAGATACTCCCAGCACGGAGGTGGTGGGAGGAGGCAGAGAGCAAAGCAGTCATGACGCGTCGCGCGTCGGTCCCGGTGCCCACCACCCCGACTTTTCCAACGACCACCACCTCCCAAAAATCCAGAACAATGAGCGAGCCGCACACAGCACCGTCAACGCCGCGTGTAGTACCCGGCGCCCCTCCGCCTGCGGTATCAAAAAGCCAGGCGAAAAAACGGCGCAAGGCAGCCAACGCCAGCGTCGCGCTGCCCGACAGCACCGCAGCGGCGCTGACCGAGAAGGCGCCAGAACCGACTGACATCGCAGCCGGAGCTGTGGCGAACGAGCTCGTGGCCCAGCCGCCAGTAAATGGTGACGCCGCGGCGGCCTCCCCCGCCACACCTGCAGCGGCAGTGGACGCCGAGTCGCGCAAGCCTGGCGCGGTCGAGGAGCTTATTACGAAGCGCATCAAGGCAACCTCGAAAAAGATTGTGGGTTGATCCTGATCTTGTACACATGCATATATGCGCTGACAAATGAATCTATTGGCAGTCCCGAATACAGACATACGCGTCTACTCCGGATGATCAGCTCAACGATGATCAGCGCCGCGCACGCGCGACTCTCTCGGGACTCGAGGCTGTTGCAAAGGAGCTCGAGGAAGTCCGTAAAGTCGTGCAGGTAAACACGTCATATCGGCTTTTGCCGCGTTCATCCGCCATATATTGACGCGCTTATGTGTTTCAGACGCATGAGTCGGAGGTCGAGCGAGAGCGCGCGGCGATCGAAGAGGCTGCCGCAGCGCGTGTTGCAGCGGCCGAGCGCGATGCTCAGGTTGGTGTATAGCTGATCTTGATTTTGGCCGCGAACTGAATGTCCGTGCCCATTGACAGGAGCGTGCAGCTGCGCTGTTCACTTTCTTGCGCTTACACGGGGCGCTCGCTGCTCAAGATCCTCGCCTTGGTTCTCTCGGACTTATTGAAGCGGAACATAACGCCATCTTCCATGCTGGTCACACCCTTTTCCATGACTTCGGCGACGCACGCGCTGCACTCGTTGGCGGACTCATGACTGGTGACGGCGAGTTCCACGGTGTACCCCGTAAGTCATTGCGTCCTTTGATGCATATACCCTTCGCTCACACACGGACTCTACGTCAGATTCGCGTTTGCTTGAGCTGTCAACTCAATACATTCAGCTTCCCGTATATGCGCCCGAGATGCCCGTACCTGAACCTGTTGTCGAGGTCGTTGCAGTAGGCATGCCGGAGCCTGCACCAAGTGGCGGTATCTCCTTCATGACCGAGAGCGAGATCGATGTTACTACTTCCGAGAGTCAAGAGTGGGTCAAGGTCGACGGTAGTGTCGAGACCCCCGTTATGCCCACACCGGAGCCCGCCGTTGACATCGTGTCCGTTGAAGTCGAGGTTGAGGTTCCTGCTCCGCCCATGCCAAGACCTGAAGTAAGATATAGGCCTGTCTCACGTTGATGGCATATTCTGACACATCACGTAGATTGAGAGACAAGGGACGCTCAATTGGGCCGAGGACGACGACGAAGACGGGTTACCATCTATCGCGGGACTCCACGCGACATTCGGTACGTCCGGCGCTGCAACACCAACGGCGCCACTCGAGCCTACAGCACCTACAATGCCCGAGGCTCAGCCGGCCTTCGCACCCGCCCCCACACCTGGCGCTGCCCCGACGTCTACACCTGCTCCTGCGCCACCCGCACCCGAGGATGACGGCTTCGTCAGTGTCGGGAGGGGCCGTGGTGGTCGTGGCGGCCCTGACCAAAATCGTGGCGGACGGGGCTTCCGTGGTGGCTTCCGCGGCGGTGACCGCGGCAACTTCAGAGGTGGTGATCGCGGCGGCTTCCGGGGAGGTGATCGCGGTGGATTCCGTGGCGCTGGAGGATTCCGCGGTGATGGTGAACGAGGAGGTAAGCGTGATATACCAAGGCGGGAAATGAGGCGCTGATACATATGCCAGGGTTCCGTGGCGGGCGTGGCGGCTGGAGAGGTGGCGATGATGGCGAGTGGCGCGGACGTGGGCGTGGTCGCGGTCGTGGTACGCTGCCTCATCGTGATGACTGGAGTGCTACGGACTGACACCATCCTCCTAGGTGGCTTTGAGCCTCGCGGCGGCCCGCCACCGAACGCATAGTCAAAAATTGTCGCCGGTGAGCGGTTGTGTGGACATAGCTCTCGAAAGCTGCTTGCTGGGCTCTTTATCCTCTTCTTTTCAGGTTTTTATCCCCCTTCGTTGTTCTTGTACGGCTGCGTAGTGCACTAGTAGTATTGAGGCTGACATATGAATAACATGGTAAACAATGCATAATACATGACACATACATGAGTACTCAAACAACAACCAAAGCTAAAAATACGCGCACAACAGCGGGCTGAAATCCGGATACAATAAAGATACAGATGTAGAACAGCCCGACCAGCGGACTCTTCAGCCAATCCTATCTGCGCCTTACTTCACGAAGTACCATCACGAATGCAGCCGCCGGGCCGAGCAGAGCGGCGCAGCCGACAACCATACCGGCGGCGACAGCAACCATAACAACATCCCTGAGCCCCAGGGTGTATTGGTCGCTGAAGGGTACAGGTATCGCGCGCTCGCTGGGCGCGTCCGTCACCTCGGCAGACTTGGACTCGCGTACTGCCGCAACCTGCTCCGCGCCACCAAGCTCATGCCATTGATCTTGCTCCCATTGGCCTGCAGGAGTTCTGTCAGACGTGCGATGCTTCTAAGCCAGTACAACAACTCACACATACGGAGCAAGATACGAGCGATATCCCGTGTTATGCTCGTCATTTCCGCAAGCGTCGAGTTACCTGCAGGTCCGCGTCTTAGCTAATGCAATAGATATACTTGTCATATGATAGTACGCACCATTGAACGACCTCAACGAGTCGGAAAAATGCTGGCGCTCCTCTTGAGTGAAGATCGGCACGTCGATCCGGTTGCCTGATGGAAGTAGTTTGCGGCCCTCCCAGGTGAGTGCATTGTGTGCCTCGGAAACCGTCTTTTCCGAGAGGACGACCGGCGCGCAGTGTGCGGGGTGCTTCTCCACATACATCCAGTACAAAACTTCTACGGCATAGTTAGCACGCTATATTCACAACGTCTAGGAGTCGATAAACTCACGTCCTGCTGCAGTGGGCTCGGCCGGCTCAGGCGTGAAGCTGACCAATCGCAATCCATGGTTGACGAAGGAGTAGTCCGAAGCGCGAGACGGCGAGTTGCCTGTGTCGCGTAACCAGAGCTCCCAGCCAGGGAGAGGAGTGACGTGCGGGCCCGCCAAGAACTCGAAAACTTCGCGCATGGCACCCTCACGGCGAAGATCGACGTCAGACACGATGCCCTTCGCCCGATGCGCGAAGTATACCGCCTCGCCTGGCAGTTCAAACATGGACCATCCCAGACTCTCGTACTCCTCCCAGGGTGCCGCGGAGTCGGAGTCGCTCGAGACGGACGAGTTGCTCAGCGTCGGTGCGCGAGGAGCGTCCACAGAGCTGCTCTCATCGGTCGTTGATGCTTCGCGGGCAACTGGCGGGCCTGATGCCTCAGATGAGACGGTCGATCCCGACCCCTCATCGGCGGCAGGGAGCGACGACTTCGTAGGCTCTTCTGCCGGCGCCGTCGTCGAGACTTCTGCAGAGGGTGCTTGCGTGGCACCGTCCGTAGTGGGTTCAAGGGGAGCGGGCAGGATGTCGATTGCTTCAGGAGGAGCCTCGTGCTCTTGAGGATTGGATACCACGAGCATGGGCGAGAAGATGTGGGGTCCGCCGGGAGAGTCAGCGATGGGAGACTCAACGACAGGACTGAGCATCTTGTGGTCGGCAGATGCGTCGAGCGGTGGGGACGCTGCGCGGGTGTCGAGGCCGAGCGTCTCTGAGTCCAAAGACGATCGATGCGAGGCGCCATGGCGAGCCTTGGTGCTGAGCGCAGACAGCGAGCGTCGCAGAGCTGATCGCTTCGCCTTGGTAGCGGCATCGTCTTCGGCATCTGACGCTACAGACAGGGAGGAAGACGAGGAGCCGGGGTGACGGAAGAGTGTGCCGACGCGAGAGCGCTTGGTGTTGGTGCGCTCGGGGCTGACTTCGGAGGATCGCGTTGCGCCGACTGAGGATGAGGAAGAGTCCGCGCGCCGCAACAACCTGGAGATGCGGGAGCGCTTGGACTTCTGCGAGGGGGTGCTGTGTCCAATATCGGATGTCGAAGACATGGCGTACGAGGTGGGTAAGAACAAGATCGCAGCCGGGGAGGAAAACTGTTGAGAGACGATCGCTGTGGACAAGAGGTGGAGGCACCAGAGCGACGATCTAGACGTCTATATAGTAGCATGTCCAATAGCAGGCAGGACAACAGGCGGCTGGGGCGTGTTGCTGCTTAACGACTGCGCCGAGAGGGCGATGGAAGCATCGTGCCTTCCACACAAACCTTGGGCGGTCCTCCGCATGTTGACCCCACCGTCCATCGTCGGCGAAGATCGTCTTTTGAGCACAGCTATGCCTCGATGTGATTCTATCAAAACGCCTTATCTGTCTACATCTCGAAGCCGCTCTGGGAGCATAAATCCCAGATTTCGCCGTGGAGAGTTCGAATGAACTGTCATCTCCGTCGCGCCTTGTGAAGGTTACAGGGCCGCTCCAACATGCATGCACACTGCAACGACCTCCATTCTACCCTGGCCTCGCGTCAGACGAACATCCTCTGGGTCACTACTCCGGCTACGTACTCGTTCGGTAGTTGTGCGTCTTCGGGGCAGTGAAAACAAGCGAAAGGTGCATGGCGGACGCCTGCCAAACACGCTCGCGCGGCATCGTGGCCCGCGCGTGCCCGATAATATTCGCACGCTGGCCCGTCTGGCTTGACCAAGACTCAGCAACGTCTACAGCGACTTCATGGAATACACGCGCTGATTTACATTGCAATAATCAATGATACAGGTACAGACATGATACATGTGATAGTGAACGAGTAGCCGGAAGAGCCGGTATAGTGATGGGGGAGAGAATGCCGAGGAGACAGTGGCCCAGCCACGATTGTAACATACATAAACCGTGTACACAGAGCGTAGAGATGCAACTTAATATAGTCATTGGATTGAGCACCCCCATGCACCAGATCTCCCGACACTCCCACCCAGAACGCGCGAGAGAGCCGGGATCATCTGGCGTTGCGCATCAGGACTCAAGTTCATGAGAGCGCCTGAAGGCGAGTCGTAACGCTCCTCCCCAAGCCTGCCAGACTCGCGCATTCGTTGCTCCCAGCGACCTATGAGACTGGTCAGTAAGAAATGATGACGTAGAAGAGTCTATGCTCACAAAGGCGAAGCTCGACCTTGGCGACGTTCTGCGCAACGACGGCCATATCCTCGGGAGTTGAAGTGGAAGGGTCTGCTGAAGAGGCGAGTATCAGCAGACGGACCACAGCCACGGCATGGGATACATACCTCCAAAAGAACTCAGCGACCGCGAAAACTCGTCGCTCTCATCTTCATTGAAGGGAACGTCTGAGACTGAGTCCGCGCCAGAGCCAGATCCCGGAGGTACGGGCCACTTGACAAACTCGTAAGTGAGCGCATCATTCGTGCCGGCAACGATCTCCTCCGAAGAGATGATGCGCGCGCAGTGGACAGGGTGCTTCTCGACGAATTCCCAGTACTTCTCACCTGCATAAACATCAGTATGCACGTCATCTGTAAGGGGCTTTGGCGACGTACGCTCTGCAGCAGTCGGCCTTGGGGATTTAGGCGTAGAAGACACGACGCGCAAGTCGTGGTTCACGAGGTAATGGTCCGGAGAGGGCACGAATCCGCCAATAGTATTGAGTAACCAAAGCTCCCAGCCATCCGCCGGTGGCATATCCAAACAGGAAAGGCGCTCGTAGATGCTGAGGATCGCGCCATCACCACGAAGATCAACATCCGTAACGACGTCGTGTCCATGTAGCGTGAAGTACGGGGCAGATTCTCCCGGTGAGTGATGCATGATCCAACCAAACTGCTCGAAGCTCATGACAGACGGGACGTCGCCTTGCGTTTGCGGCGGCTCAGTCTCGCGCGCCGCTCCCGCATCGACGAATGAAGTTGCCTTCGTGGCCTCTACCGAACTGTTCGGCCCGTCGACCTCGGACTCGGCTCGAGCGCTCGCGTCATCTGAGGCGACCGGCTGAACGGATATAGCGGGGACATCTGCAGTCGCGGTAACGGGCTGCTCTGCTTCCTCCAAAGGTACGTCGGGGGCAGCAAAGGTGGAATCCTGGACGAGCGAGACGTTTTCTTGCGGGATGGCGGGCGCGTCAAAGATGAGCGGCTCTTCGGCGACCACGTTATCGAGAGAACCGGCGACAGTCGTGTCCTCGTGAGAAGGGGGCATCGCTACAACAGCTTCGGCAACTTCTTCTGAAGCGTCGCCTGTGGCATCAGGAGCACTTGCATCTGCTGGTTCGTCATATGAAGACGGCTCCTCCGTCAACCCAGGAGGAAGATCTAGCTGAGCTGCAGGAGCGGCGGGCTCATCTACGGGTGGCGGTGGCTCGGAAATCTCCGCCTGGACCTCGGGCGCGACGGCAGGCGCAGCAGTAGCCGGTGCTTCGACGGGCGTGGGGTCTACAACCGCGACCAACGGAACGGGCGGCACCACCTCAGAGATGCTGGGCGGTACGGCCTCCGACGACACTGGCAGTGAGGCGAAACCTTGGTGGCCCTGCTCGACCGCGGGCGACTCTGCAACAGGGCTGAGCATCTTGTGTTCAACGGATGTCTGCTCGACTGCAGGTGGCGTATGCGTGTCGACTGCGAGTGATTCGGACGAAGAAGAGCCATGCTTGTGCTTTACGCTGAACGCAGATAGAGTACGCAAGACCGAGCCCGGGCGCGTGCGTTTCGGCTTCGGCGAGCCGTCTTGGACGTCGGCATCGGTGGGTGCAATAGATATGGAATCGGACGAGGACGCATCCGGACGGTGGATGAGAGAGGCAATACGCTTGCGCTTTGACTCTGGCTTCGACGGGGTGGCATCCTGAGCTTCGGGAGAAGCGGAGATAGCGAGGGAAGAGGTGGAAGATGGTGAGCGTCGCAGGATCTTGTCCATCCGCGAGCGCTCAGACTTCGGCCCATTCGGCTCCGGGATGCCTGTAGGAGCCACACCAGCGAGAGACGAAGACGAAGATGGCGATCGTCGCAAGAGCTTATCCACGCGGGAACGTTCCGGCTTCGCGCCATCGGCCTCCGTGGTGTCCGAAGGTGCGGTGGCCGCGCGTATGGAGGCCGTGGACGTGCGCCGCGGAATGCGCGAACCTGCGGCCTTAGGAAGAGTACTCTCCGGGAGAGGCGTAGGAGAAGTCGATAATCCTATAGATGATGCCGAAGTGTTGGAGCGTTGCAAAACCTTGCGCAGACCCGAACGCTCTTTCGGCGGCGTAGCCTCGGCTAGAGGCTTGGAAGGAGGCGATGAGCTGAGAGTAGACGAAGTGCTCGGGCGTCGCATAATCTTGTCCATTCGCGTCCGTTCAGACTTGGCCGGGGTGCGTTCGGGAGTCGTAGTCGGGGTGGGCTGCGTAGGGCCTACAGAGGAAGATAGCGTGCTGGAGCGGCGCGGTATGAACTTGTCCATGCGCGAGCGCTTGACTTTGGCATCCGGTCCGATATTGGATTGAGAGGCCATGATAGACGAGGTGCGAGTACGTTATAGATAGGTCGTGAGCAAGAGAATCAAGGCGAAAGGTCGTGAATGGCGTAGATGTGCGGACAAGCACAGTTCGTGGGTGAGGCAAACGTCGAGGCGGTCGTCTATATATGAGAAGGCCAAAAGTACGCAGGCCGCCAGGAGGTGAAGTCGTGCACCCGCATTCCCGTCGCTGCGCGGCTCGAGGCGCGAGGCTATGTTCGCAACGTGTATTTCGTGCAAATCGAGCGCGTGGTGAACTCAAGCCAGCCAGGAGCAACTTCGCCCATCAGAACGGTTCGCCATTCACGAAGCCCTCGGCGGTACCTCTATCCACTGCCTGCATTCCATTTCTGCTGGCCCTCAGATAGGGGAGACTTCATGGCGCCCGACGGTGGAGCCACGCGCGTTTGCCATAGTGTATCGTGCCGCGCCACGAATGAACTTGGTCCCCTTCCCTCTGACTCAGTTCAGTCCAACGTTCAAGCCCCCGTCCCGACTATGAAGTTCTACTTGTGTCTTGATCTTCGCGGGTATAACCACGTAGAAGATGTAGAGTTGGCACCCGGCATGAACTTGAACAACATGAAAGCAACATGGCAAAGTAGAACGTGTGCCTGACACGCAGCAGACTGAGCAGTGTTGATTCCGCGACGTGGCCTTCACACGCTCGATAACCTGGAGTATCATGACGCCATGTTGCTTAGGGTCTGTTCGGCAACCTGATTTTGCGTTTCCGTCATGATTTCCGCAGCCGCACCTAGGACCATGATTGGTGGAGAGGCCGTCGAAAGTTCGAGAACCTCGATATTCTTGCCTTGTAAGGCAATAAGTTTGACCAAAATCCTCCGTCATGACGGAAGATCAGGTTGCCGAACAGACCCTTATGGATTTGACATAACTTACTATGTGCACACATAGCCCACGCGCAAGTAGCTAGACCGTATGTGCCGTTCCAAACCCAACGATAAGAAAAAGAAGCGGGTCAGGCTGCGACCGTCGTCATCACGCAGAGTCGCGGCGTCCGACGCAGATGGGCCTTCTCAGCCCGAACGCTCATGTACGCGTTGTTGACGCGTTGCATGGTGAGAATATCTCTATACCGCCCGAATGCTTGATAGTGTGGTCATCTACTCCCTCTCGTCGCTTGACATCCGATACGCATGGAGATACAAGCTGGAGGGACCGAAATATCGATCAGGCAGTGAACAATCCGGACGACAACTATCTGCGAGGTGAAGTAGATGTCTTCGTCAGGATTCGGCGTCACGCACCGCACATATTGTTGCTTCCGACATGAAACGCGAATATGAAGAGTTCCTGCCGATGAATATACTCAGGGTACCTGCTTACAAGGGAGAGCGACTCTCCTCAGGCTCGACATGCGCCCGCCAATTACCACTGACGCTCAAGTCCCCAAAGACTTTCTGGTGGCCCGGAGTCTCATAGACCTACGGCAGCCTTCGACGCCCATACATGCGGCAGTATGACGTCTCATGAGCTCGCTTCGCTTTGCCACGGCCTCAGGTGACCACGATGGTGTACAATCCATGCTCGCGCCTTGGCGCAGTTCGGCTACTTCATCGGATTCATCCATACGATGTGAGCACCCAAATTTGGCCGTGGTTCTTATCTCGCTCACAGCCCACGTAGTTCTTCTGTTCGGGACACACATGGCGGTGCAGAGTACCACCTTAGCCCAGGAAGTCGTTGACCTGATTCGGCTCAAATCATCCTCGTGATTGGTTTATTAATGCGCTCGTCGAAACGCTGCACCTTATGGGTCAGATATGGCCTGAACAGGCGGACACGCCCTTAACAGATGAGTGTTCTCACCTCCTATCGACGTTCAACTCCTGAGCGCAAAGATGGCATGTAGAGTCACATCGTCTTCTCCCGCCGCCCAGGCGAGCACATATGCAGGCCACGGAATGTCTTTCTCAGATAGTTGTCATCTAGGGCCACAGATGTTAGCTGCAGTGGCGAGTTTCATCAGAATCGCATGAGATTCTCCACGTTTGAGGGGTGAGATATTCACACAATGAACGCACTATAAAGCGCGATCCTCGCCACCACAACATGCCCCAGAACGACTCTAGCGAACATGAAAGCGGTCGATCCTTCATACCCACTCCTACCTGTGGCGAGGCTTCTATCTGCAGTTGGGCTGCTCCTCGTTCTCTTGACCAGCTTTATGCGTCAACACTGGAACCTTGGGGTCGCCTTCTTGTGTTTCTGGCTATTCGTGGAATCCCTGATAGATGGTGCCAACACGATTATCTGGTCCGATAATGCCGACATTAAACTATATGTATATTGCGACATTGGTGAGATCTCTACTTATATGTGAATCGCACTACAAGATTGAACATAGATTGGTTTCCAGCGTCGCATATACAGTTGATCACTTACACCGTCAAGCCGATGTCAACGCTCATAGTCATCCGCCGACTTTACTTGATTGCCAATCTACAGTCCGTGGACCTACCTAGTCAATCAGCAGTGAGTTTCCTTTTGGTATTTATTTATTTTCCTCCACCGAGACTGATCGGTCACCATAGAGACGTCTGAACTTGATCGTGGAATGGAGTCTAGGCTTGGTTATTCCCTTGCTAGTTGCTGGCCCTCTATGTGAGTATTGCACCCAGTCAATGCGGAGGTTACATTAAGCACTATGCCAGACTATATCAACCAAGGAGTGCGATTCGAAGTTTTGGAAGGGTTTGGGTGCACCAATCGTCTTGACCTGTCAATACTGGAACTCTTGACTATTCAATCATGGATCCTCGTGCCTCCGTTGATTTCGATCGTTTTCTACTACCGTGAGTGAACCTTTGCTTGATCGAGCGATCACCTTGGGCTAACCGGATGTATTGGTACTAGCGAGAGTGGCTTGGACATTCTATCGACAAAGCAAGGACATCAATCGCTTCCTGAGGAGCAATAACTCAATTTCGCGCCCGAGTTATTTCCGTATCATGGTCCTCGCCAGCATCGATCTCTTAATCACGTTACCAATCGGTATTGTGAACTTGGTCCTAGCCCTAGTTGCGGCACTGAGGAATAACCTGCTACCTTTCTATTGGGGCTGGACCTCTTTGCATACTAATTGGGAGCCCCTCAGCGTATCTTATGCTGAGATCACGGCCGATGGGACCACTAATACGGCCAACTTCTACTTCATCAACTGGATGTCCCCGATCCTTGCATTCTCTATATTCGGCTTATTCGGCCTTACATCGGAGGCGCTCGCGTCGTACTGGCGCGTTATCTGCGTTATCGGTAACTGGGTCGGCTGGGCCCCCACTCCGCGTGCGCAGAACCAGCAGGCGTCGTTAGGCGAGATCGAGTTCGGCGAGCAGCTGCGGGACAAGTCTGCTATTGACATCGAGATTGGGTATGTATCTCCAGTGTCGGTCGATACATGTTAGACTGACGTCTCGTTAGCCTTATCAACGACCACACGCACCCTGTAACTCGCGACGCTGGGGACTCATTGGCCCGTGCGAACGTAGACAGCGAGCCCTCGTCGGTGCCTCAGTACACCGAATTTGACGTTCCGCATGTTGATGCGGGGTATGTGCAGTGTGTTGATTGACACATCGTAGCCGAAGCTCACTGTCGATCCCACAGCAACGTCGAGGGCCGAGGAGTGTAAGCCGCGCGGGATAGTTCTGACGCTAAAGAGGCTCCAATGAGTCTACCCAACTGCAGTGCCTACTATTGATGGATACAACTATTCGCCTTGAACATATATTTATACATTCTCAGTACAATCGCCTGCTGAGTACTGCGTGTGTCGGAACGAGTATCACGTCATATACAACGAGTTGCCAAATATAGCATGGTCAAAGACAATCGTATCGTTGGTTTCGTAAGAGCCGATGCGTTGGCGACGAGGCTTCTGTGGGTTCAGTGATTCAACATGCCATTGGTCGCAGGCACTGTCGTACTTATGGCAATCGATGGCCGAGCCAGCTGTGAGCTCAAGGGCTAAGTGCTTAGCGTGTGCGCCGACTCATACCACCTCCAATCAACGCAAACCCGACGCCCACAGCTACACCGGCAGCAACAATCCACAACGGGCCAGAGCCTCCAGGGCCCGACCCCGGCATGGCGCGCGGTCCTCTGCGAGGGTACATCCTTGGACGGCGATCGCTTCTTGCAGACTCGTTCCTTGCGCGACTTGACGTGGATGCCTCGGGTTTGGGTATGCTGAGCTCCCAATGACCTGGAGGTGATGTTAGCGGTCGACGAGGCGCGAGAGGATCAAGTGCTCACAGAGACGGCGCATAATCTCTGCGATGTCCCGCGTTGCGATGATCAGGTCGTAGGAGGAAGGACGCCCTGGTAATCGTGAGTTTCATAGGCAAGTGGCGGAGGGCATAAGATATACGTACCTTCAAGAGAGTTGATAGAAGCAGCGAAGCGCCTTCTTTCGTCTGCAGTAAACAAGGGCGGTTCAACCCGCTCACCAGTCGGTGTCAGAGGCCAATTCATGCGATCCCACGACAGCGCGCCCTTCGCCTGATTGATGTTCTGCTCCGACAAGATGGCCAGCGCGCAATGCGCGGGGTGCTGTTCGACATAAGCCCAGTATCTTGCTCCTACAACGATATCAACAGGGGATTCATGTACTGTGAGATGTGTAAACTCACGCTCAGCGATGGAAGACGTCGCGGGGACAGGCTCAGACGCCACCAAACGCAAGTTATGGTTGACGAATGAGCATGCGGGTGCGCGCGAATCGCCACCGAGCCACATCTCCCACCCAGTAGGAGGCGGCACGCCCAAACCCGAAAGAACCTCGGAGACCTGATACAGGGTCTCATTGGAGCGAAGGTCGATGTCGGTGACGACGTCGTATCCGCGATGCGTGAAGTACGTCGATCCATCCACGCCAGGCAGATGAACAACCCAGCCGAGATGCGCGTACTCAGGTTCAGGCGGGGCAGGTGCGTCGTGGTGATCGAGATGCGTTGGCCCTGCTGAAGATGGCCCAGCGGCGTTACCGGCAGCACCAGTGGGAGCGGCGAAGTGGATGGAGGACACCGAAGAAACGTCAGACCAGGTATCGACCGAGCGGGCATCTGCAGCCGGAGACGCCGGGTGCTCAATGACATCCGTCGGCGCTTTCGTCTCATGCCGTACGGGGCTGGTGGGACTGGCGACCTCGACAGCGGGATCGGGCGAGATGGGTAGCTGGGAGAGTTCCAAAGGCGTCACCTGTGCCTCTGCGACGGCGATTTGCGGCTCGTCGAGGTGCGCAGCTACAGGTTGCGACTCTTCGACGCCGCTCGAGGACATGTCCGCCTCGGTCCAAGACGCAGACGGCGAAGGACTTGCCGGCCTGGCAGCGTCAACGTCGACAGGCTGGGACGGGGGCGACGAGGATACATCGGGCTCCAGTATAGTCGACTGAGAGTCTGTAGCGCGCAACTCTTCCGCTACAGACGGTCCGTCTGTGACGCCAGCGGGCACCGTATTCGCATCCGCCTCGGTCCAAACAGAAGCAGCAGGGCTAGGCGTCCTGACGATATCGACGACGGGCGGTGCAGACTCTGCGACAGGTTCTGCAGGGACATCCGAATGTGCGCCGACTGGGGCCGACACGACAGCAAGCGTGCTATCCACAGCAGACGCCGACTCATCGAGAGCGGCCGAAGATGCCGCCGCTTCGGTCCAGGCGGAGCCGGTAGGACTCGGAGACCTAGTGATACCAGCAGCGGGCTCTTGTACGGGTGGTTCTGGCTCGACCTCCTGAGGCGCCTGCACCTCGGGTACAGTGGCTGCGACCCGTGCGTCGTCCGCTTGGGGCGTGCTCTCGAGAAGCGTGGGTGGCGCTTGCGCAGAAGCATCACCTGAAGCCGCAGCAACCGATTCGCCAATCGACTCGTTCTGCGCAGGCTCGGGATCCGCTTCGGTAGGGCGATCAACGAGCACCCCAGATGCACTGAGCACCTCCGGTGCGCCAGCCGGCTCCGCAGGCGGAACCTCGAGCGCCAGAATAGAACCCCGCACAACGACCGGCGACTCCTCGACCGGGCTGAGCATCTTGTGTAGACCCTCCGACGGTGCAACCGGAGGCGGCGACGCGCTGCGCGTGTCAACGGCAAGCGGATCGGATGCGGCACGGCGGTGGCGCGGTCGTGTGATGCTCAGCGCGGAGAGCGAGCGGCGTAGGGCGCCCTTGCCCTTCGACTTCGTGGAAGCGGTGTCTTCGGCCTTTGCGTCGGATACGACGGCGGAGAGGGAGGAGGACGCGGAGTCGGTGCGTTTGAGAGATTTGGGTTGCGGTTCGGGGCTCGCTTGGACTTGCGTGTCTGTGACGCCGACGCTGGCGAGCGAGGAAGTCGAGGAGCGGCGAAGGAGCCTGTCCATCGGCGTGCGCTTCGACTTGATGCTGCCGGAGTCGGCTTTGGACGGGCTAGGTTCTGCCTTGGTGTTGCTAGACTCGTGAGCATCGGGAGAGGCCGGTACGGTAGCGACTGAAGTCGAAGACGAGTTGCGCCGGAAGATCTTGCTGAAGCGCGAGCGCTTAGACTTGGTCGAGACGAGGCTTTCGTCGGACGGCGAAGCCATAACGATAAACAAAAAGAAGACAACGGGGAGTTACAACAGCCGCAAAAACGGTGATAGAGTTAGGTGGTGGAGAAAGTCCTGCTGAAAGTGCGCATATATATGTTGCCGGATCCCGAGTGCAGACAGGCCGCCATGAGGCTTGGTCGTGTCGATGCCGCTTCGCGGCTGTGTCGGACGACATCATGAAAACATCGTGGCCTGGCGCGCGGGGCCTTCTACGTGCTACACGAGGTGGAATCGGCGTGGACGGATATGGAAAACGCCCGCGCCTGCATGTTGATGATGCGCCTTCTTTTACCCAATGCAGCCGGAGGGGAGGACAAGCCGCGCGAACCAGTTCGGTCTCGGTGCGCTCTGCATTTCCAGGCGCGTGCTGTATTCACTTTTCGGACCGGGTTGGCCTATATGAAGCGCCTGTTCATCCTCGCAGTCGCGAGTCGTGTTTATAGAAGGACAGCTGGAGATGACCAACAGCTCTAGAAGAGTCTTGTTCTTGGTTTCAGCCTCGCTTTCTCGATCTGAGAGCGGGAACAAGTACGAGCGCCTTTGCTTTGCTGGTGCTCAGAAGCCATCGTAAAAGTATTGAGCGTAGAATATAGCGGGGCCGCAATACGGCTGCATGAACGCAAGAGCGAAACCGGACCGGCGCGGTTGGCCCGCACCCAAGTCCGAACTTCGCACGCCCCAATACATCTGTTCCGCCACCCGCGCCGCCCCGCACTCTCTTCATCTTTCCTTTTCATCACCGCCCAACCTGCTTCTCTGGGCCTCACTCAGCATTACACCTCATCATCTCAACATCAACTGCTAGAGCTTCTAATAGACGCCCAAACAATACTTGGCTAGACTGCGCGACTACACCGGCACGGTGAAGTAAATTCGAACGGATGACATCAACGCCCTCTTCCTCCGCGGGCCCGTCCTCTCTCGCGCCCTCTGCGCCCATACAATCCCCCGCAACGCTGTCCTCATCAACATCACAAGATGTCTCTTCATCTGCGACAACAGTGACGCCAGAAGAAGCAGAAGCGCTTCCCTCGCCCGCGCCGCCGCCTGTGCCAGACCCCGCGCGCCCTTCTTCCCCCGCGCCCAAGCCGACCAGCAGGTTCTTGAGCCCGGAGATTACCAGCTACTTTATTGCGGGTGGTATTGCGGGCGCTGCGAGTCGGACGGTCGTTAGTCCGCTGGAGAGGTTGAAGATCATTCAGTGCGTTGCTGTTTCTTTGCTTGGGGTACTTTGCATGAGGGCTCGGGATTTTGGCTGGGGGACCCAAATACGAGCTGGCTTGAGGGGATGGGAGTGGTCGGCGGAATACATCTTTGGGTACTTTATCATGCATGCGAATAAAGGCTGACTTCCGTAGACAGGTTCAGCAACGGGGTAGCGCAGCTGCGTATGAGGGCGTAGCAGCCTCTCTAGCGCGGATGTGGCGAGAAGAAGGCTTCGCAGGTTTCATGCGCGGCAACGGCATAAACTGCGTGCGCATCATACCTTACAGTGCCGTGCAGTTCACCACCTACGAGCAACTCAAGAAGGTCAGCATGCCCCACTGTACACACCCGCGCAGTCAAAGACTGAACACTGAAATCTCCATATCACATTTAGTTATTCACGAATAACGGCACGCGACAGCTGGATACCCCTACGCGTCTAGCAGCCGGCGCACTAGCGGGCATAACGAGCGTATCCACCACCTACCCCCTCGACCTCATCCGCTCCCGCCTCTCAATCGCAACCGCATCCCTCAACGCGCACGTCCCGGCACCCTCAATAACGCCCACAGCCTCCGCCGCCCTATCCTCCTCGCCCCCGCCAAAACCCAAACCCCAATACACCGCCGCCGAACTCACGATGTGGGGTATGGGCGTGAAAGTGTTCAGGGAAGAGGGCGGCGTACGAGCGCTATATCGCGGCATCGTCGCAACGGCTGCGGGCGTCGCGCCGTACGTGGGCATCAACTTTGCGGCGTACGAGGCGCTGCGAGGGTACATCACGCCGCCGGGGAAGCAGAGCGCGTGGCGGAAGCTGGCGTGTGGCGCGTTGGCGGGTGAGTCTCAGATTTCTTGTTTGATTCTTTCCCCGCGTTTTCGCATTTGAGATGAGGCTTTTTCGGGGCTGTTTGTTTGTTTCGCTCCGGGGTAGCGCGTATGCTCCCGCTTGTGACTTGTCCGTCTAAATGCTGCTTTGTGCGGGATTGGGTGGTATATGCTCCGGCGGTTGGGCAGCTTGGACGGGCACAGGCGTCTCTACTGGGCATACGGGGAGCTTTGTGTACATCGCCGCATCGCAGTACAGAACGTCGCTCGGTGGCGGACTTGTGTCGATGACGCCCAGCTGAGCGTGTACGCTTGTGTGCGCGCAGTGGGAGGATGTATGCACTGCGGCGCGCTCGCATTCGGGGATAACGGCAGCGCCCAATGACGTCGGCTGTCATGCATACCATGGCACGGGCCACTTGATCACGAACTTCTCTCCATTGACTTCGACCACAAGCGTGTGTGAAAGAAAGCGAACAAGGCTGACGATCGACTTTCCAGGAAGCATCTCGCAAACGCTGACGTACCCGTTCGACGTGCTGCGGCGAAAGATGCAGGTGACGGGCATGCGCAACGGCGGGATGCAGCAGTACGACGGTGCGCTGAGCGCTGCGAGGCATATCGTGCGTACGGAAGGGCTCGCGGGGATGTATCGTGGCTTGTGGCCGAACCTGCGTGAGTGAATCGTCTGTGAGTGTGAGAGGCATGTGCTGAGGATTATGTTGTGTTCCCGCAGTCAAAGTGGCGCCGAGCATCGCGACGAGCTTTTTCACGTACGAGCTGGCGAAGGACTTTTTGGTGGGAAGGAACGCGTAGAGATAGTGGTGCCGGTATATAATTTAATTTAGAAAGACAAAGGCATACACAAAAGGGGGGAGATGAAAGGCACGATGCTAGGAAGAGGACAATGAGACGGTTACGGGGACGGTGTTCGGCCAGGGGCGTCGGTAAGCTGCGGCGAGTGTGCATTGTTCGGATCAGAGTTAGCAGCCGGACGTCGAGGAGAGTGACGGCGGAGGCAGAAAGCGAAAGAGGGCAAAGACTTTGTCTCCGACCACGACTATACTCACCGGCGCCTAGTAGCACGCTATATACACGCGAGGAGAGCAGCATGGTCCGGGCCTCACGCTCTGCCTCGCGTACGGGCGCCACCACCAGCTCGGACACACACTCTTCGTCGTCTGAGCCGGCGTCACCAGGCCCGGGCCGGTTCGCAGCCAAAGTCCTCGCGATCGTGCCCAGCGCACGCTCGACGTCGCTCGCCATGGGCAACGCCCAGTCCACCCTGCCCCAAGTCCTCCAGCCGCCGCCCTCGCCCGGCAAGTCCGGCGCGAACAGGCTCAGGAACGTCTTCAAGAACAAGGGCAAGCAGCGCGCCGTCACCGCCCCGGCCACCTCCCCGCTCGGCATCGCGCACGATCCACCGACGCCGCCCCCAAAGTCGCCCAGGTCCCAACCACAGCCGCCGGCACCCGCACCCGCCCCAGCGCCTACGCCTGCACCGCAACCACTCCCGCGGCAGCAGCGGCCACTGGAAGTTGACACGGGCAAGAAGGAGGACTGGCGCAGGTCGGACGCGACGATGGCCAGCCACCACACCATTCGCCCGCGCTCAGGCACCGCACCACGACCGGTGTCGATGGCGGAGAGCACAAGCACGGTGATGGCGCACCGCCGGCTCAGCGCCCTCGTGGCAGAGGCTGAGTTTGTGCTCCCCGACGACGACGACGCACAGGCGCGGTTGAACACCCTAAACGGGACGAGGAAGCGCCACTCGATGACCCTCCACTTTGCCGCCTCGCCCTCCCCCACCCTCGCCACTCCGCCCGCGACAAGCAGCGCAGCGGCAGAGGGCTACATCGGGGCCGCACAGCGCGACGGCAGCTCGCACACGGCCGGCAGCCAGATCCGCGGCAGGCTCGCGGCATGGACCACCGCCTCCGCTTCTGGTCACGGAAACACCCCGCCGGCCATCACCGTCGACGAGCACGGCGGCTGGGCTGCCCCTCAACACACTGGCTGGGTGCCGCAGAAGCTGGCCAGGGAACCCACACTCGTCCGGCACGAGCCCCAGCCCCAGGCGCCCTCCGGCATGCTCGGCTTTGGCCGTCGCGTCGTGCGTGCGCTAGGCATGCAGATGCCCGGTCAGGGGCACGACACCCCGCCAAGCCGTAGCCCGACTCCTGAGCGCCGCGGCCCCCGTCGCACGCCCAACGCACCCAGCGGCACATGGAGCGTGCACACCGCCGACTCGAGCATGTCTTCTCAGTCCCAAGGCAACTCCCTCGGCCCCTGTCTGCGAGGTCCGAGGGCTCAGAGCGGCCTCGTCTTTGGCCGCCCTCTCAACGACGCCGTGCGCGATACCGCCATCGAGCATGTGCGCACTGCGATGGACGGTACGCTAGTTCCCTCTGATGCTCCAGCTTTTGATCACGCTGCGGCTCATCCATTCATACATCTACACCATACGGGTTTCGCTGATGCTCGGTCTCTTTCTACAGGCGAAAACGGCTGGTCCGACCCCGGCCCATCTGCACCGCTCACGGACCGCGCGCTTCCGGCGCTCGTCGTGAGATGCGTGCAGCATATCATGACTTGGGGGCTCGAGGAGGAGGGGCTCTTCCGGTATGTGTTATTCGTTATCTAATCGAGATGAAAGAAGGCGCTGATATTGCTTCCAGAATCAGCGGTCGCGCATCACACATCGCGCGCCTACGCTCAGAGTTCGACACAGGCGCCGATTTTGATCTCCAAGCGAGCCCGCCAGGCGAGCTCGACCCGCACGCCGTCGCGAGCATCTTCAAGGCGTACCTGCGCGAACGTGCGTACCTTACCTGGATCCCTTCCTGATCTCCCGACTGACATGCCGCACTTCTCCCGCAGTCCCCGATCCAATCCTGACGAAGCAGCTGACCCCGCTTTTCGAGGCCGCAATGGACGCCGAGAACGAGACGAGAAGGAGCATCGATACCGCCGCATCCGTCGCGTCTGCGCCCGCTTCCATGCCGACGCAGATGCCCATGCCCATGCCGCGGCGCCTGACGCTCGAGTCCGGCGGCTGTGGTCTGCCCTCGAGCCCGCGACCGGCCGCTGCGGCCGCTGCTGCGGCCGTGAACAACAGCGTGAACAGGCCCTCGCCGCTTTCGTCCTCGCCCGCGTCTACGGCTTCGTCCCCGATGTCGCCGCCCGCCGGCCCGATCCCGTCGTTGACACAACCCGCATTAGCGATCGCGCCGCCCTCCGCGGCGCTTTTGCGTCGGTTCCGGGCTCTTGTCGCCCGCTTACCACGCGCACATCGCGATCTTCTTCGGACCGTTTCCAGTCTTATCCGGGCGACTGCATCACGAAAAGAGACGCGTATGCCGCTGAGCAACTTGACGGTTGTTTTCTGCCCTAGTCTGGGTCTCAGCCCGAGTATTCTGCGCGTATTGTGCGAGCAAGAGGAGATCTGGACACCGCTTAGCAATGAGGAGATCGAGGAGATGCGGAGGGAGCAAGAGGTGCTCGAGAGCGCTACCTCCGACAGGGATGGCTCCGATGGAAGCGGCCAGGAGATCGAAGTTCCCGAGCCAGAGACGCCCGTACCACAGACGCCCGCCGACGTCCGTGCGATGTACGCCATCAATGCGCTCCCGACTTCGGCTTCGCAGCACACTCAGGATAACGACACTGCGTCCTTCGCGCTTTCCTCCGCGTCTTCGTCTTCGCTGGCTACACCCGACAGCAACGCAGCATCTCGCGAAGAGCTGGCATTGCATGCCCGTCGTACACCGATACACACAAGCCCCAGTGCGCCGAATCTCAGCTTGAGGAGAGCAGTGGCGCCCGGTATGAGCATCCGGAGTTTCAGCTCAAAGAGCAGTCTTGCGAGCTCGAACGTCAAGATCTCGGGCCCGTTGGAGCTTATGGATGTTTCTTCACCCACGACGAGCACGGCCATCAGCTTCCCGTCGCCGACGCCATCGCTCGGTCCTGGCTCTGAGATGCAGCAGTTCCCCTCCACAGTCCCCGGCACGCACTTCCCGCGCACAGAGTCTGAAGATGACCCCGAGCAGCCGCAGGAAAGGCCGTTCTCGCGACCTCTGGCGAGGGCGAAGCGGCCGAGCTTGACGATGCTCTTTGGCAAGCGGAGTCTCTCGAGTCTGCGGAACTCGAGGATTATGAACCTCAGCCCGCTGAGCCCGCGTACGGCCAGCCAACCGCTCGTACAGTCTCGCGCGTCGGATGGCGCCGGGACGAGGGATACGGTCTACGGAGGTAGCGCGAGCGAAGGCGCCAGTGCGAGTGCCAGCGCTGGTGTATCGCGCCGCGCGAGTGTGCTGGATATGGGACTGTCGCTGTCGCGTAGGGCGAGCGCGTTGAGTCGGCGCGCGAGCGTGATGGATCCTGCGGCCAAAGCGAGCGAGGAGAGAGAACGCGTGGAGAGCGCGCCGCCTGTGCTTGAGCTCGGGATCGAGACGAGTCCGCTGCGCGTGCCGGGGATGATCTCGCCGCTGGCCACGGAGGAGTTCTCGCCTATGCAGACGGCGGTGCCAGAGGTCGTGCGGCGCACAACACCGCCGATCGATACAGCCGCGGCGAACGAGCAGCACACCGATACGAGCAAGACGGAGATCACGCCGCTCGGCGAGCTTCCGGCGCCGTATAACCGGCTCAGCCTCTGGGAGGACGAGTCGGATGCGGCGGACGGGGGGCTCGATGGGGAGTGGGCGAGTAGTGTGTTGCTCGCTGCCGATGCGGGGTGGCTGGGCGCCGAGCGCACGGCGTCGTCGTAGAATCGCTCGCACGCACGGCGGTCGTATCTCTCTTTTGGGCGGGTCTTCTGGTTCGCCGCGTATTCTTGGTTATTGCTTTTACTGCCATCGTCCTGATTTCGTCCCGTCTCGTCTCATTGATTGTTGACTAGTCCTCATCTTTCTCGTTGCATTCTGTCTGTCTGAGTACCATGCAAACCCCCCACCTACCCACCTCCTCTCGCTACCTTTATCGCCCATCGGAATTCACATCTTCCCTCCCCCACCCATTTCACAGCCACCCATTCGCACACACTCACATAGTAACTTAATCGATCCCCCGCTATCTACCCATCTCAGCGCCTCCCTTTTGATTCCGCCGTCTCTCCTCACATGTAACAACAATACCCCCTCGGCTCCTATTCACGCAATTTGCACGTCGTTTACTGATTTTCGACCCCATCTTCATCCGATTATTCTCTTCGATTCTGTTTCTCTGCTGTTCGTCGGCGTCCTCTTGATTCAAACTGCTTTCTGATTCTGCGGTAGGCTAGTTTCAGTAGTTGATACGAGTTTTCTTTCATGTCTCTGTTTCGTTTGCTGGTCGGGCGCGCGCTCGATTGATTCTTACTGGTACGTGGAGATTTGAGAACCGGGCGGAAGTAATTCGTCTTGGGTCTCGTGAATTGTGTCCGTTTCCGGAGACAGTCTGTCTGACTTTCAGGGGTGCGTTTATAGCGAAGTGTTACTCACCTCTTACCCCCACTTAGGCCGTCGGTGCACTTCACCTACGCGCGCATTCACGCCGCATACACATTTTTATGGAGTACGTGACCCATTGCTGTGAATGCGGTTTAATGCCCTAACACGCGAGTTGAATAGTACTCAGGATACGGGATTGTCGTCAATAGGCCAGCAAATGGCCCATCTCTCGATGGACGACCCAGCGTCTACCGATACCGTGGCCGCTCGTAGACACGCGAACGCCCTCCGCCCCATCTCCAAGCTTCCACCGGAGCTCCTCGCCCGCATCTTCTGCGCGTACGCTGCCCTACCCAAGTATAACGAGGCCCCGTCAGCGGCCGAATACTCGTTGGAGGACAAAGTCATCAGCTATCGGCGTCAGATAGGGACCGGATGGTTGGATATCGTTCAAGTCTGCCACGAGTGGCGCGAGACTGCGTTCGAGTGCCCCGCCCTGTGGTCGAGCGTGCCACTTCCGCTCGATTGGGGCCAGCACTGGGCGCGCCAGTTTTCTGCTCGCTCTGGAGCTCTCCCTATCGACATTGTCGTGGGCCGGGAGCCAGAGAGAAGGGGACTAATGGGCGATTGGGTCGAGGATTTCGTCAAGGCTCACAAGTTTCGCCTTCGAAAGCTGGTCGTCGGGTTCTTTGTGGTTGATAAGAACTGGATCCACGAGCTCGACGTCGACACCCCCGTTTTAACACACGTCGACGCCGGTTACTCCTACTCTTGGCCCGGAGACTACGCGGAATATATACACGGTGGTTCTTTCGCAGCGCCTAAGCTACGCGACCTCGTACTCTTCAGTTTTTCCCCCGATCTATCTCGGGCGTCGTGGCCGAATCTCAGGAATTTGCAGCTGGGAGGCCGTGAACCGTCGGTCGACGTCTCTCTCCTCCTATCCGCCCTTGCTACAGCTCCTCTCTTGGAACGCCTCCTGATTGGCCAAGTCCACCGTGCCTCTCCGACCTCTACGCAGTCAACCATCCCCATGATCCACCTCGATCACTTGGAACGCATGGATGTGACCGGCCAGTTCGGCGGCGTCATGACCGTCTGGAAAACGCTTGTCGTTCCGTCTTCGGCCATGGTCCGGTTCTCGTTTGAGGAGCCCACGGATGAGGATGATCGCGAAGGAGACTTGAATACAGTCTTGACTGCGACGCGCCGACACATGGATCGCTCGGTACACCCTCTTCCAGGCCTTTCTCTCCAGTCATACCAGGACACCATCACCATCGCCGCCTATAGAGAACGCGAGGATTCAGAGGATATACTACCATTCAAGGAGGATACAAGCGTCATCAAAGTGGAATACTACCAGTGCTCTTCATACGAGCTTCCCTCCGTCATGCGTGCGCTGCCCATGCACGCTTGTAAATATCTGCAACTCTCCGCGATGATCGAACGGTTCTGGTGGGACCGCGTCCTGGCAGAGACGGCGCACATCGAGGCGCTTTGCTTGTCCGATTCCAACCCGGAAACGACCGAGAACTTGGCAAAGGCTGTGTCGTACTCCTTCGACGACAAGGGCGAAACCGACTCTACGTTCTTCCCTCGTCTTCACACATTGCACCTATACCGTGTTCTATATGGCTCTCGGAGTGACAGTTCTCAACCGGATGTCGTCCCTCCGGCGTTGGTTGCATTGCGCGAGTGGCTTGAGCGGCGGGATCACTGCGGCGTACGGAAGCTCAGGATTCAGGGATGCAGCGTGTTTCCCGAATGGGTGGATATGTTCAGACAGATTGATGGTCTGGCTGTTGAATGGGATGGAGATGTCCGGCTCTGCATGGGACCTAGTCTTGGTGCTACCTCGTAGCAGAGTACTTGACATACATATATATCAGGATCGATCTCAATTGTTGAACGGCGTTGGATTCGTTTAAAACCCACCATTCCGAAAGAGAATGGATCGCCCAGTGGCTGTCAGTGGCTGGCGCAGCAACTGCCGCCTCGGCCGTCTCCGAGTGCATGGTCAGAAGAGATGTGAAGTCGCGAACAGACCGACCGGCTTCAAGCTTGCCCGGCACGGTCAGGTGCCCGGCCGCCGCGTCATCGGACCTCCCAAACGGCTGGATGCGAGACTAGCATGACCCGATACCTCGACTCAACTCGCCCTGTGACCTTGCTGTGACCTGTTCTGTACACGAGGACTAGATAGTTGTCGCCAACTCAGTCGAGGTCAAGAAAGACTGTTCAATTTGAAGTGCACCACTTGCGACACCCGCCGCTCGCACCGTTCTCATCGCCGCTGTCTACTTAGTATTAGTAACGGTTTAGGCAGTCTTCTAAAGGCATCGGGAACTCAAACAGATAATGTATGCCGCAATCCTTTCGTTACTGGTCGGGCGCGTTCGACTTATTCTTAACGATACGTGGAGATTAGAGCGCCAGACGGAACTATCCCGTCTGTAATCCGCCAAATGCGTCCCTTAGCGCGGCAGCGGTGATACTGCTTTGAGACAGTCTGACTTTCAGGGGTGAATTCGTGGCAAACTGTTACTTACCTCTTGCCCCCACTCAGGTCATTGTGAAACTCGCCTCCGAGTGCGTTTACGCTTTTCGAAACGCACATACGTCCTAATGGCGTACGTACCTTGCCTTGTGGGATGCGATTCGATACAGTGACGCTCGAATAGAACTAGCAGCATCCAGGAAAGGGGTTCGACGTCAGGTGGACAGCAAATGATCCAACAAATGGCCCATCTCTCGATGGATGACCCAGCGTCTACGGATACCGTGACCGCTCGTAGACGCGCGAACGCCCTCCGCCCCATCTCCAAGCTTCCCCCGGAGCTCCTCGCTCGCATCTTCTGCGCGTACGCTGCCCTGCCCAAGTTTAACGAGGCCCCGTCAGCGGCCGAATTCTCGTTAAAGGACAAAGTCGTCGTCAGCTATCGGCGTCAGATAGGGACCGGATGGTTGGACGTCGTTCAAGTCTGCCACGAGTGGCGCGAGACTGCGTTCGAGTGCCCTGCCCTGTGGTCGAGCGTGCCTTTTCCGCTCGATTGGGGCCAGCACTGGGCGCGCCAGTTTTCTGCTCTTTCCGGAGCTATGCCTATCGACATTGTCGTGGGCCGGGAGTCACACAGAAGGGGACGAATGGGCACCTGGGTTGAGGACTTCGTCAAGGCTCACAAGTTTCGCCTTCGAGGACTGGCTGTCGGATTCACTGTCAGTGAAAAGAAATGGATTCAGGAGGTCGTCGATATCGACGCCCCCGTTCTGACACACGTCGACGTTTTCTATGCATACTCTTGGCCTGGCGATCATGCCAAATATATACACGGTGGACCCTTCTCGGCGCCTGAGCTTCGCGACCTCGTAGTCTTCAGAGTGTCTCCCGACCTCTCCATGGCGTCGTGGCCGAACCTCAGGAACTTGCAGCTCGTCGATATCCCCTTCGACGCCTCTCAACTTCAATCCGCCCTGGCTACAACCCCTCTATTAGAACGCCTCTTGATCCGCCAGCTTCGGCATTCCTACTCGATTCCGGCACCATCACCTAGTTCGACAATTCATCTCGATCACCTAGAACGCATAGATGTGACCGGCGATTCCGACGGTGTCATGGCCGTCTGGGGAACACTTGTCGTTCCGTCTTTGGCCGTGGTCCGGCTCTCGTTTGAGCAGCCAACGCGTGACGAGCTCCGTATCGACGGCCGCGAGGAGAGCCTGACCACTATTCTATCTGCGACGCGCCAGCATATGGATCGCTTGGCATATCCTCTCCCAGGTCTTTCTCTGGAGGTCTCCCGAGATGCCCTCATCATCGCCGCCTACCCTGAACCCGAGGGGGGTACGCTACCATTCAAGGACGATGCGCGTGTCATTGAAGTGCAAGATAAACAGAGTTCTAGCCGGCCTTACGATTTCGTCGCCGTCATACGTGCAATGCCCATGCACACCTGCAGACTTTTGGAACTCTCCGCGATGATCCATTGGTTCTACTGGGCTGATGTCCTAGAAGAGACTGCGCACATCGAGGTGCTTTGCTTGTCCGCCTGCGGCCCGGAAACGACCGAGAACTTGGCAAAGGCAGCCTTGTACTCCACGCGCAAGAACGGCCCTACGCTGTTTCCTCGTCTCCATACATTGCACCTATACAGTGTCTTCTATGACTCCGATGACCCTCAACCGGACGTCGTCCCTCCGGCGTTGCTTGCGTTGCGCAAGTGGCTTGAGCGACGAGATCACTGCGGCGTGCGGAAGCTAAGGATTCAGGAATGCAGCGTATTTGCCGAATGGGTGGATATATTCCGACAAATTGATGGTCTGGTTGTCGAATGGGATGGAGATGTACGGTTCTGCAGGGGACCTAATCCTAGTGCTATCCCGTAGTCGCGTACTAGATATGTACCCCAAGCTTGATAGAATAGAGCAATCATTTACAAGTATGGCATCACGTTGGATTCGTCCCAAAACCGTCATTCTATGAATTGTCCGGTGGCTGTAAGCAAGAATGTTACATACTTAATCGACCTTGAACTGCTATGTGATGTCATCTTGCAGTTTGCTTGTAGTGAATCCAATCGTGCGATGTTCATTGCAACATGCATGAAACATTATGTAACCACTGACCAGGCGGGCGTATTCAAAGGGTCCTCGCTGCATAATCCGATTGTTCAAAGGCGGGATCTCAGTCACATCCAAGTATGAACAGTTACGGTTTAGTATGCTCAATGGCGAAGATATCTCCAGCAAGATCGCCCACCTGCCCACCGAGAGAGGCGAGCCCGGACTTGATCTGCTCTACGAGTGTATCCGGTAGCCCTTCAGAAGTACGCGCGTAGATGTCGATGCCCGCCGGCGTGAACATCGTCTTCTCGAAGAACGTCACGGCCCATGCTGGCCCGTCGTCCGCATCCGCGCTTCCGTTCCCGTACCCAAGAAGCTGCCACCGCGAACTGGCGATGACGAGCCAACCGCGCCCGCGCCACTTGAACCGTACCGCGGGTTTGCCTTCCGGCGCCACCAGTGTATCGACGCCAACAATCTTCGTGCGGTCCTTGTCTGGAGAAGACGAGAGCGAGCGGTACTCGACGACGTCGTCGAAGCGCGTCGCGTCGTCTGCGATGGGCGCGTAGGTGATCGTCACGTCCTTCTTGCTCTTCCACATGGGTAATGTCGAGTGCGTCACGTACCTATGAGCATTTCAAGTCAGCGGAAAACGCCGTGGGGAGATGAGACAGATGTACGTACCAAGTGCCCATGATATCCTGGAGGTCCAACGACGGCTTGAACTCCTCCGCGTCGGGTGGGTTGATGAAAATGGTCATGATGAGTGAGCCTCAAATCGGTTTGAGGAGCAAGCAATGACACGGCCGGCAAGGGAGGCGATGAGAAGCTTGGTCCAAGCTCAGTAGACGCATGTTGCATCAAGTACGCCGTCGTTGAATGGCCTCGGGCATTTCGGGCAGAGCGTCGTCATAGCCCAGGTCAGACCTGTCAAACGTGGTCGTTCTCAAGCGCTTGGTGGCCAAGTTGGGTCGACGATTGCCACGAGGGGGCGAGGGGTGCTCTCCAGAGTGGGTATATCCAGTACTGCCGGGCTCGAGGATGATGCATGATGGTAGACGGAGTACAGTACTGGTCGCGGTGATATGGCCGCACGGCGCGCCGCGCGGCGGCACAATCCAGATTTACTTACACCTCGACCACCATCGTCCTACTTAGGTACAGTGCACAGCGCGGATTCCTCCAAATCCTACTTCTTGCCTACTGGACAGCTACTCGCTGTACGTTGAGACGAAACTTCGGTCATCGCTTCCCGAGTCTTTCTGTACGATCGCGGGCGCTAAAATACTCTCTCCGCAATAATCCAGGCCTCAGAAGGGGGGTCGGGCATTGACGGAAAGCGCGCTTAGATTCGGGAAGATGGCTGATGTATAGAGAAAGTAACGCTTGCTTCTATCGCATTCCGTTCAGTGTTCACAGAGAGGTCTGCTCGCTACTCAGTCTCTACGCCCGGCAACCCCCACAGCTTGCCTAGAGCCCCCGATGCACCGATCCCACGCCAGTGACAACAACCAAACCGCGACCCCTACGGCTCCGAGAGCCAATGACAACTCGGGATTCAGGAGTGCCGCAACTGCCAGTGCCAACCTGATTGTGATCGACACAATGCGGACTGTTCTTCGTCCCGCGGGCGTAGCGAGCCAGCCGATAGCTATTGAAGGCCTTCAGCATGCACGTCCGGACTTTGACATCCATCATCCTACGTACCAGAAGCGATCCTCTCGCTGAGCTTCGTCGCACCTCGGCGGACAGTGACCTTCACGGCTGCCACCATCCTACGCAAGAACCTCCGAAAGCCTTCCAAGCGTCAGCCATCATCGCTCCAGAAGAGCACATCAAGTAGGACCGACCCATTCTCAAGTACAAGAAGTGTACGTGGGGTGTGATGATACCCGACAAGGGTGGTTTCTCGGGGAGGAGCGTGCAGGCAGTGCTCAGACTGCTGGTATTCTTATAGCGCAACACCGCGCGACTCGATTCGGGAATACCACGATAAAGTCCTGCCAATCTGTCACCGCGAGTGTCGGCCCCCATGGACTCCAGCTACATGGCATACACATTCGGAAACGCACCCACTGCATCGAGCCAGGATGGTGCAAGACATTTGCCGAATAGGGTGAGCTTCTCGAGACAGAGAATCGCGAGTGTGGCACTGCGCACAGACACGTGTTGTAGGGCTGAAGAAGATCGCACCTCCCTTGGTCAGAACGCACTCTGACAGTGACATATATAGCATATCGCGCTCGGAAGAAGCCCGACATGTGCCGAGTAAGGACTACAAGGGCTTCGTACGCTGCATGACATCACCTCATCGGCTGAATGAACCGGATACGCGACGGTCGAAAGGAGTTTCGATGGGATTGACTATAGACGCAGGATCACTAAGATAACAATGTACAAGATCACATTCGAACACACGCGGGCTAGAGACTGAGGTGGGGAAACAGACAAAGAAAAGAGAACAAACAGCAGAGAAGCATCGAAGGGTAGAGATTATAAACAGAATCGAACAAGAGGATGTGTGGGATCGAGTTGGGTTGGGATTGGGGTTGGAATTTGATTGTGGTCGTGATACAAGCAGACGCGAGCAAATCCGAGTGGGCCGAAGCATGGGCGCATGGGGAAGCAAGGGCATGAAGTGGAAGCATAGAGAGCATGCGAAGGAGAAGGACGAGGGCATACGGAGCAAAGAGGCGCGGTGTCATGATGCGCCTCTCCTCTCCCTCCCCTTCGCACCGGGCCCAAACCGCTCCTGGAACCCGATAAGCTCGCTCATGAGCTCCTCCATCATCCGCATCGTCTCGTCTTCCTTCCCGACCTCGCCCTCCCGAAGCGCGACGCAAAGCGCACTCCTTCTCCTCGCGCGCTCGCCCAAGCTGGCTTGTTCGCGCCCAACCCACTCGACGAGCGCCCGCACGCGCTTATTCATATCGCCCACGCTCATCCGTTTTGCGGGCCAGCGTACGCGCACAGAGTCTTCCGAGTCGGTTTTACTGGGAGTGGGCAAGTCGTCGTTGGTGGTGGAAGTGGGAGGCCCGAATAAAGGCTCGAGATGCGCGAGATGGTCCGGTAAACCAATGCCGGCGGCAGCGTGTCCGTTCCCGTCATCATACGCGTCCTGGGCCGTACTCCTCGTACCACCCCTCGCGCGCTCGTTATTCCCGCCGCCGGCATTCCCACGTTTACTATTCGCTTTGGCCCGCGCGCTCGCCGTCCGGCGCTGGCCCGCAGTGCTGCTGTTACCCGTAGCGGAGGCCGCTAAAGAAAGAAAGAAGAAGAACATAAGTCACATGATCGTGTAAGCGGCTCGATAATTGGATCGAGATGGGTTCGGATAGCGCGGACCGGGCCGAGAGCGCGGAAGCGGGAGCGCGGATTCAAAACGAACAGACGGAACTGGATATGGGACTGGATGGTGCAATAAAGAAGACAAAACCACGCACCGTCTTCGCCGTCTGGGATGTCGGGTGTGCTCTCGATCTTTGCGCTCTTGCGCTGGCCGCCGCGTTTGTTGCGTGGCTTGGGCGGTGCGGGCGGAGGCATGGACCGCGGAGGGGCCGAGGCGGCGGCCGTCGAGGCTGGTGTTTCTTCGCGCTCGCGTTGGAGCGGTGCGCGGTCTGACGCCGTAGAAGCCGAGCGAGTGCGTTTGGTGGGAGGACTGCAGGCGAATATAAGTACGATCGGGCGCAGATAATTGTGTGGAAAAGGGACGCACGCGTCGTCGTCGGTCCGTTTGCGTTTCTTGGCTGCGGCCCCGTTCTTGGGTGGTGGCGCCGGCTCGTCGTCCTGTGCGGGGCTGGCGACGGCCGAGGGAGAGCGTGCGCGGTGTTGTTGCTGGGCCTCGAGCGCGGAGGCCTCGATGATGTCCTTGAGCGACTCGTCGTAGGCGTCGGCGGCGCGCGAGTTCATCGTGTTCCGCCGCTTTGCCGGCTTGAGGAGCGTCGTCGGCGAGTGCGACCGGCTGAGTCGGGCCGCGCGCGTCCGTTCCCTCTCTTTCTGCCTGTTGCGCGCTTGAGTATGTGAAATTGACAAGTAAAATGGGAGGCGGACTTTTCGAGGCGGTCGACGTGGAGATCGGGGCGGCAGAGCTCGCAGTGGTACTCGCCCGGCGGCAGGTCAGCCTCGGTCGGAAAACCCATGCACTGCCCGTGCTGCCAGACGTCGCACGTCTCGCACTGGACCATAAACTCGCCCGTCTCGTCCCCGTCCTCCCCTGGCGCGACCCCGTCAGCGATGGCACAAACAACGCACAACATCCAAAACGCGTACCGGTCTTGCCACAGATACACCTCGTGACGCCCTGCTCCTCTTCTGGCTCGTTGTCCAGCTCAGGCTCGCCAAGATCCATGGCCGCGTCGTCGTCGGTGCCGTGGCTGGGCTCCTCGACGACGACGTCCGCGAGCTTGTCCTTGCCCTTCCGCTTGGCACGTGCGCTGCCGTTGAGGGTGTTGCGCGGGAGGAGGGCGTCGCCGTCGGGCTCTGCCGGGTCGTCGTGTTTGGGCTGGGGACGCTTGGGGCGGCTGCTGGGCATCGACGGGCGGGGAGGTCGGGCCGGTTCGTGCTCTGGGCTGTCCGATTTGGAGGAGTGGGAGGAGGAAGCGATGCGCCGGGAGGAGGTGGCTGAGCGACGGCGCGAGTCCATGCCCATCAGGTGGTGGTCAATGCTAAACCCTGCCCAGGCCCCGTCCCGGAAGTGAGTGCAGGCCCATCGTCTCACGCTCAGAACTTGCCTTTCACCCACCATCATCCCCTTCTCCCCACCTCCTTATTTCTTCACAATCCAATCCGATGTGCATCTCATTCCACCGTCAGTCGATGCTCGTTCGTCCACAAGCGCCCGAACATTATTTCCGGCTTCTTTCTTCCGATCTGCCCTTCCCCCGAGCGCCGCTGTCACCTCTCGCCACTCCTTTTCCATTTGCGAATCAGTCTAGCTTTGCCTGTGGAGTGCAAGGTTGAGCTGGGCCGGGGTGGGGAGGGCGAGTGTTGTGCGTCGAGGATGTCATGGGTATGACCATGTGCCCCCTTATCAGCCGCAGTTCCAAACGCGTCCAAGCCTCGCCATTGGCCGCGCCCACCCTCCGACGCGTCCCCCGTCCGTTCCTGGCATCTCCTTTGCCAAAAGCGACGCGTCTCTGTCTCTCGACGTTGAGCGGTCTGATGTGTCTGGACTCGGACTGGATTGGCACGACGAGCGCGCCTAGGCGGCTCTGTCGGCGTTATGATAAGCCCGATTACCGCCGACGGTACGATCTGCGCGGTCCGAGTCAAGCCTTGCTCCCAACTTTCATCTCTCCTTCCCATCGCTGCCCTACTCACATCCTACCACAATGGAGCAGCTTGAATACTCATCCCACGCGCCCGAGCCCGTCGCGCCCAGCACACCAACCGCAAACCCCTACCCGCGCCTCCCGCCACATCTCCTCCTCCCAACAAATCCTCCAGAACCAGACTACCTCCGCCTGATCCTCACCTCAAAAGTCTACGACATCGTCCAAGAGACACCCCTGGTCCTCGCCACAAACCTCAGCGCAAAACTCGGCAACCAGATCTACCTCAAACGCGAAGACTTGCAGGAAGTGTTCAGCTTCAAGATCCGCGGGGCGTACAATTTCATGGCGAGTCTGAGCGAGGAGGAGCGCTGGAAGGGCGTCGTCACTTGCAGCGCCGGTCAGTGCGTCTTTCCTCTCCCTTCCCAACTTTCCACCCAGCCGACGCTAACACGCACAAACTGGCAGGTAACCACGCGCAAGGCGTAGCCCTCTCCGGCGCCCGCCTCGGCATCCCCTGCACCATTGTAATGCCCACGGGCACACCCAACATCAAAGTGCGCAACGTCGCGCGCCTCGGCGCCAAAGTCGTTCTGCACGGCGCGGACTTCGACGCAGCCAAAGCCGAATGTGCGCGCCTGGCATCGACACACGGTCTCGTGTTTGTCCCGCCGTACGACGATCCGCTCGTCATCGCGGGCCAAGGCACAATCGGGCTCGAAATCCTCAAACAACTACCCGACGCCGGAACCCTCGAAGCCGTATTCGCCGCCGTCGGAGGCGGAGGCCTGAGCGCGGGAATCGCGAGCTACGTGAAACGCATCGGGGCGCCCACGAGCAAAGTCGTCGGCGTCGAGACGTTCGATGGCGACGCGATGGACCGCAGTCTCAAAGCTGGGGAGAGAGTGACGCTGGACGAGGTCGGCCCGTTCAGCGATGGGACGGCCGTGAAGATCGTCGGCGAGGAGCCGTTCCGCGTTTGTCGGAAGTTGTTGGATGGGGTCGTGAAGGTCGAGAACGACGAGATTTCGGCGGCGATCAAGGATATATTCGAAGGTGCGCTTGCCATCTTATCCTCGCATCACTCTTGCTGAACCGTGTACATCTAGAAACGCGCAGTATAACCGAACCCGCAGGCGCACTCGCCCTCGCCGGCCTCAAACGCTACATCGTCCACCACAAACTCATCGGCTCCAACAAAAAATTCGTAGCGGTCGTCTCGGGCGCAAACATGAACTTCGACCGCCTCCGCTTCGTCGCCGAGCGCGCCGAACTCGGCGAGGGCCGCGAAGCTTTACTCTCAGTCGAGATCCCCGAAACGCCCGGCAGCTTCTTCGCGCTGCACACCGTCATACACCCGCGGCCCGTCACGGAGTTCATATACCGGTACAACGACGCGAACAGGGCGCATATCTTTATATCGTTCCATTTGTCGACAAGGGACCGCGCGAGCGAGGTCGGCGCTGTGCTCAAGCAGCTCGAAGAGGGCGGGATGAACGGGCACGATATTTCCGATGACGAGCTGTCCAAGACGCACGCGCGGTACATGATCGGCGGCACGTCGGACGTGCGCAACGAGCGCGTGTTCCGCTTCGAGTTCCCCGAGCGGCCGGGGGCGCTGAGGCGGTTTTTGGAGACGCTGCATCGCGGGTGGAATATCAGTTTGTTCCATTATAGGAACCATGGGGCGGATTTGGGAAAGGTGTTGGCGGGCATACAGGTGCCGGAGGGGGAGGAGGGCGAGTTTGATGGGTTTTTGAGAGAGCTGGGGTATCCGTATGTGGAGGAGACGGGGAATGCGGTGTATAGGAGGTATTTGAGGAAGTAGAGGGTTGTGTGTGTACACTAATGTACTTACTCGTGTTGTATTATCATGTGCACCGTACGCGCTTGGAGCAAAGGACGTGATGCGACGAACAAATGCGTTCGGGCATGCCTCAGGCACTAGTTGCTGAGGGTCAGTCCGTCACTGTCGAAGAGATCCTCCTCCTCTACCTGGCTCAAAGGAGCGCGTGAGCTCTGCCGGTGTACGAGCTGACGCAGCGCACGGTCCGCTATGCCTATAGTCCGGATACCGGTCCGATCAGGACCAACGATCTTTTCGCGGTGGCCCGCCCTGCGTGGTACGTACGAGCGGATCGACGCCAAAGACTCTCGAATAGTTGGATGTTCTATCGATAGGTTCGCTCACGCAGCATGCCGCTTGAGCTAGTGTGTCAATATGCCATCGTCGCTGCCTGAAGGAAAAGGCGCCGTCAGACATGTCAATCGGAATAAGTGGCTGAATTCACTCGTTCTCGAAGACGACACAGATCGCAAGCTATTCACCAGCCGCTTGAGACATACGGCACGCCGAGCGGATGCCTCGAGACCGCACCCGTAGGCTGCGCGCCGATCCTCACGGGTGCGAGTGTGGCGAACAATTCACACAGGTGCTTATACGCGTACAGGCACGACACGCCCATGCGCACGCAGCATATCCTACACGCTCTCCCAAAGACTCATGCGTCCGGGCAAAGCCATTGCTGCCATGCACAAACAGCCACCGTTTGCTGATCATCGGATGCGTGTGTGTGCAATGCTGAGTCCATCGTACGACCTCGCACTGCAACTCCAATCGATCGGCCCATCTTTGACCACCTCATGCACCAGCCTGCATAGGCGCTCGTCGACGAGGTCCAGGATCCTGCAACTGCCTGAAGCGGGTAGGGGCGAATCAACTTCGGTGGATGGGGCCAAGAGACTGTGCGCTGGGCCATGAGTTCGCCAGATGCTGGGAAGGGTGTGGCTCGGGTTACAAGGTCAAGGCGAAGCAGCAGAGGGAGAGTCCAGTACAAGCTTCGCTTCTCATAAGGAAGACCAACCAAGTACGCTGCATCCGAGCCGCCTCTCGAGTGTGGCCCCCTTCCTCGGTCAACTGGACTCCGGAGAAGCAAGCTGAAGAGGGCACTCGCAACACGGTTTGCAACTAAGTGGCTCAATCTATGCCAAGACTACAGTCGCGCATCCTTTACGTGGCAAAGAAAGTAGAAGGAGATCAACAGTCAGATATTTTACATGACCGAATATTGAGGACCATGACGGGCAGAGGGACGGAGAGGAACGCGGCGCGCGGCGCGCAACCGCGGTCACACGAGACGCGTCTTGCTTTCCCCTCTCATCTTACCGTGTTTGGCGCGTGCACAGACGTATACGATGACACGAAACTCGTGCAGATATGTGTCAAAGCCGAACGCGGCGGAGCCTGCGAGGTCTCCGTCGGCGAGAGCAAGCGTCGAGCGCTGAAGGCGCTCCGCGCGCTCGTTGGTCACCAGGTCCAGGTCGTCGAGCGGCTTCCGGTCAAGTACCCTCTAAGGTGATCCTGGACCTATCGCTTTATCGGATCTCCTGCCGTTATCAAGGTCCTACTCTATGTACGGGGACACTCTATTCTTTGTTTTGAGCGCTGAGAAGCGTTGCCACCAACTCTGCCGTTACACGTCTACCGACGTACGCGATCGCTCGAGTTCACCGCGTCCTGGGAAAGGCGCTCCTCACGGGCGCACACGGATGCTATGGCTGTAGCACCTATTCGGAACCGACTCCAGAATGCAGGCGCACAGCGGCCGCGCGCAGCTGCATGCCATGCGGCTACGAGCTCGATGCTATGATGATCACCGGCCGGTCAGCCATGGCCCGCGCAGCCCTTTTGCTCCTCCTGATGCTAGCTGCCGACACGCATGTTATACCGCTCCCGATGACCTCAGCGGTGTTTCTTGCCGCCGACTAGAGCGTATACAAGCTTCTCCCTGACGTCGCGGCCGGCGGTCAAGTGCGGCGGACTGACTCTAAGAACATACTGATCAGAACGGCGGTAGTCACCTCCGACAGGAACCACGCATTATACTCAGTGTGGACAGTACAGGCAATGCGTTCACCACGGACAAGGATCTTCGTTTCTATCTCTGTGTAAGGCAACTCTGGTCGCCATCTACGGAACGGCCTAGGAGAGCGACTGTAGCGCATACAGTCGGAGTTTTGCGGACGTTCGGTCTCGCTTTATCCGCCAGCATCGCCACTAAACGGCTCGGCTCGGTACAGTACCTCGAGCGCCCTGCGCGGCCGAGAAAGATGAAAAATAGTTCAGGCATATAGATCGCACAGTGAGTAATGCAGGTCAAAACTAGCCTTATATGGCTCTGATCATTCTGTGGGTGATCGTGATAGTGTGTTCTACAGACTGGGGCCAAGTAGGGTGCAGACATGCTAGTGCCAAAGTGATAACGCATCGGAATGGACTACAAGTACAACAGGAGGACCATATCTGCGGCTAGCCACAGGCGGCATAGCTCGAATACTATACATCGGAAAAGGTAGGGAAAGCGAGATGATAGCGGAGGGATGTCCGAAGGAGCGGCATGAAATGTTCAGGACGGGAACAGGGTCAGATCTAAGATCAAAAGCTCGAATCCTCGTCGCTCGAGGTGTCAGAGCCCTTACGAGCATGAAGGACAACAGGCCGAGCGAAGACGTATGCGCGCATCTCTTTCGCGATCTCGCGTACGGAGCGACGTTTGCGATGGCCCCGCGGCACAAGCGACGACGCGGTCGTGGATATTGGCCTTGACCCGACGGTCCTCGTGGTGGGCACGACGTCGATGAATCGGCCAGCCGAAAACACGTTGAGCGCGTTAATTGCCAGCGCAGTTGTCAGGCCGCGATTGCCGATCCGCACGCCTGACGAGCCGTACTTGTAAAACCAACCACTCGGCCATCCTCCGTCCTCCTCCTGCATCATGCGCAGCGTACGCAGATCGATTTCATTACGGATGCCGGCCTGGGCGCACGCGAGTATCCTCATAGCGAGCGCAAGCGCATCACCCGGACTGCCGACGCGTTCCGCAATGCGCGCGGCGAAAAGAGTGTCGAGCCGCGCGTGCAGGGCGGTGTCATCGTTGAACTTCAACAGGCGCGAGAGGAAGAAGAGGAATGGCTCTGCGCCCTCGTAGTATCTTGTTCCATCCTCGTAGGCGCGATGCTTGAGTACGGCGGCAACGAAGTTGAGCGTGACAGCAACATCCGCGCCTCGGCCTTGACTATAGAATAGCGAGAGAACGTTGCAGCATACAACTGGGTCCACTCGTGGCCGTTCAGGGTCGAAGTACGTCTGTGAAGGTGATCTTAGGTCAGATGCAAGCCCGCGGCAGGGGCTACTGTGTGGGTGGCGCGCACTAGAACAATCCCCTCGTCGGTCCGGTACGTCAGCATCTCATCCATCACGCGTGCAAACACCTCTGGAGCGGGCTGGGTGACCATGAGCCCTATCGATGTCGTGTCGAGATCACACGGGAAGGACTCTGTCGTGAGCGTCGGTTTCTCTATGATGAACGTCAGAGGGAGCGCATATATGCGCACGAAAGCGCGCCGACAATGGGCTACTCACCACGGAAGAAGTTCCACTTGTCAGGGTATTGCATATAGCGAACAAGAGAGCGGTCGTGCGTAGCCTCGAGAAGAAGGAGTTGGCAGAAGTTGTCGCCTATGGTGACGCCCGTATCCGTGAAGGAGTCGTGATAGCCGGCACGCGACTTCAGAAAGGAGTGTGCTCTCGCAACAGGATCGAGAACGTAGTTGCGCAACGCGCGGCATACGTCCGCAGGCTTGTCGAAGACGATGGCATTGAGCCCACACGCGCGGGCCGAGAGAACGTTCTCAGGTTTGTCGTCAACGAAAACGGTGCGGGCTGGGTCTACACCAGTCTCGGAAAGCACGTAGCGGTAGAATCCCAAGTTTGGTTTGCGCTGTCCCGCAGCGGCCGAGGTGAAGACGCGTTCGAAGATACTCCAATCAGCTGACTTGGTGCGTAGGACCTCGTAATCGGGAGCGGAAATGTTTGACATAGCAAATATGCGTAACGAGTTGCCGGTTTCAACCTGAAGCTTGCGTATGAAGGATAGGAAGGTGTCGTCGGGCTGAAGCGATGCGCGAGCGTCCGCGAAGGCTTGTCGTACCTCCGCAGGATCGAGCGAGAACTGAGCCCCAACCCTGGCATAGCAGTCCTGTTCGTCCAAAGCGCCGCACTCGTATGAATGCCATGTTGGGCTATTCAAGATGGCTTTGAGCTGCTTGGGCTTGATCGACGTCGAGGTCACCGGAGACCAGCTGAAGAGGACATCGCCGATGTCGAAGATGAGGGTAGTACAAGGTACAGCGGACATTGTGCCCGGAAGCGTGAGCACGGAAGGGTAGGGTCGATGGAGGGCTATTCACAGAGGTCGTAATTCGCTTGTATTGAACGGCGAGGGTTATATGGCCGTACAAGCACGAGGGCTGGTCCACTAGATGGCGCTCAAGTTACCAGATGAGGAAGCCACAGTAGTGTCCAGCACAATCTCGATTCGTGCCTTGAGGATACCTCGTTCCACGCCTAGCTCTGGGCCCCTATTTCTTTATTCTGTTAGCGGGAGGTCAGCATAGCTTGCCGATGCGGGTGGTCCAAAGCAAGGTTTCATGGAGAACCACGGATCACTCCAGGGTCCAGAAAATCTGATCGTCTATGGCCCCCAAGGTACCCGGGACGCGATCTCGGCGATTTCTGACGTGTGAACGCCATTTCGCCGAGCATTCACAATATACAAGAAGGTACGTTCGTATAATGTGGGTAGCCACATTAATTAAACGTCAACCTGCCGGTCGTGAATTGGATGCCTGGACAACGCGCTGTTCGGGAGGACGCCAACATTTTCTCCATGGACTTGCCCGGCTTTGACTAAGGATGCCTCGGGGACCATGTTCGTATTACCTGCCTAGTGCCTGCGTTAGCTTTGCATTCTAGGCCAGAACCGAAGGGGGAAGGTACAAGCATCCGGAATAGAGAAACACCGTATAGAAAAACTGCGCTTTGGGTCGACACCGTCATCCGTGTGAGAGCAAGGTCATCACCGCGTGATATCGCGCATCGAGGTTCGCAAAGAGAGTATTTGATTCGAAAAAGAACCCATTACACGACATGTGTCATAATTTTTAGACGGCTCGGGGATGTTCTCAGCATCATCACATCAGAACCTGCGGTCCACCCACTTCCTCATAAGGAAGAATAGCATGACATACAGCCCGATCGCGAAGAGTCCACCGACAAGAGTTGCAGCAGCATACCATGACATGGGCAGGCTTGAGCCGGCCATGATAGCCTGCGCCACGGAGAAGAGTGAGCCCGCAGCAACGTCGCCAATTCTTGATTTCCATCTGGCGGCCCACGATCCTATAGGGATGCATTATCGTATGATATCGAAGATGAAGAGTGAGAGGGGCCCAACCTTTAGCGATACCACCAGGGCGGAATCCAACCATCCTGAGTGCTGATCTGACCGACATAGGAGCTGATAAGGCGCCAACAACAGCACCGGCACCCGTCACGCTGGCCAATATAATGATGTATATCGTCGACGGCGTGCGTTGGGAGCTTGAACGTCCGGTGACGGCGGCGTCTATTTTGTTACAGGTGTGGTAAGAGCCTCTGGAAGTGCTGTCGGAGAGTAGCGACGCAGTCTCAATCAGGGTCGGTGATGGGAGGGGGTCATAGTTCGAAGACATCCCCAAGACGGAACGCTCGTCGTCACTGTCTACGGCGGTTGAACTTGAAGTTTGGGCGCGTTTCCAATGGGTATACTCTTCAGGATCAATGGCTGACTCTATATCAGTACTAGGACAGCTTAGGAAAGATAGACGACTAACGCATATTGACATGCGCTTCTCCGTCGGTATCAGATGGTTCGCGCTGTCTTATGTATCCCATCGCCGGTTGCATGGGAGTTGAGTCTGACTCGTACACGGTTAAAGGTACGTCAATGCATAGCACTCATGGGTAGCGCAGAGGCAGGTATGGCTTCAGAGAGTGACACGCGCAGCTGAGCAGACGGCCAAAGGAAGCTTTTGTGCTTCGTTGAACGCCAGTCTCGGGGTTGAACGTTGAACGTTGAGGGTCGTGTTTGGCGCCGTCTCAGTAACTGTTTGAAGTCACTTCATCGAAGGCGCCGGCCGGCCATCCCAAATGGGTGTTTGATCCACGAGATAGCGATGTCAAACTGCGTAGCCTTACTCGGACGTGGTCCGATGTGGTGGTCAGGTTCAGCTGGCAAGGGAGTGGCGACAATCACGGCGATTACCGAGCGCTTTTCTCACAGTGCTGATGCTGTGCGGGCCTGCGCTATCGCTCGATTCTGTTCAGGATGAATTCAGGGAGCGCCTGCTGGAAGCAGTATCGGCGCCTAGTACTTGATCTACCCGATACAGCCGATAGAAGATGATGATCGGGGACGACGGTGGAGATACTGGGCAGGCATCTTGAAGTTACAAGTGACTGGATCCAAGTCGCGAGGTGTTATGGGGGTATCCGGATAGCAAAATATAGGATGATCCTATACCTTCTGCCATAATCTTCTTGACCAAGTAAATCAACTCCCATTTAGACTTTGAGATCAAGGGAGACGTGCTGTCAGTGTCCAAGATCCATCCAAGGTATGACAGTGTCAGATCTCGCACCCATTGTCAACTTGTTAGCGAGTAAAGACGGTACGTTGCGGGCTGCATTCCATACACAGACACCGTGCTTGCGGCATTCAAACAGTCACCTATCTTCTACTGCCCCCTTTGGTTAGGCGCTCCAGTGCTGCGATATCACTCTCAAGGAATGAAGCAGTCCTCGGGAATGTTCCTGTGAAGCATCCATATTACATCAAACTGATTGCATGCTCGTACCGTAAGGAGGCTTCATTACAAGACGATACGTATTCATCAGACCCCCGGATATACACAAGGCGCCTTACACGTATAGACCCTCAAGAAGCTTTACAACGTCAGGGTACGTCTTGTCAGATTGGCCTCCCATCGCTTTCTCGGCGATCTGCGGAGCGTGGTCGCGAGGGACGTTGTACTCCGTAAGCGTGCTCTCGAGACCAAGATCAATGACCAGCCTAGGATTGAGCTCGTTAATGGTTGAGATCTTATCTCATGGCGCGGACGCACTTCTCAATAAGGTCGGCGAGTCGCGCCACATCGCCATCAATACTGCCGGTAGGCGTTTGACGAAGATAGAAGAGTGCTCCCGCAAGCCATTCTTTATCCTCTTGCGAGGCGTGGCGTGCCTTGAGGCGCACTACGGGTGCGAGAGTGAGGCACTGCCACTTGTGTTAGTGCTCGGTCTATGTTACTTCCACACAATGCTTACTGAGGTTATCCCATGAGGAATAGAGTACGCCGCACCGAGCTTATGCCCGAGAGCATGACTCAACCCGATAGCCGAGTACTTCTCCATGCGCATAGGCCACAGGCTCATCCAGCTCGCCAACTGCAGTTTCTGGCGAATAGCAACGTCTTGGGGATTTGCCTTGGACTGCGGGAGATACGTGAACAAATCGTACAAGGCCTGATACATCAGCGCCTTCATGGGTGGTATCACTTGAGGGCGATAAAGGTTCTCTACAGCATGGTCAACGGCACGCATGCCGGTTGAGAGCCTAGCACTCAATGAGCACTGGGGCTATTCGGCAAGGGTCCTTTCACGCACCACAGACGCTCAGGTGTCGCGAGCGTCAATTCCGCATCGAGAATGATACCGGCAGGTGCGAGCGCCGGATCGTTGACGCTATCCTTGACACCCTTCTCGTTGGTGAATCCAGCGCCAATCTACAAGCACGGATCTGAGAATCTTCAGGATGGGCACGGAGCAAGGTACGCACCGTATACTCAGCTGCACTGAGCGTAGTCGGAACGGCGATTTGGCGCAGAAGTTCTCCGGACCCGCCGTCCTCTTTGCGGAGCATGTAGAGGATAGCTTTACTCGCATCGATTGGGCTGCCACCGCCGACAGATACGATGTGATCGGCGCCTGCTTTGCGGAAAGCTTCTACGCCTGCACGTATGCCCGCGATGGGTGCATGCTCGCCTATGTCGTAGAAGGTCCCTCCGTACGCGTCATCCCGTTTGAGGAGTGCTTCAACCTTCTTGATAACGTCGGTCTACGTTGAGAAGAAGTGTTAGAACCTGCGCAGCGTATGAAAAGGCCAATGATCGACCTTGTTGTGCAGGCTCTTGCCTGTCACGATCAGAGCTTTGGTGCCACCGATAAGGCTACGAAGCTTGGGCAGAGATGTTTCAATACTGCCTGGTCCATAGTAGACGCCCTTGAGCGTTTCAGTCCACCCATAAAAACCATGAAGCTCAGTCGATGGATGTTGCTCGTTCAGAAGCGAGGACATGATTCAGAAGCGGGACGACTCGGTTCTTCAGATTCAGAAAGGCGTGTTGCGGAGTTTTATGTGCAGCAGCTTCGGCAGTGTGAGAGGTAGAGCTGTAAGCAAGAGAACAGGTGCGACGTCGAGAACATCCTTCGCTAATCTGCGTCATCGGTAAACTGGTCATGCGCGCGAGACACGGGTGTCCGAGCCCACCTCTCGCTCGCGCGCTAAGACAGTCTAAGCTCTCACTTCACGGCCTTCGCATAACGCTATCATCCATTTGAGTAACAAGAATTCTCGGGCCTGTGGGTGAACACTGCCATCGCGGTTCGTCGCAACCGGAGGCGCGCCTGACGCGAGCAGGCGTGGCCGCGTGGGCGCTTAGTGCGCGGAATTCCCACAGGTTCGCGGCCCGTCCTATTGTACGCAACACTACCGCACCCATTATCGCAGCCTTCCTTCACTCCACTGTGTTTCTCTAGCCATTGACAGGCGCGTTATGTCGGAATTGGATGGCACTCTACGGGGCAATGCCAAGGGCTGATCTCGGGTCTTGACGACATTACATCCTTCACTGCCACTTCGAGGCATCAACGACAACAAGATGGGCGCCTTACCATCTGTCAGAGGCCTGGCATCCTGCCCCGTATAGTCAACCGACTTCGACCTATACCCCCATCATAACTTGTGCCACAAGCGACATGACCGGACTGCCTGACTGTAACGGTACATTCATCCTGCACTGATGCTGCTCACGGTGGTGCTGAGTGCAACCCACAGATGTACCGTCGAGGACGCTGCTTCCTCCCGAACTCTGGATACGGATCTTGCAGTTTGCCACGACAGTGTCTGGGCAAATGCAAGTCGATGCTCAGAAACCGCTCGATGATGGCGCCGTTGCGCTCGCTCTGCCGCACATCCTTTCCCCTCAGTCCGCACGCGCCGAATTTCTCGCAACACAAACAACCCGAGCAGCCATCGTGCGCGTATGCAGAATCTGGAACACCATAGCTACGCCGTACCTCTATGCGGCCATCTGCGTGCCGTCGAGCTCTGCGCTCCCACCTCTCGCAGAAGCCCTCACTCGCCATGGCAAGCTGGTGCGGCGCCTGGACCTATTTCTCGCGGATGATGAGTGCCACGAGATCTCGCCGCTTGAAAAGATCTTCTCGCACATGTCTCAACTTGAAATATTGCACATTGCGACACGAGCGGACGCCAAGATCCTCATTCCTCACCGCGCGATGTGCGCGCTGCGAGAGACGTGCGCACCCTCACTACTCTCGCTTTCTTGGGATCCAACCTCCGCTCTATACCCCACCGTTCAACAACTGCAATCACTTCTCTGCGCCACACGGAATCTACGCTCGCTAGGGCAGCTATATTGGCCCGACTGCGAAACAGGATACGCTCTTGGTTGCCCGTATACCCTTCCCGTCCTCAAGAGACTCGATAGCATGACGTTGCTGAATGGACACGACGATCATGGCGTCGATCCGCCCACGTTCCCGTCTTTACGCCACATCATCATCGGCAAATCCGCGCAGAGTGGATGCGTCGACGCATTTGTACGTGCGCATGCGCCCACCCTCCGATCTGCCATCGTGGAAGTAGCCGTGGAGGACCAGGAGGCGCTCGCGCCGCTGATGGCATGCGAGCAGCTTGATACGCTCATACTCCATATGTCACCCGATATGGTGCGCGCGTTGTCGCTTTGGCGCATGCCGCTGTCTTTACGTCGACTCGGGATTTACGTGCACGAGGTGGATGGAGAGGCGCGGGAGCTCGTCGTGATGCTCGGGCATGTATCGACCATGGAGGCCCCGGGTCTGCAGGTGGTTCGGCTGATGCATCTTACACGCCGGCGTCTAGAGACGTTCTTGCGGTCAGATGGATTCGCACTCGTATACGGCTTGTTCGCGCGAGCAGGATGGAAACTAGAGGATCGCGATGGATGCTCGCTTGTTCCTTTACAGTGATGGAGACACATTGTTACGCATAAATTATTATAACTTATGAAGGAATGGATGGACGACCTGTAATCGCACTGTATGAACAATATTCGTGATAACTACAACAAGGTGGGCCTCAATCAGACCAATGTAGATCAGAGATGCGCTTCGCTTGTCGTGTAGGCCGAGGGCGACTCGCTATGCTGTGTCATATGCGACATCCTGTCCGACTCCTTGACGCCCATCGGCTGGGCGGAATCGCTGACCATCGTGGAAGTGCTGGCCTGGCTCTGGCTCCGGGCGTGCATATGACCTATGATGTCCTCGCCAGGATCTCCGATCACAGTTTCCTGCATGATGCCAATCGCCACGCCACCCATGCTCGCGGCCACGATACCGGCCCCGATGCCACCGCCACCACCAGCCGATTGATCATCCGATTCACGACTGCTTTCGTAGTCCGTCTGCACTCCCGGTACACTGCCGAAGAGCAAGAGATTGGGCCGTGTAGTGATGAGCAGCAATACGTTGCTCAAGCCTGACAATGCGAAGATGGAGATGGAGATGAATGTGCCGACCGATGGGATTGATTGTCCGCGCGTCTCCAAACCGAAACCGATCCATCGGATGATGGACACAGGGCAAACAAGGACAGAGTAGACGACGGGGTAGGCGAGGATGGCCACAGCACGTCGACGCCCGCCGTGGACTTCAACCAGCTTGTGGCGATAGGTTAGGTGGAAACGCCACCATGATATGGCGTCGACTGCGAGGTAGCCCTCGCTCCAGAGAAAGAGCGGCACGTAGACGAGGAAAGACGTGAAAAGGGCGATCCAAAGCCATATGTATTCTCCACCTAGGCGTTCGCCCGCGTATCGTGCGCTGATCCAGCACCAATACTACATCATTCGTTCAACTGATCGTCCACGATCGACATGACTGACTACGTACCGGTGTTGGCGTGATGTATGGCGCATCAGCGTCATTGTGTACGCCTGCACCGATGCCCACGAAGAGCGTGACGAAGAGGAGTATGAGGCAGACAACGATGATAGCGGCGCGGCGATTATGTACTCCTTTACGCCAGAAGACGCTGACGAAGGTGTGCATGGTGATCGCGAGGGTACAAAGTGCGACGCCGGCTTCGCCGAACTGCTGAAAGAGACCCTGCGTCGTACAATATCCTCCAGTCTCGAGCTTGCCCATGTACGCCCATCGGATAGAGAGAACTTGACCCATGGCCTGTATGATATCGAGAGACAGAAGAGTAAACTGTAATGATTGTGAGTACGTGGGACGTAGAGGAGGCGACCAGTGCGCACCATGTAGATATCCGTAGGTAACTTGAACAGTCTCCATTTTCCAAACCGACGATGTCTTTGTATATTCCTGAGTATGAGGCCGTAGATGACGAAAACCGACAGGAGCGACAAGAAGCTGGCTTGCACGAGGAACTGAGAGGGAGATGAGTACAATATAGCGATGGTGGGGGACGGACAGACGAACCGCAAGCCCGATGTTCTGTCCTCGCGATAGGCAGGTTATGTTCGGGTATGGGTTATCCGCCGTGACCAGGGACGCTTGGTACTCCTCCTCTGTACATGTCGTCCCGAATACGCCTTCGGCGAAAGGCATAAGGAGCGCTCGTCAGGCGTCTCGTGAAAAGGGTCGTGGTAGTCTAGCTACGTGAAGATCTGAGGACCAGCCTCTACTAAGCGCACGTAGTGCAGAAGGGGGCGAAAGACGAAAGCGCGGTCATGTTGGAGAGGCACTGGTTATATCCACATGCATGTCGATCGGAACAGGCTACAAGTCCAAAAAACGGGCGGGGCTGTGTGATACGACCGGTTGCGCCCTGGTCAATGGGCTTCCCTGATGAGTCTCCCTGAATTCTTGAGGAGATCAAGAGATGGAGGGCTACTGCTGCAGCCACAGATACGTTGCTTGACATCTTCCACAGCAAGGTGAAACCCGAGGAGGAGATCCTCGAGCAGGATTGTCGGGTGCCCCGGTTTATTCGGGTAAATCATGTTCGGCATCAGTAGTGGTCTGCACATATGATTGCAGAGGTTGAATATCGCCTGCCGATCCGGGCGTTTGATGTCGTGATGGTAGGGAACGGTCATCAAACATCAAGCATCATGGCAAGGGAGCTGGACCCTCCGTAGACCACAGATGTGTTTTCCAATCTATACCTATGGCCAGGAGTGTCATCTCACAAAGAGACGTCAAGCGAAGGAGGGAGCAAGTTACTCAAGCTGTCCCTGCTCGTCGGTGATACGGTCGAAGCCGCGTCTGGGGATGTAAGACGAACCTCGGGCATTGCCGAAGGACCATGTTCGCCTCCTACATCATCGCGTTTGCTTTGGGCTATCCACTTAGCGTTCGCGTAGGGCTCTGATTGAAGCATGGATCCAGAAGACGTGAGCTCAGCCATAGAACGGTCGACGACCTCGACGGACGGACTAGACAATCTTGGCCAGAATCAGCTGGCTTGCGCTTCCTTCAATACAGCGCAGCCCTGCGGGGCAATCAGTCACCAGTTGCGCGTGCACCTGGTTGGCGCCGTGGCGAACCTTCCTCTGTACCACGATTCGAGCATCAATTATCGATCATGAGCCGCGAACGCAGAGGGACTGCTCTATCGCCTCTCGCGACGGCTAACCCCTTGAATGGCACGCCGAACGCGTTCTTCCCGGTCCACCAGCACCTTCACGGTCGGGGCACCCCGCACGGGACGCCACACCATTTCTTTCCTCAACAAGCCGTGACAAGTCCGACTACTATGCCTCCACCAATGGCCACGCGACAGTCCTCGTCTTCGTCAACGACGTCCAAGCCGATGCACATAAAGCGCGTCACGCTGACCTCCAAAAAAAACTGGTGGATGGGTGCGTTTGAGGCGCCATATCTGCCATGAGAATTTGATCTTGACCGCTTTTGACAGTTGAACTTGATGAGGAGGATGAGCCGCCACCACGCCACTCGATGTTCAATGGCTTGCCCACCGGGAGCGAGCAGGTGATGCGTGCCGAGCCTGAACCGACGCCCAGAGTCGAGCGCTACTTCGACCATCGCCCTGATCACCGCAGAGAGTCTGTTCACTCGGTGCCACAACGCTCTCTACCCCCTTCACGACCAGCGTCTCCTATACCCGAGGCGTACAATCCGCCCCGTAGACCCAACGCCATCTTCTCGTTCCCCACTCCACCGATCTATTCTGCGCAACCCAATCCGACGGCTTCTATGGTTCCATTCACACAAGGCGCTGCGTCTGAGCTATTCAAGACTGTTGTCAAGAAGCCGGAATACGTCACTCTGGAGATCAACGGCGAGATCCAGAGTAACGCGACGGACGTTGCTGCTCAGTTTCTCGCAGAACTACGCGTTTACACGACCGTGTCTCGACATCGCAACCTTCCGGTCTTCCTTGGCTGTTTGGACGGCATCGGCATGGTGATGGAGTATCTGGACGGCCGCACACTATACCAGGTCATCAAAGACCGCCCGCCACTCAGTCGCGCACGCAAATGCGACTTTCACAATCAGCTGCTCGACGCCTTGTGCCACATCCATTCCTACGGCCTCAGTCATGGCGATCTCTCAACTCTCAACATTCAAGTCGTACAGAATGGCGCGACGCTCAAGGTTTTTGACTTTGGCCGTTCTGTCGCTGCAGATTCTCTCTACGCTCCACCAGATGGGGATCCAGTCGACCCTTTCGCGTGGATGGCGCCACAGAATGCGGGCAGGCCCAGGGTCGAGCAGATTCACCCGGGTACTCGCCCCTTCTCGGCGCCCGAGATCCTGCGAGGAGAGTGTCAGGATGCGCGGCTCGCCGACGCGTACAGCTTCGGGCTGATCCTCGTCTGCTTGGAACGTTGCGAGCTGGTGGATGTGAAGCCGTGGGATCAGCGCAAGGACAAGCTCCCGGCGAACCTATACGACGGATGCGAGTTGTGGGTGGATAGAATAAAGGAGTACCTCGCGCGATTCGACTCGCGAAGAAGACTGTCTTTAGATGACGCGGTCATGATACTGGACGATTGAACTGTCGCTGCTTGACGTGCTACTGCTGATACCCTGGATGTGATGACCCCAAACAACTCTGCAATGTACTACTTACCAAGACCTTCTGCATTTTGTACTTCTCAACCATCCTGTACTGTATACCGTGGCCTCGGACTCTGTACTTGTATCACATCCCTACTCCTAAAATACTTTGCCTGCATTCTGCACTTTAGTAGCCCACGTGGCATCGCATCCGTACGGCAAGCGTCAAGGAGCGCGGCCGACTCACGGTGAAGTCGAAGCGCAAGACACGTCTTGACTCTCACCCTCACTGCCTTCGCGCTACCGCCACACCGGCATGGCTGCCATTCATCCATCTCGTCTGGGACTAATCCCGCAGAATATGCGGGATGCTCCTCGTAAACGAGCACCCTCTCCACCGCGGCGCCATTCATCCTCTCCGCGACGTTCTGCAGAACCATCTCGCCGGCGAAGCCCAGACTCGCGTCCGGCCCGGCGCAGGTGGGATGACCGGGGCCCCGACGACCGTGATCGGCCCGAAAGGAGAGATAATGGCAGGGAACGAGACGATAGAGGACGAGGGAGAACCAGGAGTCGGAGCAGGGACAGGGAAAGCGCGCCTGTGCGCCGCGCCAGTCCGGCGTACGGGGAGTACAAACGACCTTCGCCGCCACCGCCACCACGTGATGGTCCAGCCGCACCATGGCATGACCAAGGAAATATGTACCCTGCGCGCAATAGAAGAGATGGTCCACCGGGTGACAGACCTCCCTTTCCACCGAATGGCGGTGGTAGTGACTACTTTGAGAGGTATATATTCATTTACTGCAAACGCGCAATCTTTGTGCTGATATATCTCCGGCAGTCGCCGCCAACAGCGCGCTAATAACACATTGAGTATATGGCCTCCGTCTCCAAAAGAGCCCGCTCGCAGCTTGTATGTTAATCGATTTGCTCTGCATTCATATGGCTAATCACGACATTTAGGTCGCCCGAGCGCAGTCATAAGCACAAACACAAGCGGAAACACAGACGTGACCGATCTTCGTCTACCTCCTCGAGCTCCGACAGCGAAGAGGAGCGCAGACGGAGACGACGCAGGAAAGAGAAGAAACGGGCGAAGAAGGAGAAAGAGCACGATCGCTCGGACAGGATACGGCATCGTACGCGCACGCGTTCGGTGTCACCGCGTCGCCGTTCTCGCTCGCCTGAGGACCAATGGGTCGAGAAGGCTCCGGAGTCTGCTGTCCCGCGAAAACTCTCGCCGCCACCTCGAGCCTCAAGTTCACGTGCTTCGCCGCCGCCATCGGACGATGACGATGATGAGGTTGGGCCCAAGCCTGAGCCTACCGCAGCCCAGATCAGCAAGAGCAGGCAGGACGAGAAGCAGTATGGTGGTCAACTCCTGCGTGGCGAAGGTAGCGCGATGGCTGCGTTCTTGAAAGACGATCCTGACGCGCGTATCCCGCGTCGTGGTGAGATCGGTCTGGCGTCGGACGAGATTGCGAAGTACGAGGCGGCAGGATACGTGATGAGTGGCAGTCGGCACCGCGTCATGAACGCTGTGCGGATGCGCAAGGAGAACCAGGTCATCAGCGCGGAGGAGAAGCGTGGTATCTTGAAGTTGCAGCAGGAGGAGCGCGAACGGAGGGAGCAGGTGCTCAGAGAAGAGTTCCAGGAGCTGTTGCAGGAAAAGCTCAAGGGTGCGGAGGGCCCGCGACCGCCGAAGTGATGTATTCAGTACCATCGCTGTAGTCTACAAGCCACATGCGCTACCTATACTTCTACACAGTGCTTGATTGGTCGGTTACAACGTTCGAAACCACAACGCCCGAACTCATCTCATACGCGCTTACGCGTGACATCTTCTAAATGGCTTGTCGCGTGGGGCTGCGGCGCGAGTGAGGACGTCAGACGTCCAGGCGAGGCAGCCTCTTGCCCGCAACCGCCACCATCCCGAATCTCAGCACGGCCCGCACCTCATTGACCTGTTCGTCCACTCAACTGCTAGCGACCGACTACATAGGTTCTACCGAGCATCGACGTTCGACGCCCATGAGCAGCAAGGTTGACCAGACGTCGGGAGAGGAAGCGATTATCGAAGATGTACTCGCGTACGTAGGTATCGCACACGCGCCACTGTACCTCCCATATCTAATATACCTCATGATGTGTTTTCAGCGCGCACGCTGAACCATGGCTGTCACTCGCGAAGGAAAGATTGGCCACAATGAATATACGCCCGGGTTCTGAACCGCGAGTGCCGTATGACACAATTGCCGATTTCGTTGAGAAAGAGGTCCAAGGCGCCCTCCTCGCCATTGCAAGTCTACGCTCTCACCAGAACCTACTGCATCCCATCAATAAATTACCCTCGGAAATCCTCTCCCATATTTTCCGCGAACTTTCGCTCAGTCGGCCGTTGCGTAACACGTACGCGCATTCGGTCTTTTCGAGCTGGGTAGCCGTGACATACGTCTGTCGTACATGGAGGTCTGTGGCGCTGGGATGTGCCGCACTGTGGAAAGAGATACCCCTTGGAGCCGGACGTCGATGGGCGCACGCTTTCGTCACTCGTTCCAAAGCCGCACCTATCTGTTTGGCTAGTCCTGTCGCTCAGAACATCCAGTCATCCTGGCTATATGAAATCATCACCGAGCAGTTTGCCCGTCTCGCGAGCATTGAACTATCCGGCCAAATTGCTGTCTCCAAGTTCTGCGAGCTATCTGCGGCGTCGGCGCCCCAATCACTTCGGAAGCTCGTCCTCGAGTTGCCACCGCGATACGACCTTTACGTCGGGCCCCAGACGTCCAACCTCAACCTGATGCGTCTCATCGGAGCGCAGAATCTGCAGGACGTGTCACTTCAGAACGTACCTTTTGCATGGGATACGTTGCCGTGGCCTAGCCTTCGTCGTTTGGTGGTTAGCGGCCCCCCGCGGAGTTCTGCAGTCACCAACTTAGCAGCCTTGATCGCTGGCTTACGATCGGCGTCTGTCCTGGAAGAACTTCAGCTCAAGCTAGGAACCGTACCCATGGACAATATCGTCAAGGCCGACTCTACCGTCGTACACCTATCACGCCTGAGGGTGTTCGCCATCAATGCGTACGCCGCCGACTGTCGAGCGTTCTTCGACGCTATCCGCATTTCATCGACGGCTTCTCTGTCCGTTACACTATTTGAGGATGCGCGTGGGACCGCGGAACTCTCAGTCGTCAATCCACTCTTACGCGCGCACAGCGGGTTTGACGACCCAAACCCTCCCGTGAACCTCCAAACCCTGGCCATAGACGCAGAGAAAGCCGTCGGTCATGTTCGCTTGCGGGCGTGGACGTCCGATGTTGATCCCATGTATTATACGTCCACCCCAACCCCGCCACACATCGAAGTGATGCTACGCTCGACGAAAGTCTTCGGCTCGAACGTCTACAATATTTGCAAGGATATCAATGTTACATCGCTGCGCCGGGTTAACGTCGACTTTTCCAATACATATAACGGAGATTTTATCTGGAAAAAACCGACATGGCACAGACTCCTTGCCCCGGCGAAGAAGGTTGAAATACTCCACTTCCACGGTCCTTGCGCGCTCAACTTGCTCGGAGCGATTGCCCTACCCGTTACCTCGCCATCTACGTCTCCCGCTACCACGGATAATGCGGAAAAGGGGACCAAGAAGAACTTGTTGAAGACTCCTCCACCCCCCGCCAGCGCGATGTTGTTTCCGGCAATGACTGAACTGCGCATAATTGGCAGTAACTGTGACACCGAGAACCATGATCTGGCCGGGAAGTTGGTTCCTTGTATCAAGCACCGACTAAGGTCTGCCCCGTTCAAGAAGATTGTCATCGAGAGGTGCAGTATGGGAGACGATGTCTCTACCAAGCTGGGTAATCTGGGTCTGGAGGTTGATTGGGATGGTAGGACAGGAGAAACGGATGAGGAGGACGAAATGTGCGATTACTGCGACGGCGAAGGTTGTCCGGAGTGTAGGAGCGACTATGATGATGACTATTACTAAGATATCTATCCCAGTATTTGTATACCATCTTGGGCTTGAGTGCTACCAGCATTTGTACACTAATTCTCTGCTCATATAAGAGGTGCATGACCGTTTTGCTTGCATGCTACGAAACTACGAGCGACCTTGTCTGTGGGCTCACAAGTTCATTCAATCGATTTCAGCGGAGATGCACACATAGGTCGCATCACGCATTGATTGCACATTCACACGACAGACTGGTTAGCAATAAGCGAGGATTTTTCCCCTGAGTACTCGTCAACGCTCGCCCGGCAAGACACCGCGATAAGAAATCTTGATTTTCATTGTGACGAAGCATCCTGTCGCTGTGGAAGCCGTAATAACGCCTATTCACACGTATAACCACAAGCTATCCACATCCCACTCCTATTCCTGCCTAGTCAATACGGATGGACGTATACAGCCGGCGGACAGCCCAGTAGGTGGCCAAAAAGCCGATGGTACCTGTGGGGGAGTGTCAGCGACATGCAAGAGTATCGCGACGAAAGCGAGCGTACCCGTGACGAGGAAGTCAAATATGCAGAGCAATAATAAGTATCCGAGGTATAGTACGAATCCAGAGAACGAGTCGAGGGATAGGCGCGAAGCCCAGTAGAACATGCCGTACGCGAAGAGCCAGAAGGCACTGCCGCCGCCAGTCAAGAATGCGCGCCAGTGCCACCTACGAGCACACGTTAGCGTAAGATCCCATCTTTAGCAGGTAAGACATACCTATACTCTTCAGCGCAGAGGATGAAGTAGGAGAAGAGGATTGTGACGGTCGCCGTCGTAAGTGCGACAACACCAGCGGTCAGAGCCAAGAAGCCAAAGGCGTAATATGCCCTTGAAGCGAACAGGCTGGAGAGCATGAAGTACAGCTCGACAAATGCGGCACCTGGGAGAAACATGAGCGAAGCTCTGGGAGGTATCGTGACGGAGAAGAGCTGACCAAAGGGCAAAATACCGGCCAACAAGGTCGCGGCCCATGGGCGCAAATACTTGGGACCCGGAGGGATCTGGCGCGGAATGGGGTTGACACGGACCGGGTTCGTGACAGCCTGTAATCGACCGTCAATAGTGCGTAGAATAGGTAGAGCTTGACGCCCTTACGCCATGCTTAGCGCCGAAGTAGGCGCCAATCCATGATAGCGGTGCCGAGATGCCGAACCAGAGCAAAACAATCAGCAACATAGTGCCGAAGGGTACAGCGCCAGACGAGCCAGCTGTGATGAGGAATAGGTTCAGGAGGAAGACGATGGCGAAAACGAAGCTGTATTGGATCATATGAGCTGGGACACAGCGACCAAGAGTAAAGGACATACGTGGGAAGGAGAGTGGCAGTGAGGAATGCGTTCTTGCGACGCTCGGCGCCACCCATCGAGGCGTAGACTCTGCTTGAAACGTAGCCGCTCACGCTGATCATCGAAGATAAGTACGAAGAGCGTGGCGCAAGGAGCAGCGATACCCATACCTCCCAAAGAACGTCCAGCAGACCATCATGACAGTAGCAAGGGATCCGCGATTGGATGGTGAGAGGAAGCCGAGCAGTGCGAAGATCAGTGTGACCGCAACCATCGCGCACAGCTGGGCACCGTTTCCGACTAGGATGGACAACACCATGGGGTTCTTCGGTGTGCGGAACACCTCGCCATGAACGAGCTTCCAGCCCCAGTCTTCTTGGACGTCTTCGCTAAGGTCAATCGCGTTGTAACGCGAGATCTGCACGGGCTCATCAGAGTGGCTTGGGTTCAGAGTTTGAAGAGAACTCACATCGCGCGAAACGCTTCTCAGGAGGATCATAGAGACCATTATGCACAAGAAGACCACAATAACAAGCGAGTTGATCAGACTAAACCAGTGAATGCGAGGGTCAAAAATATGCAGATAATTATCCCAACGGGTAGCCCATGGCGTATCAGATTGCTATGGCAGCATGAGTATGAGGGGATATGGGGCGCAGAGCGGATCACTCACATTCCACATCACACGGTAAGTATAGCGAACCTTCCACGGCGTACTCTCATCCAGTTCGATTGGCACTGTGGTATCGCAATCCAAGGAACCATCCTGGGAACCACCTCGACTGTTGAATGGTAAGATCATTGTCAACGGGCGCAGCTGTATGCGTACCTTGACGGCCAAACAAGTACACCGACGATGCGATACTCTCCAGGTCGGGGCTCATGATACCTGTGCCTCATTCAGTATGGTGCTCTGCTGCTCTGAAACAGCCCGACGTACCTTAGCACGATATCGTAGTGGTTGTTTAACGCCGGCTTCTCTTCTGAGAATGGCGGCTCGTCGTTGCCCAGATTGAAGCCCATGTCGAAGAACATGTCTCCGGTCTTGAGGTCAACCTTCATCTCGGCAGCGGGCAGACCATCAATGATCCAGTTCAGAGCGTAGTCCTCCCGGATACGATCATTCAAGAACGTAGTGTCCTCTCTCGGTATTGAGGAGTGGCAGAGCGAGCGGCATGTCCCATTATCCTCTAGCATACGGATCTGTACAACTGTGAGTACGCAGATAGTCCTACTGAACTGTACACGTACATCATATGGGGAGTTGAATATGCGATCACCGAACAAGATGGAGCCCAGCGACTCTGGTTGCTTTACTGGGCCTCCTTCAGGCTCGCAGAAGTGGAAGTGCGGGTTATAGTAGTCGTCTATGTCGTATTTTTATTAGATGCCATCCAGGCGCGTCATAGAGAGCAAAGCTCACAGTTGATTAGTGATTTCTACCCCGCGTAAGCGTCAGTGAAGTAGTTAACGGATATAAGCGGAGAGCGCACCAATTTGGAGTTCTCCTTCCCAGAAAGCATCGGTGTCAAGGCGTTGACAAACAGGTCGACCTTGTCGCCCTTCTTGTAGTCCTTAGGCGCCGCTCCAGGAAGGTAGAACGCGTGCGCGCTCTGGGCCGCGAGCAGCGCTACAAGCGCCACAGTCGAGGCAAACATATTGGGAATCAAATCAGCACCCGGCCAGTGCAGTGGGAGTGGGTATCCGAAAGCTAAGTTGAAGGGAGAAAGGAGGGTGGAAGAAGGCGGGGTTGGTGATTGCGACGGTCAAGTCGTACGCGCGCGCAGTTCGCCGCTGGCCGCGGACTTTCCGGGCCTGTGTCTAGACGCGCTCTCGTGACTTTCAATGTTCTTTGTTCGCGTTTCACGCGCACTACTGTACTCGAAATCCCGCGTCCCGCGGGGCCAACCTTGCTCGGGAATGCTTGCTCTATACTGGTCGCGCTTCAATGATACGAGCTACAAAAAGTGCGGAAGGCCTATGATTCGCTCTATGCGATGGCGATTCCGTCCATCCAGCGCACAGGCGCGTGGCCTGCCGCGGCACGGGATATCTATCCAGACCCTTTCTACCGAACCCCGACGCGTCTGCTAGTTGTACTATGCACTGTACCGTTCGGTGCTGATGCCTCAAGCGTTACACTTGTCCAAGCCGGAATCGCAGACAAGTGAGCGGGGGCATACCTGCTTCCGCGTTTATCCCACGGTGGCAGACCGTGCCTGGTGCCATTTCAGGGGGTGCAGGACCTTGCTCGTCCCTCGCAAGGTAACACGGTATGACCTAGCACGACATAAATATGGTGTTGACTATATACATCACGCATTCCACTCCCTGCCCCTCATGATCAAGTCAACATGCCCTCGTATCTTCCTCCAAACTCCCGCCGTCGGAGGTTGCGTTAGGATCACATCGAAGGAACGATCCGGACGGTCTTCGGCGTCCGCGTCTTCAATCCCTCCTCGGAGTGGAAGAAGGGTTGAGATGAAGAGCGCCACGTCTTCTTCGTGGCCTTTCTTCACTGGCGAGAAATGGGGGCAGAGCAACTTGAGCGATTGGAAGCGATTTGGCGATGGACCATCGGGGACACGCTCAGAAAGGTCAAGACAGACGCCCAGCTCCCTCAGGTTCGGCAGGGCTCGTGCCAAATGAGGGAGGCAGTTCATTGTCAGATTTGGCTTGGTCAAGTTCGCTGGACATTCGTTCATGAGCAGCACCTCCAGTCGAGGTAGCGGTGTAACCAACGCGAGCAGTTCCTCGTCTGTCAAAAGAACAGGATGCTCGTGGCTGAGTTCGAGGTACGTCAATGTGCCCAGCTCGCTTAAAGGTAAGAGGGTCTCGAGCGTGATTGCCTCCGACCCCGGCGTCTTCTCCCAGCGGCTGTGTCTGGTTTCTCGACTGGGTCTGTTTGTGACGAGCAGGAGCTCGCGTAGATGCGTGCATCTCTTGGATATAGTCTCGCAGAACAGACGCATCACGTCGCGCTTTGTCATGCCGACGGCACGGACGGAAAGCCGATGAATGAACCGCAAATGCGACGGGTCGCGCACGAGCAGAGCGTTCATCTCCATGAGCGGGATGGCGAGTCCCAAGGACTGTAGAGAGCTGGACGACAAGGCGTGCAGCAGTACGTCCGGGAACCCGCGAGCGTAGCTCCAGTTATGACTCTGGTCGCTGCGATTGACGCCAACTTCAATGACTTGCAGGTCCTTACAGTCTGACGTGGCTGCCAGGACTCGAGGAGTCAGGAAGTACAATGGCAAGCGAATCGATTTCAAGGGGAGCCGTTGGATGAGCTGGATGAGGGCGGGCTCGAGCGTGGTTGCGTAAGCATGATTCACGGGCTCGATGTGAAGCGATTCTAGATTGGGACATCTTCCCGCTACGTCCTCGGATAGAATCTCAACAGAGTACCTGGAGCTGCCAGTGGGAGTGAAGATCTTGAGACTCTTGACCGTGGCGGTCAGGAAAACGCAGATGAGCTCTGGGTACCCATCGGGCTCGTCGTGATTGTGCCAGACCAACTCCTCTAAATGAGGGAAGATAGATTCGTAAGGACATGTTGATTTCAAGACATGAAGTAGATGCGCGATATTGGTGTCTGACGATGAAGCATGCAATGTTGCTGTGAAGGATCGCACTCGGCGTGCCAGCGGTTGAAACCGTTGCCAGTCGAGATACGACGGAGTACGTTGAAACTCCTGAGTGTCGCATGTTCAGTCGCATCTTTGTCCACCCACAACGCTCGGATCGCACGCACCAGTCTGCCCTCGACGGTCTCCAAGGGCGCAAGTAGCGAAAAGAGCTCCAGCGGGTTCTCGATATGTCTCCATATCGCATCCCGTGCAATCGAAGACCAGCGTCTACATACGAGAGCAGGTACAGGGAGATCGTTGCGCTCAAACTCGTTGATTATAAGAGCCAATAAGCCAGGCGAAGACATCACACGCGCACAAGCCATGTTGCAGCAGGCGTTAGGAATCCACAGGTCGATCACGGTGTTGTGAGAGTCAACATAAAGACTGGGAGATGTTTGGTCGTGATCTAACCCCTGCACCATGCAATGAGGATCTTCCCATGGTGATCGTGCAGGTTCAAGTCATGTCGTGCTTCGTGCGACGCCGACGCGCGCGGCAAGCGCCTAACCCTAACCCTACTATCCCACGAAGAAGCGGGTGGCAATGGCTTATCGGATGATAAATACGTTATGCTGGTCTTTGCGCTTCGCACGCAGACGATTTATCGTACATGGCTGTGGAGTAGGTTACATCGTCAAGCTATGTAATGAAAGCATCGCCCGAGCTTCCCTTGTCCATCTCCTCGACTCCATGATCACGCTGAAATACCGATCTATCTCTTTCCAATGCCTACATGAAGGACAAGGCATCGTAAGAACGTCAAAGCGTATGTGCTTGATTGTCATGTCAAGCTCCGTGCCGTCCGTGAGGACGGTAGATAGGTATAAGGCGATGTCGCGGCACTGCCCGTGGTTAACTGGCGAGCGATTGAGGCGCGCGAGCTTGAGACGTTGGAAGGTGTGGCTGGCGGGCTTGTAAGCGGCTTCATTCGACGCATCAAAGAATAAGCCTAGGATCTCCAAACGGGGGAGTACTTGCGCAAGGGCGGGTAAGCAGTCGATGGTCAATGTGGGCGCGACATCGCGGATGGACGGGCACTCGTTGAGTATCAGCGCTTCAAGCTGAGGGAGAGCACCAGCAAATGCTACAAGCTCTGCATCCGTGACTTTGATTGGGTACACATGCGCGATATCGATACATCTCAGGCTGTTGAGACGAATGAGGGGGGACAAGTCGTCAATTGAGATGGCGTCGGACTCGGAAGGAGGTCCCCATGAATTCGGCTGGCGAGAAGGACACCGCATGTTGAGCTTGATCGTCTTGAGGCGTGGGCAATACTCCGTAGCGGAGAGACAGAACTCCGTGACTGTTGTGCGGGCCGTAGTCCCGATAACTCAAAGGGATAGCTCTTGGAGTTGAGAAAAGAACTCTCGGCTAAGCAGGATGTTCAGCTCTTCCAAGGGTATGGCCAAGACCAAGGTTTCAATGTCGGCTGCTGCCGCCCCTGTGCCCATCACACGCGGAAAGCCCGTACACGGCTGCCAGATCTGCCGCGATAGCCATGGTTCGATCACTGCTTCTTCAGTACGGATGTTCGCCACCGTCGGGCACTGTACTGCAGTAAAAAGGACGGCCGGCGTGAAGAAGTACAATGGAAGATCTACGCTTCGTAGCGGCACGGTCCGGATAAGACGACAGAGGCCCGCTTCCAGATCGCAAGATTCAACGCCAAAGCTGACCCGAAGGGTCAGCTCCTCGAGAGCAGGGGATCTCCCGGGCAATCCTTCGAAGAATGTGCCGATGTCAGCCCCGAATACACCGTAAGGTGTGCTCATGTGTATCGAACGGAGCGAAGGGACGAGGAAGAGATGCATGGGGTCCAAACCATAGTCCGCCTCGCCATGATTCCAGTCCTCCCAGACGAGACTCGTCAGTCTAGGGAGGAAATGTTGTTGAGATGGCATCGACGAAGCTACAGTGCGGAGAATTGCGGTATAGTTGCCTTTTCGAAGGACGATGCGAAGATGGCGGACCCTTCGCGCGAACACGGCAAAACGCTGCCAGTCGTGCTCAGAGGGTGCACGGGTAAAGCGCTAGAGTATTGAGAGTGAGCCTTACTGGACAATGAATTGTTCAGGGTGTTCTAAGACTAACCTGCTCAGATGTGGCGGCTGTTTCGATGGGAGCCAACAACGAGAATAGTTGTTCGGGCTTCTTGATCGTTTCCCATATGACGTCCCGAGCGAGCTCAAGCCAGCCTCGACAGACAAGGGCTGCATGCGCCGCGTCATCTCGAGAGACATAAGAGAATATGATGATGAGCAGGTCCACCGAAGTCAGTGCTTTCTCAGACGCAAGCGGATCGGTCATTTTCGGACTTCAACACGACGCTGGTATGGCCTGGCTTCCAGATGGCTCAAGCGAAATGCAAGCACGATGATGTTAAGATGTAAGTCTCAGAACTTCACAGCGTCTATGACACGTTTCGCGGCAAATGATACCCGCATCAAAGTGGTGGTCGAGACGTCGGAGAGGAACGGAACGTGTCGGCCGACCTTAACCCCAGATGGCACATGACTAGCGCGGCAGACTCCGAGGGCTGAGAAAGCGCGGCGGCCAAACTACTTTCGCACGCGCGTGTTTGCACCGACAATTCGAGCTCGTCGCGCACCGCACCGTCCTCAACGTCAAGACCATGGGCTGTACGTCGTCATTATCGTTCACTCGTCTATATCTCTGATAATCATATATTGCAGCCAACAAACCGCGTGGATTGCAGGCAGCGCGCAAGCTCCGTAACGGCCGTCGCGAGAACCGCTGGGTGCGTCGAGTGTTGCGGGTGGAGGCGAATATAGGGCTGATTTTATTGGAAATTGTAGGCGGACAAGTCGTACAAGAAGCGTGCGCTCGGCAACTTCTACAAGACCTCCCCCACCGGTGGATCCTCCCACGCTAAGGGCATCGTCCTCGAGAAGGTCGGCGTCGAGGCAAAGCAGCCAAACTCTGCCATCCGCAAGTGCGTCCGCGTGCAGCTCATCAAGAACGGAAAGAAGGTCACCGCCTTCGTCCCCGTGCGTATATCCTGTTTGGATTATATATCAAATACTGATTGTGGCTCCAGAATGACGGCTGCTTGAACTTTGTCGACGAGAACGACGAGGTCCTGATCTCCGGTTTCGGTCGCCGCGGTAAGGCAAAGGGTGATATTCCCGGTGTCCGCTTCAAGATCGTCAAGGTCTCTGGTGTCGGTCTCCTCGCTCTCTGGAAGGAGAAGAAGGTGCGGCGATCCCAATATTCCTCCAATACAATTCTTACTTACGCTATTTACAGGAGAAGCCCCGTTCATAAGCGATTCTCGCTTACCCCGCATGCTTTCTCCCCTCCCTTTCCTGTACATTTTCCCTCCGCCCGGTCTTCCTATGCGATAAGTCCATGTATTGTGCTGCAGCCTCCCAATCAAGCAACCCATATGCCGCATCCCATATGCCGCATCCTCGCATATCACGACGCCCCAAAAGCCGCTACGGCGGCCGGAATGTGTGTATCGTGACACCAATGCCATTCGCTTTGCACACCCATCTGCTCCGATCCGAGAGAGAAAGAGAGATTCGGATTCTTCGTGTATCATATGCATGCCTCATATTCACTACGTCGCCTTGTACCCGTGGGCGACGGATAGGGGAAACGGGGCAAAGATTGTTATCCTTGAGGGCTCGATTTGTACTCTGCATGGCCGTTGTATCGTACATGAATGCGCTTTGGGGGGACATGCCCACTTGTATACTGTTCGTCTGTAGCTTATCCTGGAGAATTTTCTCCCTGATAAATACCTCTGACATCTTCCAACTATATTGTTGGCGTGCCAAATAAGAGCACTTCGAGGTTTAATCAGGGTAGATTCGAGCTGTTGGCGCCTCGCAGCTTGGATTTGAGAACCATCATCACCATGCCGCTTCTGGACTTAGGCTACATCAGCCGCGTTCTGCTTGCTTTGAAAATTCGTATTCGACATAGCCGCAAGAGATGACCTCGTAATCCGTCTAGAGCGACCGAGGTATGAAACGACGGTGCACGCGAGGCTAATGCCGCTGTGCTGGCGCACCCATCTTTCCGGTCGTAGCACAGCCCGTGGACCGTCGTACGCCGGTGTTCATAACATCCACCGCTCCCCACGAATGTCGATTCTGCGGCCCCATCGACCGATGCCGTTTCTCAAACAGGCGAAAGAAGCCCGTTCTTGACGAGGCTTGTCCAACCTTCTGCCATTGACGTTACGACGCCTCGCCGCTGTGTCAGACTCATAGTGGCTTCATGCCCAATCGGCAGGATGCTCGTTTGCACTTCAGACCGCAGAGTCGGTGCTACGTGTTAGGCTCGAGGATATAACCACGGAAGTTGACTCGAGGTGTATGTGAAAGTACGCCTCGCTTGCACTGCCTTGGGCGCCTTGTTTCTGCTCTTCACGCATGCCTCACCTTGTGTCATAAGCCCATTTGTATCTGTATTGAAAAGAGCTGTTGTGGTACTCACGCCCTCCGTATAAAATAGATTGGACAGACGTGACCTCTTTCTTCAGGAACTCTCGCCTCATATTCTAGCTTTCCTTTACCTCCCTTCGTCGACCATCTTTCCAGTCATGTCTATCGTGAGCTACCTGGCCGCACCGCGTAGGTTCTCCCTTCAAGATACACGTCTCATGGACACTGAGGATCTCTACAGCGTCTGCGATTCAGCAGTGCTCCAACCCGGGCGCCACCATCGTGTCTTGCTTCCCTACTGACAGGACCACCGTCTATCAAGGCGATACTATCGACTTCGTCTGTACGTCGCGCCCCTTGCTTCTCATAATCCCGTCTCTAACACGGATGCTTGTCGTCAGGGAACTCCAATCTTCCGGAGTTCGCTCAGTCTGGCATCGTTGACATCAAGGTCTTCCGCGCCCTCGGCGATATCGAGCCCAGCGTTCTTGGGCTATACAACATCACAAATCCCACGGATGGATCGGCTGGGAAGATCACCGTCGACGTCGCCGACAGCTGGTTCGACGGGCCGTACACTGGAGTCAACATCAGCACGCCTTTCTTCTTCACCATCGCGCCCAGCGGCACGATTCCACAGAAGCAGCCTACCTTCAGGGCAATCCGTGAGTTGATTCCATGCCAATTCCGTGTATCCTGGAAGCTGATGTATCTCACAGAGACTGGGTGAGCCCATACGAGACCTAGTGTCGCCCCTCGTCAGTGCTGACATGCAGCATCACAGACCCGGCTCTAACTCATCCTTCCCTTCCAAGACGATGGCGAGCGGAAGTGCTGTTGCAAACGCCACCGCTTCTACGATCTAATGTCGTACACTCGCATGCCGTTATGGCCAGTCCCATCGTCGATGGGTCGTGACGGTGATTGTGTTGCGTTTCTGTCAAAGACGGCTGGTTATCAAAACGGTCACGGAATGTAAACGGAAAGGATGATAAAATAGTTACGATGAGAATGTATCTTCTTCACGACGTTGAACTTTGTGATTGAAACTTTCGTTCTGACACCATTGCGAACACTGAATAAAATGGTGCCTCTGGACGAACCGCGGCGCGCGATGATGGTCCAGGGACCAGGCGTCTGCATTATCTGGTCAATGTAACGCACTCGGCCGGTGCCCACAATTACTTTTATGCCTACGATCGGGGAGCCTTGGTTAGTTTGATGCCTTGCGCTTCACAACCGAGAGGATAGAGACTTGATGTCTCTGGAACCAGGGGCGCGAGATGAACGTCATACACAGCCGTCCCCGCATTCGACAAGTTGTCAAAACGTATGTCTGTAGGGTACAGGTAGCGATGTCCCAGTCGCAAGCAATAGGTCCGATATCGTCCTTGAAATGATTACAGCAACTTGATGGCGACTGGGCAAGGTATATCCCGAGATATGTATGCAGATCACATGTCCGTGAGTGTTCGAATGGTCTAGCACCCCCTCCTCTCGCCGTCTTAACCCTCGCGTGACACTCGCTCAGAACATGAGTGCTCCGAGCGCAGCACACCCCAACCAGAGCCAAGACCACACCGGGCTCCCGCCGCCCGCCTTCCTTAATCCCGCCGCAGCGTTACTGATCTTGGCGCCCGTCGCATTGCTCGGGCTCGTTCCTGCCCACAGCTCGATGTTGCGGAAGTAAGTGTGCGTATCGGCGTCAGGTGCCCAACTCGCGTCGTTCCCGCCAAAGAACGTCGAGAAGTACATCCCGTTTGCTGTAAGGTTGTCGTTGGTGCGGAAGACGAGGTCGGACCGGTCGATGAGCAGGATGTCATTGTAGTAGACTTGTGCACGTCCGTTGGCGGTGTCGACGGGGTTGTTGAGCTGGATAGCGAGCGAGACTTTGTTCCATTGGCCGCTAGCGAACGAGAAGTCGCCTCTCCCGATGGAGGCGCCAAACTCGTCATTGCAGAGTACGCCCGACGCGTCACAAATATCGTTGTCTCGCGGTATGTACGCGTAGATCTCCCCGGCGGCGTTCTTCCTCCACATCATCCGCGTGCTGAAACAGCTCTCGCCGTCCGCCTGGTTGCCGCCCGAGCAGCCGTTCGGCGCACCACCGCGGAGGCCGGGGAGCTTTCCGCCCTTGTTCCAATCGAAGTTGTCGTCAAAGGCGACTTCGTATGAAAGCATCATGCTTTCGAACGGATCGCCGCTCGTGTTCCATAAAGCGTAGAACTGCGTTCCTCCCGAGTTGTCGTCGCTAAATGAGCCCTCGGGGTAGGTCACTTGCAGGACTGGGCCGGTCGTGTTACTCGAGATTCTCGGGGCAGGATTATCCGGGAACGGGTCTGAAACGAAGGCGGTATTGTTTGCGCCGTTCTGAATTGTGCCCTTGGACAGGCCCCAATTAGACTGAATGAAGCTCTGCGTGTCCGAGTTGGCAAGAGTAGCGCTGGGAAACGGGATGGTAGTTGTTGTGCTCGCAGCAAAGGGTGCACTAGATTGAGCATATGATGTGGAGGCGAGGGCTGCGAGTATAAAGAGCGATGAGGAAGACATGGTCGTTGTCAAGGGGCCAGCCTTGAAGGAAAGCGGCAAGAGCAAGCAAATGGGGGTATAAAGTATATATAAGAGACGCCCAGAGATGACGGTCGGAAGCCAAGTGTGCGAGAGCGCAGCAGGTTTCAGGCCGAGCCTGGGAGCCACACGATGGCCACACCGCGCCGTTTCGCACTGCCCTCCATGGCCTTGACCTGTCCTTAACTCCTTGATTTCAAATAACCATGTTCAGCCGTGCCAAATCAGAGCGCGGCGCAGGCGAGGCCAGTGAGCCATTATTACAACGCGATTCCGCCGAGCACGAGGATCCGGTACTGTTCAGCGTCGCGGACGACGACGAGCACGAGAGCGAAAGCGGGTCTGATGGCGTTCATACGCCCAACACAGGCGTGCGGTTCCAAGAACGCGTCGACGTCCGGATATACGCGCCCGAGTGGTCCCAGCAGTCGCGCGAGGCAGGTGAGCCTTCTACTCGTATTCATAATATTCTGCCAATGCTCATCACCGCTCGCGCGTCCTATTCTCCAGAGTTCGAGCACGACTCCGACGAACTCGACGATGCGGCCGTAGCGCAGCTAGAGCATCTATCGCCGCCTGGTGGAAGAGGAAATGGAAGACCACAGAGAGGAAGGCGCGAACAGACTCAACCGCTACTTGTCGGTTTACTAGACGCATCGAGCGTACGACGGGCGGATGACGTCGCAGAACTGGACTTTGACCCCATTGAACGCAGCGATCCTGCCGACATTGAAGAGCTCGAGAGGCGGCAACATGCTGGCGGTGGACTGGCCAACTCCATCGCGAACATGGCAAACTCGATCCTCGGCGCAGGTGCGCTCAAGCTTCTCCATCTGCCATAGCTCGACGTGACCGATCTTAGCATGTGTGTAGGCATAATCGGTACATATCATTTCCAAATACGTGGATGAATTGGGCGCCTAACGGAAGGATATCTCAGGACTGCCATATGCTGTTAGCCGCGCAGGCTTCGTTACTGGGCTCTTACTGCTCACCGCGCTATGCGCGGTAACGGACTGGACGATACGGCTGATAGTGCTCAACGCGAAGCTGAGCGGTACGAACAGCTACATTGCTGTCATGCACCGTTGCTTCGGGCAATCCGGTCGAGCAGCCGTATCATTCTTTCAATTCGCGTTCGCCTTCGGCGGCAAGTCTTCTTGCATATAGCCATGCGTCCCCTTTCTCATGTCTGCTACAGGCATGTGCGCCTTTGGCATCATCATCGGAGACACAATCCCACACGTTCTCCGGCAAACCTTTCCCGGCCTCAGCACGACCCCGGTACTCTCACTTTTTGCCAACCGTCAATTCGTGATCGCATTCTGCACGTTGACGGTCTCGTACCCGCTCTCCCTCAACCGCGACATACACAAGCTGTCGTTCGCCTCCTTCCTCGCCTTGATCGGGATGGGCGTGATAGTCTTCTCCGTGCTAGTGCGCGGTCCTACCGTACCCCCTGCACTCAGAGGTGATCCGAGCAAAACGTGGAGTATTATCGAACCAGGAGCAGGGCTGTTCAACGCTATTGGCGTGATCAGCTTCGCGTATGTGTGCCACCACAACACGCTGTTGATCTATGGAAGCTTGAAGGTGCCGACGCTGGATCGATTCGCGCAGGTTACGCATGTCAGTGTGGCGTTGAGTCTGGTGGCATGTGCGACAATGGCCATCGCGGGCTATGTCGTCTTCACGGACAAGACGCAGGGAAATATCCTGAATAACTTTCCCTTGGTCAGTCTCCCTTACAACGGATCAGAGACACCTGTATGCTAATAGGAGAGGTGTATAGGATGATACGCTCATCAACATCGCCCGCTTCTGTTTCGGCCTCAACATGTTCACCACCCTGCCGCTCGAACTATTCGTGTGCCGCGAAGTAATAGACCAATACTTCTTTTCCCACGAACCTTTCAACAGCACGCGCCACCTATTCTTCACGACCGTTATCCTTTTCTCGTCGACACTCCTGTCCATCGTAACGTGCGATCTGGGTGTCATGCTCGAGATCACCGGTGGCGTATCCGCGACAGCCCTGGCGTACATCTTCCCGGCTGCGTGCTACATCAAGCTTGCTCCGCCAGGGACGAAATGGACGAGCAGAAGGATCTGGCCGGCGGCGGCGTGCGCGGCATTTGGAGCGGTGGTACTCGTATTGAGTTTAGGGCTGGCGTTGCAGAAGGTGTGGACAAGTGAAGGGCAGGCGAGGATTTGTATGTAAGGATGGGTATATTGCTTCTTGCTTATTTCGTGATTCCGGGACGGACGGTACTTTACACGATAAATCTCCGGTATCATCTAATGCACTGACTGACAATATCCTCTATGTGTGATTCCAGTTCGATTACTACCATGGCGCGTCCACGAGCGCCTTGAGTCCCGGAACATCTCCCAGATCCTCAACCTGCACACCGGCCTTGTCGCTCTCACTGCATCTTAACGGTGTGACGCCTTCCCTCTCACCCCACAGCTTCTCCACGCCATCCAGCACGACCTTCCCTTCCTCCGTCGGGTCAAGCAACAGTAGCCAGATTGCATCGAACCCTCCCGCGCCGGGTACACCACCACCGAGTACACCGGGCAACGCGCAACTGGCGTCCAGCAACTCCGTCTGCTGCGCTGGCTCAATGTCCACACCGCACGCAGTGCCTAGTGCACGCATAGCCGTACGAACGGACTCCGCGGCTGTATGCGCTTCCGCGAGCACCTTGATCACTTTGCCCTCTTCGCCGCCTTTCCCCGCCGCAACCGACGCCCAATCACTCGCACTACGTCCAGCCGCGAGCTTGATAGCACTCTCATACACCTCCGGCTTCTCCTTATGCAACTTCGACAGCTGTGACAGAGAGGTAGCCAAAGCCGTGTTGCGCGCGTCGATGGCAGCCCAGCGCGTGGTTGATTCTTCCGGGTTCGCTGCGCGCCATTTGAGGACTTGGCCGACGAGGAGGGGTGTGTTGGAACCCATGTGGACGTCGGCGAGTAGTAAGCGGGTAGAGGGTGGGAGGGCGAAAGGAACAACTTTGTGATCCCAGCCAGGAGCGCGAGGGGCAAGCGCTGCAGCGAGTGACAATTTCTATACACATGGCTATCAGAGATGACACGATGGGATAAAGCGAGAGAGCGTACAGGATCGTCCATCAACGGCGCAAGTACAGCCGGCCTGAACCTCGTATAAAGTTGACTTCCGAACACAGCACTCGCAACGTCGAATCCACTCCCGACCTTCCCTTGCGCGAAACAATGTACGAACTGCGCGAGATTGTGCGCTTGTTCCCTACCATTCTCCACCTGCAAGTCGGACGCCGATAGAACGCCGAGGCGAATAAGTAGAGCGGAGGTGAGGGAGGTGATGAGAGCCGCGGAGGATCCCATGCCGGTCTTGGCTACATCTTTGAGTGTCGAGTGTGTAGGCACGAAGGGAGGGATGTGCGAGAGGGACGCGACTGTTGGCGGAAGGCTCAGAGCTTTCAACTGCGAGATAGACGCCCATTGATCAACTCGTGCGAACAACTGGCAAGATAGGCGCTCGAGCTTACCTGGTCGCGTTGCGAATAGAAATCGTTGTCTCCTGCAATTGTGATGTCCAAACCACGTTGCAATGCTTCACTGCCGGTGCCGTACTCGCGTGCGAGCTTGAGTGTCTGTGCTAGAGCGAGTTGTACGAACTTGTTCGGGGCGCCAGGGGAACTACTCGCTTGATCCTCACGTCAATCTTTATCTAGGCATATTGTGTGCACCAAGTCACGCACCTCTGTTCTACCTCTCCAGTCTCAAACACAGTGTATACCCACGTCGCATCCTCGAACTGCGGAGAGCGCACACGGATCGTGCGGGGCGCCGGAGAACTAGGAACGGAGATCGCGGTGTAGAAACGCGCAGACGTGGCGATCACCAGCCCGGAGTGTGCTGGATCAAGGACTAGGTAGCCTCCCGCGGCTAAAACCTTCCCCGGGGCTGAGACGACAGTTGGCGAAGACATGGTGGAACGAGGACAAGATGGTTCGACACGCGGTTAGCGCGACGCGTCTCGGGACAGAGTTGATCGGTGTTTGGCGCGTGTCGCATATATGCAGGCACGCGAGCGAACGAGCTGTAGCTTGAAGTCGCTTCCGGATCGGATGATACAAACGTAGACATTCAAATCTGCCTAAGCAACGAGACGATGAGGTGAGGGTATAAGGTGTGGCAGTATTGAAACAGGATTGGAAGATGTGGTAGGATGATGGGAGAGTACAAGTAGCGCCTTGGGCGCAGAGTACAGTATGAACCGTCCGTCAGACGGTGAGAGGAAGATATGATGGTCGTGAAAGGGGCGTGTGAGGGTAGATATATGAGGATATAGATCGAGCTATATGTGGGAATGAGAGTGCTAGACGCCTTAAGCGTCGGGGGCAGTAGAGTTCATCCTTTAGACGGCGTGGAACGTGAGGTAACAAGACAGACGATGTAACGACATACACGTGAGGAGAAGTGAGAGCGAGACATGTAACGAGTAGGGTATTATAAAGCAGGAGAAAGTAGAAAGATGATGCTTGATCGCGGGCTGTGGACGGCCCTGTCGTCGTCAGGGTGCAGCGGTCAACGCATCCGGGCTGCCTGATATGCGTAACCGGAGAAGTTGCTGCCGCCCATAGGATACCCATATTCCATCGCATTGAATCTGGGTGCAGACTGTTGCTGCTGCAGAACCATATGCCCGCGAGGCTGAGAGGTATCGGGGTGGTAGTGTTGAGAGGTGCCAGACGAATATGGCTCCCAGTGATCCCCACGCAGCTTGTCGTCAAAGAGCCGGGCATCCTGCTGCTCCCAGCCATGGCTGAGGGACGTGGAAGGTGCAGTTGCCAGAGAATGATCGAAGAAAGGGCTCTGAATATCAGAAGAAGGGAGATCGGAGTGGTTGTAGTAGGAAGGCGAGAGTCGAGGGGATAAATTGGCAGGAGTGACTCGCCAGTCATGCTCCACGGGACGGGACAGCGTAGCCTGACCTTGAGGACGGCCCGTGAGGTTGTCGATGATCATATCTTCGTCCGGAGACCACTGCATTGCATGCGCGTCCCTGAACTCGTGCGGGTCGGAGGTGCGAAGCGAGCCCGGCGACCACGAAGTCGGCGGGATATAAGCGCCATGGTGATTGTTGTCGGAAAAACTGGCGAAGTTGGGCGTAAAGCGAGGGTTGAGAGCAAGCTCTTGACGATGCGTTGTAGACGAGACTGCCGCATGTGTGTTATCATAAGCGCTGGCGAAGGGGTCGTTGTTTCCAGCGTACTCGTCGTAGCGAAAGCCAGAAGCCTCGTGGTAATCGTACGAGTGAGACGGTGCGGCCGAGGTCCGCTGAGTCGGCGTCGCGTATGGCGGTGTAAGCCAGTTGGGCGGCGCTGGATCCTGTGACTCGGATGGCACGACTGGTCCGTCGTCGTTGACCACGGATGCTACGATAGTGGCTTCATGGGAAGGGGCGTCCTGCAGACTGGTCAACAAAAAACCCTAGCGCAGTTTCTCACCAACATGTGCAGACATACCACCGCTGAGCTCTTGACTTTCTTGGCTTTCTTTCTTCTGCTCCGCTTCTCTCTCGCTTCCTCCCTCTCCTCCTTCGTCTTAGCATCTTGCGCCAGACGACGAGCAGCGCTAGTGTGCCAGTCCTTGAAGGAACTTTTCTCGAGCTGCACGCGGAGTTTGGTTTCCCTCTCAAGCCACTCGGTACGACGCTCTCTCGCTTTGGCTGGTGCCAGCCTTTCGAAGTGTGGTTCAGATATCTGTGTAAGAAATGCGCCCCCAGGAGCGAGAGTCGCTTGTACAGCGCGGAAAAGCAATTCCATCCGGTTGTAGAACTCGTCCTCAGGTAGGAGGTCGCTCTCTACGGCGTACTGCGCCTCCGTGAAGGAAGCCATCTCAGCGAGCAGATGTCGGCGTAGAGGGTCGTTATCAGGGAGCGAATAGATAGCCATGGACGATATCGGGTTCATTATCTCCATCTTATTATGGCTCGCCTTGAACATAACCATGAACATTGAGCGTAGCCTGAACACTTCATTGGCGTGAGGAATGTCGTCCGCCATGTATGGTGGCCTCGCGAAGGGGAAACGGTCCGTCATCCTGCGTGATCATTAGTTGGAAAGAACATATTCATGTAGTTCACGTACGCATGAAGACGGGAAGAGAGTAGTCAATACAACAGGCGAGAAAGGTGAAGGTTGGAAGGAAGATGAAACGCGTCGCTGAATGTTTTTGAAGGTCGAGATTATTCCTGTGGTTGTTCTTGACACAATGTCATGATGTCGACGAGCCACACCGGGGGCATCAATACGCAACCACAGAAGATGTACCAATATTCACAACAACAAAAAAATGCGCCGGTGATGATGAAGAAGATCCGTACTTAAATGACGAGAATGATTGTACAGTAGGTGATAGCGAGCACAGGATACAGCAAGTCAGTCTTTGTCCACTGCATGCTATAGCAGACTGGGGTCGATGCATGTCATCGGCCGCGGGGATAGGAGGGGAGACGCCGTTATCCGGTCCGTTTGCGGTTGGACGTCCAAACCGGAATCATCGAGCTCTCCTGGTGCGGGATGATCCTTAGAGTAGCCGTCATACTCGTCCATCGCAAGGAGATCTGGGTCGATGTACTGAGCCCAGTCGTCCTGCTGCTTTGTCGGGACGGGTTCCTGCACTTGCGTTTCGAAGGTCTCGATCGCAAACTCAGGTAGTGACTGAAGGGATGATTAGCAATGCCACAGAGATTCAGGGTGAATGAGATGTACCGAAAGCGTGTTTTCATGTATGTATTCTTCATCGTTGGGCCCGCCTGTCGGCGGCACCCACAGCTCGGGCTCGATTGGGCGAATTGGTGGCGTGGGAGACGCCGGCTCGGAATGCGGATGGTAGAGCGCTACTGAGCTTGACGCAGGCGAGCTTTCGAGCGAACTCGCACGTAGGCTCGGCGTATCCCAGTCGTATGTGTCTTCGGCGCGCTTCCTCCTTGCCCTTGCGCGAGCGGCGGTTTTCTCGCCCCTCTTCGCCGGTTCGTACTTGTAGTTTGGGTAGAGACGCGCATGCTCCATTGCGGCCTCTTCTTGGACTCTCGTCCAGTGAGCAATCTCGGAAGGAGGAAGGTTCTTCCAGGCATCGCCAGCGGCCTTGACCATGACTTTATTCTCCGGCTTTGGCTCCGGCCAATCGGCGACAAAAGCTTGCTTGAAGAGAAAGAACTTGTTGAGCGGCCGCGGAGGTTTGACGTTGTCCGGGTTTACGACACGTCGTTGACGGCGTGCTTTAGTTGTGGATATCTTCGCCATGTCTATAGCGTGGTGTACAATGGGCTTAGGCTGATATGAGCGACGTGTAGTGTTCGTGCCCTAGTAGGCGACGTGTGGAGGCCACTTTGGACTGTCGACTGATGTGTGAGCATGAGATACCGATTTGTGGCGAGAGCACGTTGGGGGCGCTCACCTTGGTGATCAATAACCTGCGCCGCAGATCTGTGAATGAGAGCCTCGTTGCACCCGGCGTTTATGAATCCCGAGCCCTGTGCACAGGACAAAAGAGCCCATAATGGGCATCAGCCAGAGAACAACAGCCAGGCTCCCCAGACGGGAACTGGGTGGTGGCTGTCATGGAGATGGCAGATTGGCGCTCGCAGGCCCGGAAGAAAGGCGGTACGGGAACAAACAAGCGCCTGCAACGGGACAAGGGATGACGAGGTCCAATTGTTTGGTCGAGCTAGAAGCACGCTCGGAGGACAATCTATGGGAAATGCGCCGACTTCGACACGACGCATGGCTCTTCTCTGCATGCCAGTACTGATTTCAGGAGGGTCGTATGAGTTTTGCTCGAGTGATGGTTGGCGGGAGCAAGTCGAGTGCGGCCGAGCCGCTCTCGCCGACTCTCGGCCGTGGCCGATGAGCCGGCCGATTTCTCAAGCTTTCCTCCTGCGCCACTCCTGAAAGCCTCAGTCAGCCGCACCATGCCGTTCAACTTCATTCCCCCTCCCATCATCGGCCTCAGCCATGGCCTTCTCGGGTGCTCTTGTGCGTATCAGAGTGGAGAGCCGTGCAAAATACTTGAGAGACTAACATACTCCCAGACGCTCACGGACCTGAATGATTACATTACACCATCGCAAGCTTGCATCAAGCCCGTTGAGCAGAAGACACCTGCCCCATCGAGTGTGCCAGGTGCTGCGGCTGTGCGTGAAGTTTGAAGCCTTCTTTATTCTTGATGCTGATGGCATAGTAGACCGAAATCCGGATCGATGCTGGAGGCTCGTACTACGAAGTTTCTTCTGGAGATGCGGGGCAACAGAAGCTTCAGCAGGCCGAGATCAGCTTGAACGACTGTCTGGCGTGCAGCGGCTGTATCACATCGGCAGAGTCAGTCCTCATCACGATGCAGTCGCATACGGAGGTCCTCAACTTTCTCGAGTCAAATCCGCCCTCCGCCGAAGCTGGCCATCGCACGCCTGTCATGTCCATCGCTCCGCAGAGTCTTGCCTCCTTGGCCGCATCACTCGCGTCGTCTTCATCCGCGAGTTCGACGGCTCCCCTGGCCGAAGTGCTGGCTCGAGTGTCCTTATTCGTGAAGGAGCATCTGGAATTCGAGCATGTCTACGACACCACATTCGCTCGGCATCTATCTCTACTCGAGCACGTGCGCGAATTCGACGAGCGACGCGCTGCAACCGCTGCAGGATCATCTACGCGAGCATCGACAGCGAAGGCGGAGCCGAAGACGGAGAAGGCATGCTGTGGGAAACATGGCACCGACTCTTGCAATAGTCATGCGCAGAAGACCGGAGACGGCGAAGGCGATGGTCGGCTGCCGATGTTAGCCAGCGCATGTCCGGGTTGGGTGTGCTACGCCGAGAAGACTCATGGAGAAATGCTGCCCTTCATCAGCCGGACGAAGAGCCCGCAAGCGATGATGGGTACATTGGTGAAGGGATGGCTCGCACGGCAGTGGGGTAAACAGTACGTTCATCCACTCGTCCTCCTTGAGTCTCGCTCATCTAATACCTTTGTAAGGCCCCAAGACGTCTACCATGTTACTGTGATGCCCTGCTACGACAAGAAGCTTGAAGCCTCTCGACCAGACTTCTTCGATGAGGAGTCCAATACGCGCGACGTAGACTGTGTCCTCACGACCGGCGAGCTCGCGCTTCTCATGCGTGAACGAGGCTTCGACTTGTCGGCTCCCGCGCCCACCTCTCCACCCTCCACCCCAACACCGGCAGATATCCCTGCTCTAGTATCTCACCCCGGCACATCGTCTGGCTCATATCTGCATGCATTGCTCTCACATGTCATACGCACCTCTTCGGTTCCTCTCACGCTCACGACTGGGTCCACGTCGGCGACGGCGAAGCAGGCACAGAACGCAGACAGCACCGAGTACACCCTCACGGACCCCGAAGGAAACGTAGTCTTCCGCGCTGCGACTTGCTACGGGTTCCGCAACCTGCAGAACATTGTGCGCCGTGTCGCACGCGACGCAGGCATTCGCGTAGTGCGAGGTCGCGCAGCCGGCGCACTCTCGCGTCGCGCTCAACCTGGCCGTGCATATGATTACGTCGAAGTCATGGCATGTCCTGGCGGATGTGTTAACGGTGGTGGGCAGTTGCCGCGGCCAGAGGCTGTGCAGACCACTGTCACAGATGGTGCCACGGAGGCCAACGATGGTGATGGAGGCATGGGCAATCGTTGGGCCGACCGAGCGTGGACGAAGGAGGTGGAGCGCGCATACTGGGACGGACGCGAGCCTGCACCTGGAGCACGTTTTGGATTGCTCACCCCGCCCGCGTCGCCTCGCGGCACGTCTGCGAACATCGTGGACGATAGCGCTACAGCACCACGCTGTACAGACTGCGACTGCGATCGTGTGGATCAGGGAGGGGAGTGTGCCATGGATGCAACAGCTCTGGCGCATTCCCGCGCGGACGGACTAGCGGCGCGCATTCTCGGAGAACTGTGCGGGACAGATGTCGCGCGCTGGGGGGATCGGATGGATGGCGAGGCTGAGGAGCGCAGGCGGAAGCTCTTCAGGACGTCGTATCGGGCGGTAGAGAGCGAGGTTATCGGGCTCGGTGTTAAGTGGTAGAGGATCATACTGGAATAGTGCACGTTATACATGACTAGACACGGATGTGCTCGCCTGTGAACGCGAAGGCGCAGCCTGTTCTGACGCTGTGGCTCTCCGATCTCACGATGAAACATTTCTGGCTGATGACGTCGGTTGAGTTCGCGAACATGTAAGTTGTAACCCAAGCGATGCGACTACATATATGCATTCGTACCAGCAGCAGGAGTCCCGACGTAGGTCGTGGTATGTATACAAGAAAGACAATAGTCTGAAACGAACGGCATTCCAGATCCACAAAGGGCGCGGACCTACTCATCGGCACCGCTTTTCTCTTCGAATGTCGACATGGTCCATCCATATCGCTTGGAGAGCCGCCATCCGACACTTCGTGCCAGCACGTTCGTCATGACCGCATCCGGGTGAGGCTGCAAGAACGTCAACGTGAGGGGACAGAGATACTGATCATAAGATACTTAGACACTCACCCTATGGAACGTGATGGGCCGCGCGAGCTTTGCCGGCGGATCGAAGCGCACCGAAGAGCCTGCGGTTTGCTCAATCGAGAAACCAATGCGACGCATCACCTGGGAGATCGTAGGTGAACAGGTTAAGCATACTTAAGCTTCAAGTTGAGCAAACCTTTTCGAAGTCCTTCCACTGTACCTCTCCTTTCATGGGCGCTTCTTCCTCTGACTTGTCCGAAGCATCATCGTACCTACCGTCAAGAAGACGATGGAACACCTGGACAAGATCATACATCAGTTAATGAGAAGGAGCTCTAGCAGAGAGGACGTGCCTTGGCCATCTTGCGAGGAAGGACGAACTTCGCAGGGAGATAATCGGGGAACGCATCTGGATCAAGAGTCATCGAGGAGAGGTCGTCGGCTACGTTGTCAGCATCCGTGGGCGCCTTCTCAGTTGCCTCGGAAACCTGGAAAGCGATTGAAGGTTAGCATACTGGTACTGGCAACGGGACGATGAACGTATAACGTACTGCAGTCTTCCCTGCCTTCGACTTGCCCTTCTTTTTCTTCTTGCTTTTGGTCTTCGCGCCGACAACAGCCTCGGCTTCAGCCGCGTAGGCATGGCCTGGTACAGCCGCTTCGTCCTTGATACCAGGAACAGCGACAGGGATGGTTTCCTCGAAGGTACCCAATGGTTTTGCTGCTTCCTTCGCAGCAAGCCGAGCTTCAAGGCGCGCTCTCTCCCGCTCTTTGATAGCTTCCAAGCGGCGGGTGACACTCGGTCGCTCGGGATCATTGGGATCATAAAGACCTAGGATACGAGCAACAGATCCGCGTTGACCGGGTGGATCAAGGCTTAATGCGGCCTCCCATAGTTGGCGGTCCATACGAAGAAGCAATCGATCAAACTTCTCAGGTTTGATATCTTCGTCAATGAAGAAACCCTCGGGTCCTCCATGGAGCCGTTGACCGCCGTACTGCAATGCGTGCTGTCAGCGCAAGCGTAGCACGCGTAAGAATTGTGCATACCGGACGTTTCTCCATCCAGCACGACTGCAGAATATCAGCGTATTGGCTGGCAACACCAAACCGGTTCCATAGCTCCGCCTTTGGCAGCCTTGTGATTCGTGGATCGGGCTTCATAAAGCCAAGGCGTGCCATAATCTTCCCGTCCGTGCTCTTTGCGAGCATGCTGTCGGCGTATTGTTTGAACTGGATACCCCATGGTGAGTAGTACATGTTGTTGAACACGTCATCCGCTGAAGAAGAGTCTGAGTATCAAGGTACAAATCAATGATTGTGCACTGTGAATCATACCGACAGCATAGTTTCCAATGGCTTCATACGCGTCAGCACCAAAACGACGCGCGGCAGAAGGCACTTTCTCCTACACAATAAATGTCAGAGGACTGGTAGAGTGATTGGCTGCCACTCGGGACGCACCGTCATCTTTTGCAGGTCGCTGAAAAAGTGCCAATAATGGTCCGCGCCATCTTGACCGAAGGTCTGTAGTATCCTCGTGTCAAGACGATCCAAATCCGATCTTGCCACTTTCGCAGGGTCGAGCCGGATCACAGCAGCGCCATGGTGTGTCTCGATGTGTGCACTTCAGTCACTGGTGACGGCCGTGCCAACATGCATGAACTCACTCGCACGCGTGAGAACCACTTGGCATAGTACTCAGTCCCAGTGATGACCTGGTTCATCCATCCTGTTGCGATACGCAAGTACGCCTCTAACGCAGTGAGAGCCTGCACTATCTGCCAAAATAACGCATCATCTGACTTGTAGGCTTGCTCGAGTGCTCTCGGGGTCCGAATGTTTCTACGCGTTATTTCCTCGAACAACTCGGCACACATGTACCATCCGTAATGAGAGACCTTGAGCGTTGCGATCAGTATATGGTGCATACGACGCCAGTACCGCTACTCACATTATGGAGTGTTAGCCATGCGCGCCAAGAGTCATCGAAGGTCTCCTCCGCGAGAAACCCCGGACGCTGCCTGTTCATTTCGAAGACCCAGGGAGAAGGAATAACACTCCGTTGGCGGGTCTTCAGGATGTCATAGAAGAAGGAGATATCCGAGCGAAGGGCCGATGTCTCGTCTCTGACGCGATCCTATGGCAGATGAGCAGTTATCAGGTTAGCCACGTGGAAAGGTTCATACCAGCTCGCTCAATGCCGCTTTCTTACAAGCACGAAGGTCTAGTTCCGGATATTGGGCACCCTGTATAAGAGCCTCTAAGCAACGCTATGAGTAAAGTCCTTCAAGCAGATGATATCAAAACAATCGCACCGTTACGTCGCTAGATATGGATGCCTACTCAGTGTGCGAGCAAGAAACGCGGTTGGAAACACTCACACCTAGCCAGGCAGCAGCGGTCTCGTCTTTACGACGGGTCGGGGCAGGTTTGTCACGAGCAGGCATACATAGCACGTTCTCTTGAACGAAGGTAACATACAGTGTGATGGCGTCTGGCGTGACCTCTTTGCCCATTAACTGCGTGATGCCACTCTACGAGTTTAGTGTCAGCACTAATAGTCTCACTAGAAAGAGGACGTATCCGTACTGCTACCTTCGCAAACATAACGGCATTTACGTCGGACATTGATATCTTCAACGGGCCTTTGAATGGTGCGTAAGCCTTTCGGAGTCGTTCTCTTCCTTCGCGTTCGCCAAACCGTTCGATGGTCCTATAAGTACTAGTTCAGCATCCAAGTATGTACTCATGTTTGTTTATGGCCGAGCGCACCACTCTTCCAGTCTACGTCGACCTTCTGAGGTATTACAGTACCTGCGCGTGTGAGCTTCTGACTACGCAGTTCTAGATGCCTTAGTAGTACCTGGCTGCGTTGACCATCCACTCTGCCGCCCATGCCGAAGTATCCCATTGCTTCCCGTAGACCTCGTATATAGATGGCGACATGTGTCCGGGAAAGATACAAGAGGTCAACTCCAAGTCTAGACAAGAGACCAGACGGTCAAAAACGCGTCCGCACGCTCGTCGTCGCGGTCGTAAGGAAACACGACGCGACGCGTCTCAAACGTAAGGCACACGGACGCGCACACGTGCAGCGCGTTTTCTGGCACGATGCGCATGCTGAAGGCAGCTGGGAGCGCCCGAACCCAGACTGCAGCGCCCGATACAGATGATAACGATGTCGCTCATTGTTGGCTCACTGGCCTTAGAAGTAAGACGCACCGTGGGGCCTTTGCCCGGTAACTCTGTGGACGGCTTGGATCCCAGACAAGTATGACCTAGGCTCCCGTGTTCCATAATGGTAGTCTCATTGTTGTTCAAAGTTCCGTACTTCTGCAGCAGGAGAGCTAGCGATCCGAAGCTGTCTGAATCTGAGGAATAGCTGATTTGGCACATGATCCTACACTCGGACATGTCAACTGTCATCTTCCTTGATGCTCGCGAGCCACAAGGAGCCACATCGGGCTGTCCACACTACGTGCGCCAACCTTCTTCCCATTCGAGCCCCGAGCCCCGCCTCCGTGATCTAGATATGGATCTTGTCGGCGCGGATGTCAGGCTCGGAGCACTTTCGAGTCAAGAATGCATTGTGCCCTGAAGCTTCGGCGTCGAGTCACCCGTGTCTTGTCAAAGAGATCGGGCCAGATAGAGGTGATACAGTTGGAATTCATTGCTTCGGCGCTATCGTACACTACATGCGTTGTTGATGGGAGCAGGCAAACCAGCAGCACAAACCCAGGCAAAAGGTAAAAAAGTGGAACACCAAAGGGTGGAGGAAGGTAAATGGGATATCGTACGGCTTGCGTCGCGGGGATGAAGGCAAGATGTATACGAAGGGATGATCGGATTGAAAGGTGAAGGACTCGTAGAGCCATGATAGAATAGTGTGAAGAAAGGGAAGTTAAATAAGTGCAGCAAGCCGGGACCGAGACAGGAAGCCAGTGATGGATACAATGCGACGAGAGAGCATGGCGAGTCGGATGCGGCAGAGCGTTTGGGTTGCGTGCGTGCGAGGCTTGGGGCTTGACGAATTAGAATTATACATAATAGTTTAGGCGGGCGTTGGTGCGTCGTTGAAAACAGGTGGATATCGAAGACGAGTGGCGGGCTGAGAGCGCAGATCTGCGGTGATCATTGGGCACGGATTGCGCGTCCGGGGCCGCGATACCTGCAGGCGGATGTGAGCGGGATTCTTATCTCGAGTATGCGGCGCGATGCGTACCAGTAGTGGCACGTCGAGCAGTACTCGTCTGTGCGGCATGTGATGGTCTCACTGGCGTCGGGCCCCAGGAACTGTCGGCGGCCGGAGGTGAGCGCGGTTCAGGGCGGGGGCACCGACGGACGTACCTTGTCGCACTGACAGTTGCGGCAGTCCTTTGGGTGCGCGACGGACGCGGCACACCACCTGCTGCCACAGTCGTTCTTCCTGAGCTTCTTGGTCTGGGAGAGTCGTCAGAATCTCGGCAGAGGAGAGTGAGCAACGGAACGGGCACGTACGATAACATAGTGCTGTGTGATCCGGAAGCTGACGTCAGTGCTTCCGTTGGGCAACGGGGTGTCAAAGAATGGAAACATACGCCGCAGCCGTGCTGGGTTCCTTCGCTTCGGTGCCTGTCAGCGGAAGGCTCGGAGATGGGTGACGGAGTGAGAGTACGCACGTATCGAGGTTGCACATTGCTGTACGGGTTGTGGTGGAGGTTTGTGCGTTGGGTGTACGGTGTGGTGAGGTTGCGCGGACGGCTAGCTGAGAGTGGTTGAAGCAGAGGATGCAGCCAGTATCGCAGGAAGGGCGGAGGTGCTCGGCGAGGAGTGGGATGGAGGGAGCGGAGAGAAAGGACGGTCCGTATTTATATTAAGGAGGAATAAAAGGGCGGTGCGGTTATATCGCCAGATCAGTGCGTGGCTAAAGATCAGCTCTGCGACGAGTGTGCGACGCTCCGGCCACGAGACCCAAGCGGACTGGGGCCGAATGTCGTGCGCCGTCGGATGTGCCAATGCCAACACGCGGTGTAGAGTTCGAGCTGGCAGGGCGTACAAGAACGCTGAAGCGAAAGAGGAAGGAGTGCACCGGAGGGTGGGGGATCGATTGCAGGAAACAGACGAAGCGCTCGTCACCCACGAGGCTCCACCACCCACCTGATCGGCCCGAATTCCGGGCGAAGGCTCTCTCAGTGTGGCACGCTCAGTTCGAGCCGTCACAATGGCCAACTTGAATACCGCGCCCACTACTCGCTCGCGCACATTACTCTTCTTCTCATACCGTGACTCTTCTGCTCGCCCGAAGCGCTCCATAAATCACTCGCAATATGATGCGTATACCCAGGAGGGTGACGAGGCCGAAGGGCTCATGAGTGCGGGCGCGGGCCCGTCAACCATTTCTCTCGATAATGACCTTCCACCGAAATGGTACGTAATACGCATCCTTTGTCTTCCATATTTAGCCAAACCACACACAGGGCAGATTACGCAGATCAAGTGCAGGAGATCCTCGCCGCCACCCAGGCGAAGAGTGCGTCCATTCTAGCCTGTGATCCCCGTCGCATCCTTTGTGCTGACAATTGGCAACATCAAGTCGCCGCGCTCGACAAACTTCACGCGAAGCATGTGCTGCCAGGCTTCGCGGACCGCTCTGCTGAAGAACGCGAAATAGAGGCCGCTACCACGGACATCACAAAGGTAAGACGCGTCACTGCCTCGCGCGCTCCGTCACGCCCAACGTGCTCAATGGCGTTACAGGACTTTAGACGCTGTCAAGCGCTCATACAACGCATAGAGCCCGCGACATCCTTTCCACCTACTGCCCAAGGCCGACGTAACGATGCGCTTGCGGCAAAGAATACCCAGCGCGGGCTCGCAGCCAAGGTGCAGGAACTCAGTGCGACATTCCGCAAGAAGCAACGGGTTTACATGGAGAGTACGTATTCACACGTACTCCGTTCCGCGCATATTGCTCCGCGCATCTCTTGCTCCGTCTCTACATTCCCGAACCGCGCATCCAACAACGCGCGCTCCACCGGAGGCCGGTCCGCCTCTACGAGTACCCTTGCCCCACAGTCGTTTCCGGGGCATACTCTATCGCATATCGTATCCATCGCGACGAAGCGCCCGACTACCTACGCGGATCTCATGTCTCATATCACGTTGACCGTGCTTGCCGTCTACATTTCTGACGTGTTGTATCCCACAGAGCTCCAAGGGCATGCCATCAAGAACCAGGACTTACTCGTCGCTTCAGGCGTGACAACATTGCGGGGCTCAAACGCTGACGCATTGTCCGCTGCTGACGAGGATGTGCAAGCGTCGCTCCAAACCCAGTCACAGGCACAAGCACAGAGCCAGAGTCTCCTGCCAGACGAAGAAATTCGAGCGCGTGATCGCGAGCTGCAGAATATCACCAGAAGCATCGCTCAACTCGCCGAACTCTTCAAGGACCTGAGTGCTCTCGTCATCGATCAAGGCACCTTATTAGACAGTGTCGAATACAACATCGAGCAGACAGCTGTCCAAGTTGGAGAGGCCGTGAAGGAACTCGAGATCGCCACACGGTACGTGCTAACATCCTCTATCCTCATTATTGTTCCTCCTCTCCGGAGTTCGCTTGCTGTTTCCCCAAATCGTTTTGGCGAACATGAAACGTCACCGCCTTCGGACCGATAATCTGCGCTCCGTTGCCTCGTGGGTCAACCATCTCCGAGCGTGTTCATCCCGGCATCGCGCGTCTATCTGCGGTTTTTGTTTGGGCATGTGCATAGCCGCGGGTTCATGCAGGTCCTCTTTCCGGGCGCCATGGACGTATCCCCTCTCCCATCCTTCCCATTTGCTTTCCACCTGCAGCACCGCCTCGCGCTTTTCATTTCACTTTCTTCCGATATTCCATTCCCTGCCGTGAATGCGCCGCGCGCTCGGTTACTCGGGTTACCCCGCTGCCTGCGCATGTTTGTGAAACTGTCGTGCGTGGGACACCTACGCCTTATTCCTTTTTGTGCGGGCCATCACGACCCTGCAAGCGCGCGGGCGCGTACGCCTCGCTTGCTGTGTTTGGGTGGCGATACACCGAAATTTCACAGTCGCATTTGGAACTTCACCGTTTCCGAAGCCCCGTCAAGCGCCCCCACAGTTCGTTCAGCAGGCGCGCCTTGATCTTCGCCTGTTTGGAAGGTTCGCAACGGGGCGCGCACTCATGCAGTGTACCCTCCTTACTATCTGCGCCGAGCATGCCCCTCGCACCCTCGCTCCTCCTTTGAACCGCAGGCGCCACACTGTGTGGTTGCGGAACACTCGTGAAGGAAGCAGGCGATCCCGAAACCACAATCAACGGAAGACGTGTCTTCTCCCGTTGGTCTTGTGCTCTACGACGGCACGCGCTCTCTTCATTATGTCTACTCCAATAGGAGGGTCTTTTACGTCGCGATGAGAGCACGCGTTCACCGCTCCTTCGGGACGTGCCGCGTAGATGGACCAGGCGTACGGCTCAGCCGTGTTATTCCCGTTCTGGATCTCAGCCTCGTCGCGAGCTCGTGCTGTTCCATCTCACGCGTCCAGTGGCACTGTTATCAGTTCCAGTGTCTTCTATCTCCTTTCCGAGTTGACCGTACGAGTTACACGTCCTACACTCGCCTGGACCCTCGTTTCTCCAGCCCTTTCTATTCGCTCGTGCCACGTTCAACATACACACTTCTCCGCTTAAGCTCTCACTCACACGTCTTCTTTCGACAGGTATCAAGCAAACACCGGCCGGCGCAAATGCATCTTTCTACTCATACTCATCATTGTCGGCCTCGTTCTTGTTCTAATCTTCAAACCACGCCGACACGGCACTCCGTCACCGCCTCCGTCTGATTTGCCAACATCGGACACCAATACACCCTCAGCGGATGATTCCATACCTCCAGTAGAGAGCGCACTACGGATGACTTTCCGCTTTGCCCGCGGTGGTGTAGCCGGCCTGCCCTGACGCGGCAGGCGAGGTGTCGGGCAGGCAGGCGCGTCTACCCGCGTGACCGCGCCGCTTACGTGCAAGGGGCGGCCATAGCGTGGGCGCCGCATTGGGATATTTCTGTTGGAACTGGAAGACGAATACGCGAATGCTGGTCCAGGGATGCGGCGTGAGGAGAGGGTTTTTCGGCGCGGGTGGGAAGTTGAGAAGGAAGAGCGGGCGAAGGGCTGGAGGTCGAGAAGCTGTGCGGAGCCCCGCGCTTCGACGCGGGTGGGAGGGTCGCCTCTTCGCGCCTACAGGACACGATGCCGCCTGTCCAGGGGTCGGCGGCGAGGACTACAGTCTGTAGAGAAGGATCGGGAAGAGACGAGGGGTCATCTGGCTGTGGGCCCAGAGGCAAGCGCGCCTGTGCGGAATAGTTGGGAGGATGTCTGCTCGCCGAGAAGAAGAACCGGGGACCCTGTGGCCCGCCGGCTCTGGCTTCGCACCCCACATCCGCCAGCCACCATCGATCGACAAGGGCTTCGAGCTTCAAGACTGGCTACATCCCTAGGCTGGGTTGGTCTCGTGCTTCTGGGCGCAGAGAGCCCGACGCTCGCCCCGGGCCCGAGCTGCACGATGCCCGACATGATGGACACGTAGAGCCACTCGTCATTGTTCTGTTGTGCCTCAGCTCGGAATTCAAGAGGACTTGTCGGCCCGCCGACACATTGCGGGGGTTAGACTTCACGCGCGCTTAGCTTCTGTTGGACGCCGAGGAGGACGCACAGGACATCGTTAGTTTAGGGGGACGCGGCTGCGCTGATGTTCTCGGGGAAAGTGCTTCTGCTTATCGCATCTAGTGCCACCGACTCTGTTACGCGTATAGTAAGGCGGGTGTGTCGTGTCTATCATAGTGTAGGAACGAACGTTCATTTGTCGAGTGGTTGTATAGCGTCGGATTCACATGGGTTGAATCGGGGCCAGGTCAAGGGACCGTCGTGCGAGATTTGGATGTGCCAGATAGAAGGGTTCATTGGGCTCGTGGAGAAGGTTAGAAGGCTTCTAAACACTGTCAATTGGGCATTCAATGAGCAGATGTAGGGAAGGGACGGCCGGAGAACCGGGCACTTCTGTTCAAGGATGAACAAGGCGCGCGCCTCCAACGCGCGTGCCGGAAAACCCAGGATTTCCTTGTCAGTCGTGACAACGCGTAGTCAGGTCTT